GCGCACATGGCACCACAACCATTTTCGCCGCACCAACAATCTTGGCGGCCAAACAGCCAACCGCGCACTCGCACGACATCGACACTGCCGCCATCGAGACCGCCGACGCCAGCGACAACTTTTCCACCATCAAAATCAGCACACCGAGCAAATCACGACTTCACGACATCACGACACCGAAATCGACCGAACGAGATCCACGAACGAGACGGCGGCAGGCAGCGAGAGACGGGCAGAGAGCAGGCAGAGCAGGCAGAGAGCAGGGCAGTGACTTGGGCGGGCGAGAAAGCAGGCAGATGGGCAAACGGGCGGCAGCAGCAAAATTCGACCTCTTGGCAGTGTGCGTGGTTAGCGACTTCGGCGCGCCACCTTCGGGTGCTTATGATGTGAGATGGCACGAGAGAGTGGGCCATTACTCCAGCGACCATGCGCCACGCACCTGCCATTTGGTTCAACACAACAACATCTTCGACACGCGACGATCTGGCACAGACGACGATGACTCGGTTAGCGACTTCGGCGCGCCACCTTCGGGTGCTTACGATGTGAGATGGCACGAAAGAGTGGGCCATTACTCCAGCGACCATGCGCTGAGCTGTCTCGAGAAGACAAAACAACAACAACAACACAAGCAAAGTCAGAGATGGGTGGGTGGTCTACAGTGGTGGTCTTCAGCAGTCAGCAATCTTTGGTCATTTGGGTGTTTGGTGTGGTGTTCATAGTGCTCTCGCTGCCTTGCCAGGGGTTTTCAAAGACTTCAAAAGTCTCAAATTCAATCAAATTCAAACCAAATCTTCTTTCAAATCCATCAATTCAGTCTCATCATGTCTTGTCTTTCCTGCTTCTCCTGCTTTGCTCAGCTCGTGCACTTGAGCTCTTTTCCCACGTCATGCCCTCGGCCTCCCAGCCCACTCGCTCCCTTGCTGCTGCCACTGCCGCGTGCTCTTGCATTGACCCGCCGCTTCGCCCTCCTTCCGCCACCAGCTACTGCAATTTGGAGTACGTTGCGCATCCAGAGAATTCGAGCCATCAATCAGTGATACCAGCATCCTGTTTGCGCCTCCACATGCCATCCGGTCAATGTATGCTGCTGCAGAGGCTGTGCCCAACACAACCTGTAACTGCAGGCCGTCTCGCCGCCAGCTATCGCCGAACTTGGGAAAGAAGCGGGCATCACGAAAATACTGACATGGAAGTCGTAACTCCCGACAAGCTGGAATTCTCTCAAGGATGCTGACCGCAACCATTCTCGGCGATGTGCCGATTTCCCTCCCTAACAGCTGCAATCAGAAGCAGTCGGGAGCACTGCTGCACCATGGCATTAGGCAAGGTTCATGCTGCGGCCATTTCGGGGAGCCCTCACGAGTTCGCCGCGTCTTGCACTTGAGGAGCAGCCTGATAATGACCTGGCTCTGACTTGGGCAGGCTCCCAAACTCCGCCTTCTGCAGCAACTTGATTCGCTAATGCATCATCTTCGAGGATGTCTGTCAAAGGCTCAAAGCTGATGTATTCTTGGTCGCCCGCGCTGCACAAGAGCTGCTCAGGCCTCCTGGACTCAGGGTCTACCGCGCACGATACCGCGCTGTTCTCGCGAAAGCTGCGTCTCAGCGCCCGGCAAAGGCCTCCCAAGCCGTCACGATTCTTGACCATGTGCTCAGAGCTGTCAGTAGGAGCAAGGTTCGTGGTCCCTAGCCTACAAAATGGAGAGAAAAAGGAAACGTCTAATCAACCCCCAGCTGATCACGTTACGGAGGGAGGACGGACAGATTGAATATGCTGCATCTTATGATGATCTTCCATTCTCGAGCAGGCAGGTCTATGCTGTTCGGCGAAGCGTGAGCAAGCTATTCATGTTCCTCCGCCAAAAGATCATGCTGCACTTCGCAAGGAACTCTCTCCCAACTAGTCTTCCTGCAGTGTGCCGCGAAGCGTTTGAAGTGCCACGAAATGCGGGATTCTCCGAAACATTCGCGGAGGAGCTCGAATCCTCCGTATTCGGCATCTTGCAAGAAAGACAGGCTGCATCTTCAGAGCGAAGGGCGAAATCGAGAAGGCCGAGAACCCATTCGAGCCACGCTGATTTGAAATGTTTTCAATCCATTGCTGCTCGCCCTTGTAGAACTCAAGCAGCCCAACGATTGACTTCCGCCTATTGCTGATCGGTGCGCGCACATTGGCCTTCGATCCTGGTACAACCTGCAGGGCATGCGTTACTCGGATCGTACTGCCATGAGAAGTATGGATCGGTCTCATTCGTGAGAACCTCGCCTACGAGACGAGTTGAGCTGCTCAGATCGAACGACTGCTCGAAGACCTCCATGGAGCTGATGCGGATCTGGCCCCAGCCTTTCTGGATCAGCGCATCGATCGAGGTGCCGTAGATGTACTCCTTGAAGCCGGCCCAGCGAATAGCAGAAGCACACATTGGACAGCTTTCGGCATTCGTGTAGAGAGACAGACTGGCAAAGGCCCGTTGTGCTTCGCTTGCGCTGAGGCCGTAAGGTCCTTCGGGATTGGTCAGGACTGTGGTGCAGTTATTGATCGCGGCGATTTCTCCTACAGAAAGAGTCAATACGCTGGCTACTAATATCAGTCAGGAATCACGATATACCATGCAACGTTGGGTTGCCTGTCGAGCCAATAGAATTTGCTCCGATGCAAACTAGCTCACCGAGCCCATCGCCAGCGGTATGATTGACAATCGCAGTTCCGAAGGCACCAAAGGGGCATGGTGAGACCAGATCTGCCAATGCCTGGTTGGCTCTTCTCATCCAATGCGCTCGAATACTGAAGGGAATGCCATTGATGGTTAGATGCGACTCGGCGATCGGCTGTTGTTGACCCAGTGCGAATCCAGCGGCGTATGCGCTTAAGAGCGCGATGGAGATGAGTGAGTGCATCCTGTGAGCAACCCTTCCCGGTCTATGTCGTGAAACAATGGCAGCAATGTACGGTTGGAACGAGCGAATGTCGTTGGTGATGCATGACGGCAAGGGCTGGGCCGTTGTCGCGCTAGGCCGATTGTCTACGATATGCGTGTGGATGACGGGGCTTCGCTTGGCCGAGATAAGCAAACACCATATGCAGGATCCGGACGATAGCGAAGCTTTGTAGAGATGGCCGTACGAGGTTCCAACACTGCTCGTTCATGAGAAGGCCTGAGTTCTTCAACAGCTGAAGTGGTGGTCCTTGGCGACGCGGAGACAACATCCACAACAGCACAACTTGATCATCAACAACCAGCGCGGTCACTGCGAAGAACTATGAGCATCGGAATCGGCAAATGAGCTCCACTGGAAGGCCGATATGCTGGTGAAGAGGAAGTCGACGATGAAAACGCCGCGCCTGAGACACTGCGCAAATTGAGGCACATCTCTCGAAGGCACGAGGAGCAGAAGGGCGCGCGATGGCCATACCCCAATGGGCAGTCATCTGAGGCAGAGCAGAGTTGCCAGAGATTTGGCCACACGAATCTGGACATTCCCACAACTCCCACGGCCGAAGTCGTGCCAGGCACAAGCACCTCTGGCGCCATCGGCCCAGCCATTACGGAGTTCCGTCCTTGGCTTCAATACATCTCGCCAACTCAAGTGCCTTTTGCCTCGAGAACATCTTGCAGTCAGCCTGTCGAAGAGCTATGACAGATCTTGCGTACCATCTGCTGTAACACCGTGCTGGGTTCTACATTGCGCAGCGAACGATTCCGCAAATCTGGCCAGATCTTCTGGTTCGTGCTGTTCGTGCGAATGGGGTCCGTCGCGAACCTGTCCATGCTCCACGGAGTCACACTTGCACACTACATGTCCTGCCTACGAAGCTGGCGTGCAAAGCGTTCTTTGATGGCCTACCAATACCAAACTGTACCTGATGCCACGCTCGCCCGTCGAAATAAACTTCAGGACTGGCTATCCATCTGAATGTGGTCTTGGCATGCACTTTTTCTTCTCGCGCTACCTCCCACGCCATGTAACGCACATTTGCAAGTCTACAAGATGCCGAAATCAATCTCGTCCGCCCATCCGACCTCTGCCAAGTATCACGCACGCCCCACGACACGATGGTGAGCGGACATATTGCAATACCAATGTCTTGGCATTCGGTCCCACAGTGGATCACACAGAGGCATTACATCTCGACAATGAAGCTGTGGCGCAGCGGTAGCGCGTCTGATTCCAGTTATTGGAACCTCCAGAAGGTCATCCGTTCAATCCGTGAGTCTTGCAGGTGCCTTCGAACTCTGAACAGTGGCTAATAAGCAACAGGGGTCAGCTTCATCGCTGGTGATCATCTCATCTTTTTGTTGCTTTGCTGTTCGCTGTCGTTTTGCTCCTCTTGTGGAATGTTCAAAAGCACCAGCATGTGTTTGAGTCTGAGCTCCAGGTAAGGAGGGAACAGCTGAATATATGTTTGTGTTTTTGGCTTGGTGTTCAACAGCTACTTTTGCTCACGTCTATTCCCCGTTGAACTGCGTAATGGATCCAGGCTACTCTCCGGATTGGGTCACAGGTAACGCATGGTGTTCAGGCAGCTCTCCGTTCCTTGACCGTGGCCACAAAAAGTGGAAGACTAGACCATTCACCGGAGACATTATCGATCATGCCAATAACTTCTTGTCCTAGAAAAGTACATCATTTCTGCTCACCTAAAAGGACAAATGAGTGTCTCGACGCAGTACATTGGGGCTTCTGCCACAGACATCGTTGAGATACAATTCACTAAAAAAGTGAACGACCAGGGCTGAGCAGTAGCAACTATGCCTTGGAAGATTGGCTTTCTGCAGCACATAATTCTCGCTGCCGGCGTTGTTCTCAATCGTATTCGTGCGTCGGTGGGCCAAAATAATGGCCCATGCCTCACTCAGGCAAAAGGATCACTGCCCGATAACTGAGTCGAACAGTTGGCCTTTCCATCACAAGCATACAACCAATGCATACGAGTGGAACGCTCTAACCACTGAGCTAAACGGGCAAACGTGTGCCAAGAAATGATTGTCAACAATATACAGGCTGCCAAATGGGGTGAACATGGAGCTGAGCTCTGTCCCTTGGCCCGGAGCCATCCCCACTTTCATCAGTATACGCCGGGATGAATGGGACACTCAGGACGGACTCGTTGTAACGACAAGACTTGCTTAGAATTATGTGGCGGTCAAAAGACTTTTGAACAAACTCCAGCACAAGTCATATGAGCCTGCGCCGCCGGCGTCTGAACCAGGGCGGAAGAGGTCTTCCCTTAGCGTGAAGCCAAGTTCCGCCAATGAAACTTCTCACGATCCGGAAATGCATGCCTAATCGGGAAGGCAGTGGACCTGGACAACATTTGCTGGGGGTAAGCAAAACTGTCAAGGTCGTACACTAAGAAGAATAGGCAACGGCACATTTGGTGGCAATACATATACATGCGCAGCGCCATCAGGCTTCGCCTGCTTCCTACGATGAACAGAGCTTGGTGCTACTGCCTGGGAGTCAAGATTCCCTGTAAGGCGAGGTCAGCAACAGGATGGTCTTCGGCGTCCGACAATACTCACCTTCTGCACGGCCTCCGAATTCACTCGCATCCTCCGCGTAGCTTCTTCTCCAAGCCAGTGGCTCTGTGCAGCATAGAGACTGTCCTCAAACTCCCAGCCATCGCCGCCTTCAACATATACGGCCTTGCCCACCACAGCCTCATTCGTGACAAGACCAAGGATGATCTTCGCAACACTCACCGGGCTCTGCCAAAAGAGGTTGTTATTCTTGAAAGCATCGATGATTCCAGCAGTCATTGCCGTATCAGTGACTCCAGGACAGACCGCATTCACTCGGATGCCGTCACGCTCAGGCAGCGTCTTGCGTGTGGACCGCAGAAGACCTTGAATAGCATGCTTGGACATCTTTGTCCCAGCATTAGCGAAACCCTCGCTTCGAACGGTATTGATCTTACCTGATACAAATACAACCCCGGACTATCCCTAAAAGCATTCACACTCGACAACAACGTCAAACTCTTATTCCTCCCAACTTCCTTCCCGCCTTCCCTCATAAAAACACTCGCAATCCGAGCAAAATTCAACGTCCCAAGAACATTCACATCCAACACTTTCGTATTCCCTTGCTCTTTGACACTTTCGATCGTAAGATTCGGATCGAACCAATTTCCTTGCTCGAAGATTCCAGCGCATGAGATTGCATGATCGATTTTTCCGTACAGTTGGAAAGCTTGCTCGCATAAAGCGTAGAGTTGGTTGTAGTCGCTCACGTCTGTTTTCACGAATGTGAGGTTTCCGGGGAGATTTTCGAGAAGTTGGGAGGCAGCTTGTACGTTTGTGTCGCCCATGACGATTGAAGCTCCATGATGGGCTAGGAGTTTTACTGTTGCTGCACCAATTCCGGTTGCACCGCCTGTTGCGGTTAGCGTGTGCTTTGGCTGGATTCATGAGTGTTTCAGCTTACCTGTGATTACGATGACCTTGTCTTTCAGTTGAGTGAAGAGTCTCTCGTCTGGTATGAATTCTGTCATGGCGGCTTTGGAGTAAGTCGTTTCCCGGGACGGAAACTATTGTAACGCTGCGAGCGTCTGGTGAAGTGCTTGACGAAAGCAATGATGAAGTTAGAGCGCAGATAGGTTTAGCATAAAAGCCGGCTCATTTATTCAATATCAGGTTGAAGTGAGTTGATCTCTGCTGCACTTTATCAGCCCCGCACACAGCTCTGGTGAAGCTGCCTACGCGAAATGCGCTCAGGATTCTGACGAAAGGAGCACGCTAGCCTATGACTCCCGTCCTCTCTCCTTGGGACAGCCATTGTTGACAGCAGTCAATAACATTCACTGGTTTGATTAGCGATCGACTGAGTGGACGTGCCACAACACCAGACATGAATCACATCGAAGGAACCCAAGCCATGCTGGTTAAACTTATCACCACAGTCGACCCGTTCGCCACCACCATCGCAGCATACCCTCATCCGCTCTCTTGGAACTCTCCGCCTTGATTTGCTCCATTTCGCCTGCCAGATTGTGCTTGTCGCTCAGTTGCAAGTTAGGAAGGAACCAGACCAGAATGATGCCAAAGATGCTCGCTCCCAGAGCAGCGTACGTCATATATCGCATGACATCGCTGTAAGCTGCATTGATTGCAGTCCTTTCAGGAGTACCATTCGCGAATGGCTCTTCGGTGAAAGTGTTAAGGATAGTATTGACAAGCTCGTCGGTCGAGTTCGGCAAGTAGTCCCTCAGGCGAGGCGCAAATGAGTTGGTGTAAATCGCTCCAGCAGCTGTGGAGCCCAAAGCGTTGCCCATGTAGATGAACAGCAGTTCCAACGCTGTTGATTGGGAAAGCTCGCTCCTGGGGACTACAATTTGTGCCACAACCAGAAAGATGCCAAGAACGATGCCGGATCCGAAGCCTTGGATGAGCTGAACGATGAATAGCTCTGCGACACTGTTGGTCGCGCCTCGTAGTCGGAGCATGACTCCATAGCCAAGCAGGCGGACGGCGACGCCGATCACCAGCAGCCACTTGTAGCGGCGAGTCTTGTACATTAGCGCGCCTGCGACAAGCCCTGTGAGGACTTGCATGCAGCCTGCTGTAAAGGTCAAGAAACTGGCGTCGCGCACACTGAACTCGTGAACGACGACCGCCAAAGTATACATGTAGGTATGCGTTGCGGAGAATGCGAAGGCGTCCATGAGTCCCATGGTCCATGCCAGGACCAGCGAGATGTTTTTGAAGAAGTGAAGTGGAACAAGAGGATGGGCAGCCACCTTCCATTCGTAGCCGACCAGTGCGATCAGGCAGACGCCTCCGACGGCAATCAAGGCAGGAACCCAAGCTGTGTCCCAGCGAGATGGCGTGGTGCCAGCCAGAGCGAGCGGGAGTAGGACCAATGCAAAACCTGCGACCAGGAGAGTCATTCCGCCGACATCGATCTTGGAGAAGAAAGAAAGGAAAGTCGCTTGCGCCTGTTAACTGTCAGCTTCTTTCCCGCATAGCCAGCAGGTAAGCGACTGACCTTTGTACTATGGCCGAACTGCTTCATTCTTCGCTGGAAGTATAGCAATGGCACAATTACAACAACCGAGCATACAGGCATGATAATGGCGAACATGCCGATACCCCTACTCTCGGTTAGTACTGTTTTAGCTCTGCTTGCGACAGGCACTTACCATCGCCATCCTACTGTGTTAAGCGCAGAGTCCGCAATGAAGGCCGCGATCCACGGGATGATCATGAATGGCAGATTGACAAGCCCATTGGCCAAGCCCCTCCACCTCGAAGTCGTAATATCCGCGACGATAAGTTGGTTCAGGATCTGCATGCTGGTTTGCCCAATGCAGTATATGATATAGCTCGCCGCATATTGGTTGTATTCGTTCGACGAAGCGCAAAGAATGTACGACAAAATGTACAAGGCGACTGCGAAGCAGTACGTCTCTGCGCGACCGATGATGTCGGACACTTTAGCGACGGGTGGTTTCAGAACGGCAGAGACGATAGTGCCTGCAGTCGACAGTGCACCGAGGAGGGAGACTTGCTGGAACTCGCTCGTCGCGAAGTTCTGGTAGTTGTATACGGTCGCATTGTCGAGCTCGAAGATGGTCCACATGAGACCAATGCTGCGGTCTGTTAGTGCGCAAAGCGAGCGGCGTGGTGTACTCTTCAGTTCGCATACCCAATCCACATATAGATCAATCCGTTCTTGCCCCAGGCTTGGCTCCTCACGGCCATGAGCTCTTCATCGGTGCCAGCAACTGAGTCCGCCAGCGAGATCCTGCGTTGTTTCTCATCGTTTTCGTCATATTCATTGTGGTATGGCGTTTTTTCTTCAGAAGTCGTGGTAGTCATGATGTGAGAGTAAATGCAGCCTCCAAAATGCAAAGATCTTATCTTATCTTCCGATCAAGACGATATCAGCTTACATGTCCTCAGGACGGGACGCAGGCTTGCGATCAGCACTGGTCAGGCCATCTGTGATCCAGGAGTCAAGCCGAGACCCAATGATCGATGAGGAACGCCAGTGTGGGGTTACCGTCGCACATACGAGATACCGCATTTGGCATATGTGCGTGGCGGGCTATGGTACATGAAGCTTCAAAGTTTTCTTATGATGAGCATCGCGTCGACATCCCCGCACGATCGCGATAAAAGTCATGCCTGCCTGATGATCTGGCGAGTGGGATTGTTGATCACCACTGTGCGATGTGCAGTCTCGAACCAGTCGTACTTGGGAAAGCTACCTCGTAGGTCATGTTGTCGCTCGTGCTCTGCATATCTGGCCCATAGGCATTTCAGGTGTCGCCACAGCACATGCTGCCTCCTTTGACCTTGTGTCTTGATGAATCGCGGTGTGTCGCTGTGCTGGCCAGGAGGCTGTAGTTCAAGCGGTTGTGAGGATCTTGTAGGCTCGCTCACTCAGAGCGTCCAGGGAGGCATGTTTCGGGACACTTTCATCACCGGGGATACTCAGTAGGCAGTGGTATACGGAGCTGAGTTGGCGTACACAGTGAATGTCTGGCAGAGGGAGGGCGGATGGTGTGTGGAAGGAGAAAGAGAAAGCTTTGAACGCAAGCCACGCCAAGCACAACAGCCACGCGCTGTCCAGCGTTTCAGCCACGGCGGATATCGGGTTCCCATCTCCATCCTCCAGCACGAATGCCTCCATCAAAAAACCTGCTTTGACCACAATCATGCCTCCAAGACCATTTCCGTACGGGTTTCGCGTTGGTACCGACATCATAGCACACGACCGAATCCGCAAACTCATCACCAGGCAACCGCCTAAGTTCAAGAAGGCTAGGCCAGTATCGCAGCTCGATACCTTCCTCCGACGAACATTCACCGCGAGGGAGATCGTCAGATTCTGGCAGCGTAATCCAGGCTTGAATCACAGACAACATAAGCTTTTCAGAGATCCAGTGAAATTGGACACAGTCGTACTGCATCTCGCGGGAAGGTGCGGATATATTCTTCGTCGCTCGAGCCGTGCTAACGTCGTGATAGATGGGCCGCAAAAGAAGCTGCCATAAAAGCGGTAAAGCCGCGAAAACTAACCTTCATGGACGTCGAAATTATGCAGAACAATGAAACGAAGGAGCTGTTTGCTTTGATTCGAGATAAAACCTTCGTTCACAAGCCTCTGAGTTGGGTGGTTGGCGGCATGCGGAGATTGGACCTGAGCAATGCAGCTGCCCCGAGCGACGTCGACCTCGACGAATCGCCAGACAAGCCGGCAGAGTCTGAGTCGCAAGTGCGACCGGCAGCAAATGACGGGACCTCGTTCAAGCCCATCGGTCCAGAATCGGAAGTGCAACAAGCAGATAGTGAGGAGACCTCGTCCAAGCCCACCGTCTCAGAATTGGACGCGCAACAGGCAGATAGTGACGAGACCTCAGACAATTACGATATCTTCTCGTTCCCGGTATATGCGAAGGAAGACGAGGACGGGAATGAAGGTCAGATGGCCATCCTCACCATCAGCCACGACGGAGGCTACGCGACTGCGGTTTGTGTGGCACCGCAAGAAAACCTGCCCGGAGATGTGGGCGGTGAGGCTGCAGCAAGGCTCCTATATGACCTCTGGGATTAGTAGCCTGTTGGGATTGCTGCTTATCATGCATGAAGCCTTGTGTCAGCCACTTCATACTTCAAGGTGCCTTGAACAATGCTCAGACAGCACGGGTCTGCCGAAAAAATTTACCGACGGCTGCAGCTTTCTCGTCTCCACGGATTGTGGCACTCAAAAAGGCCTGTCGGATGCGGGGCACGCTCTCAGAGTCGTCGCACACTCTGTACTCAGCGGAGGCTGGACCAGACTATGAGGAGCCGCGGTGTGCTCGCCAAAGTAACACAACTTTCACTGGCGTGTTGACCAGCTTTGCTGGAACCAAGACATCTGCGGTGCGGATTCCACGACATCGAACAGCAGCCATGCGGCCTTCTGATGATAACTGCACATCAACATGTATAACTTCGTTGTATATCTATCTTCAGTCGTCTACACCGCTCCCGGCATGCAGTATGGCCGATAATCTATACTATCTACTCCTGGCGAACAAAGACAGGCATTGTGTCGATAGGACAGTCCACCTCCACCTCATTTCCGCCAAGATATGAACTCTTGCCGTCCCAGGAAGTCCAGCTAGCACCACTGGGGAGGTAGACAGTAATCTTCGTTTGCTTGGCCTTCAACACCGGCGCAACAAGATACTTGCCACCATACATGTATTGCGTCTCCACAGTCCAGGACCTGGCATCTTGAGGGAATTCGAAAAACAAGGCTCGTATGATGGGCGTGCCCTTCTCGTGAGCTTGCTTCATAAGATCTCGCGTGTAATCTCGGAGCTCCTCACGAATCGCAATGTACGTTTTGCAGATCTCTTCGACCTCCTCGCCATAAGACCAGATCTCGTTCGGTGCACCAGGCTCCGTGGGCTGACCCTCAGGTTTAGGCTCACGATCTCCATGCAATCGCATGACAGGGCAGAAAGCGCCCCATTGGAACCAGCGAACAAATAATTCGCGGAACTCCGGATCGTCGGGACTACCGCCGTGGAAGCCACCAATGTCGGTCGTCCACCAAGGTATACCGGCCATTCCCATGTTCAAGCCAGCAGAAAGCTGGTTGCGGTAGGAGCCCCAAGAGGAAGCGATGTCGCCACTCCAGACGAGTGCACCATACTTTTGGCTTCCCGCCCAAGCACATCGGAGCAAGTTCACGATGTTCTTCTGCCCTTCAGCCTCCATGCCCTCGTAGAAGCCTCTTGCATACTCTTTGGCATAGGTGTTGCCAATCTGCATGTTGCTGCCAGCATGGTAACGGAAGACATCGAAGTCGTAAACCGAAAATTCAGGCTCCGCTTCGTCGAGCCAGAAAACCTTGATGCCAATATCATAGTAGTGCTTCTTCACCTTGCTCCAGACATAAGCTCTCGCTTCTGGGTTCGTGGCATCGAAATGGGTCGTGTAGCCATCGCAGATCAATGCCACACGAGGACCACGATCATGTCGTATGAGCAGTCCGCGCTCCACCATCTCATTCCAGTTCTCTCCAAGTGGATCTACCGAAGGCCAAATCGAAACCATGAGCTCAACCTTCATCTCTTTCAGCTCTTTGACCATTGCCGCAGGATCTGGCCAATACTGTGGATCAAAACTCCATTCTCCTTGTTTCTTCCAGTGGAAGAAGTCAATGACGATCAGGTCCAGAGGTACATTCCGTTTCTTGTAGCCTCTTGCAACCTCGAGCAGTTCTTCCTGCGTCTTGTATCGCAACTTGCATTGCCAAAAGCCGAGCCCATACTCTGGCATCATCGGAACCTTCCCGGTCACGTTCGCGTAGGCTTCGATAATCTCTGCCGGAGTCTCCCCCGCAACAATCCAATAATCAATCGCCTTCGTCGAGTATGCCTCAAAACTCATAACATTCCTCCCCAACACAGCTCTTCCAATAGCCGGATTATTCCACAACAACCCATACCCCAAAGAAGAAACCATAAACGGCACCGTAGCCTGAGAATTCCTCTGAGCAAGCTCAATATCCGTACCCTTTAGATTCAAATATGGTTGTTGATACTGTCCCATCCCATAAATCTTCTCTTCTGGATCCAACGACTCCAATCTCATCGAAGCTTGAAAATCTCCGCCTGGAATACCTTTTAATTCTCTTGCTTGGATCTCTAATGCTGAGCATTTGGGATCTGTCAAATCCATTCGGTTTCGAGCGTATTCTTCGAGGAGTTTCTTGCCGTTGCTATCGTAGATGATAAGTTTGCCTCGTCGAGAGACTTCGGCTCGGATGTTGCCGTTTGTGATTTCACCACTTTGGGCTTCTGTGATGTTGATTTGGACGTTGTTCGAGTCTGAGATCTTTTCGCTCAAGGCCCATTCTTCTGTTGGCATTGATCGGAGCTTTATTGCTCGGATTCGGAAGGCGTTTGGACCCCATGATTCGATCCAGAGGGTGTGATCGTCGTGTCTGAAGACGAGCTTGTTTTCTTGTTTGAAGAGCATTTTGCTGAGGCTGATTTCCTTGGAGGATCGATCGCAATGGCCGATTTCTGCACACAGAATAGAAGGGAATCAACAATGATGTGTGGAACACAGCTCAAATACAGTTCGTGTTTGGAGGTCCATCCCAAGCTCCCGGCGGGATGAATTTGGCTCGAGGATAAATGCTCGGTGCAGCAGCGTCCGAGAGCTGCCAAGCGGGTCAGCTTCTCTGCATGCTCTCTTCAGTACATATAATGCATGCATGGTATGGATGCATACGAATGCTTGTGGGACGCGGATTAATGTTGGAGACGGCGATGTGCTTCCGTCACTTCTATGTCGCTCGCGGTACAAGCAGAAGCCGGTTCGGCTGATCTCGAACGAGCTTCAACGAATGTGAACAGGTAGCAAGATGGCGGGCGTGATTTGTTTGCTATATCAAGTACGCTGTGCTAGCTTGTGCAGATTCTGACTGTACTCACGAGCTTTATCATAACTCATGTATTGTGAACGGCGGAGCAACTTGATTCCTTCTTCGAGAACTCGACGCAGGCCCCGTGGGGTACAAATGTCTCCAGCGCCAGACATCTCAGCTGTCATTGCATGACCTTTACGAACAAATGCCTGAATGATCTCGTCGTCGCAGGGTCTATCGATCAGTATTGTATCGGGGATGAGATCGTCATCCTCGCTCTCTTCTGAGCTTGCTGGGTGCGAATCATTCTGTAAGCTGGAATCCTGTTGTCGTTCATTGTGGCGTCTGTTTCGAGAGTCTTTAATAGCCAGAAGAGCACTGCGTACTTGTGGCACGTAGAGACCATAAGTCCAGAGTATGATTGTAGCCACGTATATCGTGAAAGGCTCGTGATGCAGCGCAAGAGAGTATCGTCGTATGTACCAGAATATTGCACCTGCGTGGACTAAGCTCAGTCGGCCTTTGTGATCGTCCAACGTGAGCCATTTGACGATGTTGGCTGTAAGCTGTGTGGCTGATACATTCTCTGCACCAGCCGCATGGCGTCGACTGAGCTCCGATACCAGTGACATGCAGTCACGGTATGGGCACAGCAATAGCAGGCGTGCTAGGTGCAAGTGGAGGATCGCGGGCCCTTCGAAGCCCTTCGCGGCGTGAATCTCGCTGTTCGCCTTGATGAAAATTCAGTCAGCTAAGATGATTACAAGACGCAATCAGGAACTCCATACCTGCCAATGAAGCAGATCGAAACAGTCGCAGGCACTGTTACGCCATGCAGCATATGTAGAGTTGGCGGGTAGCCATTGATCTTTGGCACCTGTACTCTCTCCTCCTTCTCCGTCATCACTGCCAACTTCATTGTCTCCGTCCGCGGGCGTGGGACTCCAGTCGTGCAGAGCTTGCTGAGCGGTAGTAGCTACTTCTTCGGTCCGCGCGATGATAGCATAAGTCAGCAGGATGTTCTGTGTCGTGTCAACCAGATTCGGAATTCGATGTTTGATGTATAAAGAGCTCAGACTTTCGAGCAACTCTGGGCCTTGTCCAACGTTGTCGAATGCTGCGTTCCAAGTCCAGATGTTGTCCGCCTTCCACAGAACCATGGCACAAGGCAGTCGGCCAATGTCTGTAGGCAATGGTGGCGCCACGACATGACGCCTCGTAGCACTCAGCACCATCTCTGTTAGCCACGTAAACCACCGCAGTCGCCTGTGCGTTTCCTCATGTATCCATGCGGCCCATAGAAGTTCTGTTTGCGATGGATCAATCTGGTCGAGTGGCTGTGCTCTGTACGTAGCCTGATACAATGACATGGCCAGCCTGAGATCTGCCACTGCCGACAAGCTATTATCATCCGAAGAGGCGTTGAATTGCGCGATGGTATGAAGCAAGCAGGTCTGCACCAGCGGCATACGATCCAGAGCTGTATCCGTCTCTAGACACCAACGAACCACTCGTCGGAGGAATTCGCGAAAAGCGTGCGCACATTCCTGAGCTTTACCCTCTTCATCAAATGTGGCTCCTATGGTGATGCAAGCAAGCAGTACGGGCCATGGCACAGCCCTCTGCGCCCAGGATGTGCTGTGAATCAATGCGACGTGTCGCGTAATGTGTTCGAGAAACAGCGTCATACAACGGTTCAGGTAACTGCGTCCAGGGAATATAGCTGCATCAAAGGGCTTCCAAAGAGTAGTCTCACTCACGCAGAGTGAATGAAAGTATCGCAGGATGGTGTTGTAGGATTGGTGGTCGACGATCTCGTCCTCGTTCGTGGGATCATCAAAAGCTCGTGCCACGGCTTGAGGAAAAGAGAATGTATCGTCTCTTAGCCACGAAGTCTCTGCAGGCGCTTTGGACAGCTTTTTGGCTCTCTGTACGGACTTTCGAGCGCCATGACCGTCTACATAGCGTGACTCAGAATCCTTCCTCCGAGAGGGTGCGATGTTCGTCACATCCGTCGTAGATGAAGTTGAGGTGAGGGGTGAGTTCACGTTGATGACACCCGGCAATACCCACGCTGAGCCAGTAATTGCCGTAGATAGCTCGAACTCTTCCAGCATAGCGAGGTCCGCGCCGTTGCTTACAGGGAGCCAGTTCATATTCTCCGACCACGGAAGTTGGTCTAGGCCAGTGTCTACGTTCTCTGGGAAGGCGTCATCGTATTCAAGCCGCTGGGATTCCGATTCCAGTCGCGGAACACCATCGCTTCCATCATCGACTGGCCCGCGTATGGTCGAGGCGTTGAGAGGAAGAACAGCACCAGGTCCGACGACTGAACCACCACTTAGGTAAGCGCCTGACGCTCCCGTGACATTGGCACTGGTTGATGGAGTCGCACCCGCAGGTGCTGTTCCGGAAGCATTGGCTTCGGTCGTGGTCGCTGTGGGATGCTGCAGGTGAACCAGGCCATATGTACAATGCAGTTGCTTCTCTCGACACCGTTCACAGCACTCGCCACCGGAACATCTCGTTCGTGCGATTGCGCAACTGTGGCATGCCCTCCGCGTCCGTTCCCCGCGAGTAGTCTTGGATTCGCTCGCAGCACGCTTGTGGGCTTGCTGATGTCTACGGCAGCTGTCCGAGCGGTTGAACTCCTTGCCGCAAACATTGCAAGTGTAAACTCGATCGCGTTTATGCACAGAGTCGACATGTCTAGTCAGATGCTCGCTGCGCACGAATGCACGCCCACAATGTGAGCACGAAACTGTCATTGAGGTAGAGAGCCAGGATGGGGGCCGCAATGTCGCTCCAGGTTGTTGATCCGGATAAGGTTTTGTGGGATGTCAGGTTGCAAGAGGGGATTCGTGTTTCACCCCGCTTTCTCGCTCCGGTGGGATACCACCCACTAGGGGGACGCGAGACTGGACCAAGTTCCCTTGGGCAACTGGAATGGCCGTAGCTGGAATATAGTTTGTGGGATAACATCCTCCGTTCCACGTGGAGATGACAAGCATTCATATGAAGCATCGTGGGTCCGCTAAGGTGATCGGCCTTCTTCATCGTTAGCACTACTCCCATACTCTACCATCTTTAGCCAAACCTGCGGCGACCATGCTCGTGGACGAGAAGAACAACAGTTCGGCCATGCATGTCGAGAGTCTTGAAGACAAGCAGCATGTCGAGGTTGCGCAGGATGCTGCTGCTGCTGAGCACTCGCAGACCTTTTGGCAAGCCATTAAAAGCGAGCCAAAAGCGGTGCTCTGGTCGGTAGCTGTATCGACTGCAATTATCATGGAGGGCTACGACATTGTCCTGGTGACCTCGTTGTTTGGCCAGGTGAGAGTCATTCGATCAAATGGTCGAAGCGATAGCTAATTGTAACGTCCCGTAGCCAGCTTTCGCCGAGAGATATGGTACGAGGCGCATTCCATTTCATCGCCTCGGCATATGAGTTTGCGCGATATGGGCTGATTTCTTCCAGGCAGCTACGTTGCCAGCAGCACCACTGGCAAATGGCAGATACCGGCTCCATGGCAGTCCGCACTGGGAGCTGCACCTACGATCGGCGCCGTAGCTGGGGCCTTCCTCAATGGCTGGCTCACGCATAAATTTGGGTATCGGAAGGTGTTGCTGGCCTCACTTGTCGCAATCACGGCGTTCATCTTTCTGCTCTTCTTCGCGACCAACTTGACCATGCTGCTAGTAGGCCTGGTGCTATGTGGTCTTCCGTGGGGCGTGTTCGCAACGATGGCGCCGGCATACGCATCGGAAGTCTGGTGAGTGCGAAGTCCAGATTTTATGCCAGCAAAAGCAGGGCTGACAAAGTTGCCGCAGTTCACTCACACTGCGCGGATATATGACCGTGTATGTCAATCTTTGCTGGGCTTTCGGACAATTGATCGCAGCCGGGGTCCTTGAGGGTTTTGCGACAAGCACTTCTCAGTGGGCGTACAGAGTTCCGTTCGCGTTGCAGTGGATTTTTCCTGTGCCACTGTTCTTGCTCATATGGTTTTGCCCAGAGAGTCCGTGGTGGCTAGTCCGACGTGGCCGTACAGAAGAAGCAGCGCATGCCCTCCGGAGACTGGCTTCGAAGTCGTCGACAACACCTCCCGAGGATACAATCGCCCTTATCAAGCACACGAATCAGCTTGAGGATGAAGTCCAATCTGGAACAAGCTACTGGAGCTGCTTCAAGGGCGTCGATCTGCGAAGGACGGAGATAGTCTGCATGGCATTCGCGGCTCAGATCTGGTGTGAGTAGATCCACGAGACACCCCCTTTCCGTACCCATCCCTTTACGAATGTTGATCTGCGAGCTACTTGCTCAGCGGCAGGCTCGAAGTCGCTCTGATTTTGCTAGAGCTACGAGCGTTTTCTGACAGTGGCCCGCAGGTGGCTCTCCTCTTGGTGGTTCCCCAACGTACTTCTTCCTACAAGCAGGAGTTCCGACGTCGACCGCATTCAAGTTCAGTGTCGGTGGCCTTGGATTGGCAAGCTTGGGCACCATCATATCTTGGTTCCTATTGAGTCGCATCGGCCGCAGGACACTCTACGTCTGGGGTATGGCCTTGCTCACAGGCTGTCTCTTGATCACCGGTATTGTGGCCGCCACCTTCCAGGGAAGCACGTCAAGCTACATTCAGGCTGGGTTCGTGATGGCTTGGTTACTCATTTACTATCTCACAGTCGGTGCGTAGAACGATGACCCGAGCGCGCGTGAGATCTTGCTGACTGTTGATGCAGGACCTGTCTGCTACGCCATCATTTCCGAAACGTCAGCCGTCCGTCTGCGTAACAAGTCGGTCTGTCTGTCTCGAATCAGTTATTACATTTGTCAGGTCATCGGAAATGTGATCCAGCCGTATATGGTGAACCCAGGTAACGAGAATTGGCAAGGCAAGTCAGCACTCTTCTGGGCTGGCACCTCTGCCATTTTCTTCGTCTGGACATATTTCCGCCTGCCGGAGACGAAGGATCGGTCGTATGAAGAGTTGAACATCCTCTTTCAAGAAGGATTTTCAGCGCGGAAGTTCTCCAAAGTCATAGTTGATCCATATGCGGAGAGATCAGAGCGCATCAAGCAGGAATAGCCATTTGGATCACCGTTTGCCAGGAAACTGTGTATGGCGGATGCCAAATCTGTTGAAGACAGGACTCATTGAGGCCCGCGCGCAGGTGTCATGTATGTTGTGCAGCTGTTCATAACTCAACGAACCAAGTTTCGACCTTCACTCCATTGTCGGGTCGCGAAAAGTGCCAATGCAAGTTGTGTTGATGGGATTGAGCAGGAACACAGCCCGCGGAGAAGTGATACATCGCAATGCCAAGACAAATCTGACTAAGCAGACTTCCTCCGCCTTGCCGCTCAAACGCGGATCCCGAGATGAACCTTTCCTTCCATAGCACAGAAAGCACATGCTGCGATGCAGTATATAGCCTCAGCACGCGACTCCATGGAGCATCAGCTGGACAGACGCATCGACTTACGGGACGCTGAATATTGCAGGTCTCAGTTCGGTCTCAATCGCGTTCATTTCCAAAACATTCGCTCGAACAGGAGCAGCCTCACCCACAGTCCGGACATTCCAAATCGTGACAGAAGGATTTGAATGGACGTCGAGAACGACACAAGGTATTTCAAACTGCAAATAGCAGGTTAACGACGCCTAGCTTATGCATGAAAGACGTGGAACACTCATCCGTCGTTAACCTGCTATGGGACACGCTGTACAAAAAAAACATGCCCGGTAAAGACAGCTGTTCAACAAGAACTATCTTCATCATTGTTCTCTGATATCGAAGAAAGCCTGCCGGCAGAACGAAGCTTTTGCGGAGAAAGGTTCCAGATCGGCGTTCGAGACAGGTCTTAGCCAAGCCATTGGAAGTGAATCGTGTGGTATCCGCGCTACTACGCGCCTTTGCCGAGGATTCACGGGAGCTATAGCATTAGCTTTGTGGTTGCTTCTGGTTTACATCATTGGCAATTGGCCCTCGAGCATTCGTTTCTCTGCTACTATCAACTACCTTGGCCTTCATACAACACTGTGCACGTGTCACTCTCATTACATTCCATCGAACGATAAATCAAAACGAACAAGATGGCTCTCAACCTCGCAAAGAACCCACTGCTCCAGGTGCGCTATTATACTTCGTCTGACAGAGTTGTCTTGTGGAGATGCTGACCTTTACTGTGTCTACAGCCAGTGACCGTCCTCGCAGGATGGACATTCGTCAGTATGTACCAACCGTCGAAAGCAGCCTACCGAGACAGGCAGTTCACTTGCCGGACCGAGCCCCGGCCTCCAACCTCTCCAACATGTTCTCAGATCGCTAGCCATATCTGAACCACATGCTTACACCACATGATCTCTTTTAGTGCAAGCCTGGATGCACGTCACAAGAATCAATGCTATTGGTAAATACAACGTCTCGATCGACGCGGGCAAAATCAACCAAGATCTTGAGCAAAAGGTCCCAAACAATATCCAGGCCATCGCGCATAACTACAACCATCTCCACGAACAGCCTACGGTGTTTTACGCCGTCGCACTATCACTCATAGCTGCGGGAGACACCCATGACTACACTGTCAAGGCAGCTTGGACATACGTTGGAATCAGGATATTCCATTCTCTGTACCAGGTGCTTGTCAACAAGGTTTTGGTGAGCCACGCCGTTCAAGATACGCAGCCGCGGACAGGTTCCGGAGAGCTAGCTAACAAGTGTCGCAGACCCGATTCCAGATCTTCGCTAGCAGCTCAATTGTCATTGCTGGCATGACCGCCCGCCTCGCGACTCTGGTCTTCTAGATCTCAGAACATGTTTGGCAATTATTGTACATATTTTATATTAATGAAGAGAGCAGTTCGTCAGCCATCGTGCTCACAGAATACATCTTCAGCCTCGACCACTGTGTATGCTGCCATGCTCAACGGCCGAAAGTCATGGTCGGACTTGGCCTGAAGCAGATTGTCCCCACCATATTGGGGTTCGCTGGATGCAAGACTCGCGCAATCTCGACTGTCCACTCGCCAAATCTCTTCTGAGCTGTTGGCGCTCCGCCAATGCAATTGGCCCGATACAAACAGACATGCCATGCGGAACAAGGAATTCCGTGATCATTACTCAAGTCCACAGCGAGTGCGACCCTCCAGCGTTGTTTCCGCGTGTCTGACACCCAGTCTCCATCTGCTCCTGCTGTTGCACCTCCACCCATTGCGAAACCAAGGTATTCCATCAAGAAGGACCGCAGCAAGCACCTGTCCGAGTTCACCGGTCGTATTGCTCGGACTCCCAGGATGAGGGACCTCTATAATCGCCGGGGTACGAAGTCTAGGCCTAAGACTCCTGTTCTCATACTTCGGCCCTGTCTAGGTTAAATGTATCATGCCAAGGCATGCGAGCCGACCGGATCAAGATAGTGAAGAATGATCGGAAGGTTGATGGGCTCTCCTCGGTTTAGCTTTCTACAACCCCATCCTTCACCATGCCTGGCTTCTATTTGGTTTGACCAGTACATGAGGTCCCTTTGAGAAAGGCAACCAGCCGTCAAAGTCCTTCTCCGGTTCCATTCTACATCGCACACTCATCATTCACTTGTCCGTTGCATCTCTTATATCTGGCCAAGAAGTCTAGATGTTGACAGTGGGCCCGAGACACTCGGTCTTAGCTTAATCTCCTTTCTGCAACGAGTAAGCTGAAGAGAAGTGCGGATCGCGGAGTCTTGGCACAATAGTAATAAAAGAGGAGGTAGAGCCAGACATGGTTGAGCTCTAGGTTCCAGCACATTCCTTCATTCGTTAGTTACAATCTTCCTTTTCCACCATCCAAGGCTTGTCCTAGCCACTTCCGAGGAAAATGAAGTTCTCTTCATCGATTATGGGCGCGCTCCTATTTGCGTGCACCTATGCCGCTCCAGCAACACCTGCTCGGGATAGCAAACAACCCACAATTGGATCAAAGTCCAATTCAGGAGCTGGAAACGTCTGTACTTCGCAGTATAATCGTGAGTAGTGTCAACTTGTCATCCTGGCCCATTATTGCTGTACTTCTTCTCTGACGTAGCCACAGGGAACTGCAACTGAATGGCCACGCAAGGTCTACAGTGACAAGTCTCATACGATAGCACACCTCCGGCAGACGATGGCAGTGTGTTATATCGCTCGAAGCATGGTTATTAGCGAGGTATGTAGGATGGCGGAAACGTGCTTGCCCCTTGGTTGTTATGTATCTGAGGACGATGGACTTGGAATGTAGCCTCGATACCAGTGTTTTCTACAAGATATATTTGGGACAATTTTCGGTTGCAAATATGTTCTCTCCGCTATGGTTGCGGAGATTCTCACGTCGAGGTTCTTTGGTTCACGAATCCGAGATGCCTGCATCTTTTGATGTAATAGTATATTTCGCAATGCATTGGCCGGGCTAGGAGACTGTACGATGCCTGTACGTGACCCCCGAAGTAGGTAATTGTCTTGGGGCTGGATGACTCGGTGTGAACTGAAGATTTCAAGAATGTGGCAGGTCTCCAACAAAAGCGTTTTCACGCTACATGGCATCTCGATGATATTCCTCCAGAGAAAACTTCGGTCGCCTAAGACATTCATCTTAGCTTCATAAGCCCTAAGCCTTTCTTTCGACTAGTTCTACTTCGGCGCCGAATTGACATTGAGGGCTTCTCCATTCGACAATGTTAAACAGGAGGCTGTCGGACTTCGCAGAGTACGCAAAGTAATTTGTTCTTTTCTCCTTGCTGTATTCACGAGCTTACCCAATCCAACAATGAAGATTTCCTTATCCTTGAGCGGCCTTTTTCTGGAATTAATTTGCGTCATGGCACTTCCAGCTCCAGAATTGAGCGATCGAGCGATCGAGATCCGTTCTCCACCGAAGCAGACTCGACCAAAGAATCAAGACCCTTGTGACGACGTATTCAAGCGTACGTGCGAATTCGCTGTGAGCTCTGCAAACTCATTCTGATGTTTCTGACCCGAATAACAGGTAACTGTTGAAGGCGCCGGCGATAAGCGAAGGCTGCAAGGAGGACTGGTCATGTCTCAGAGAGATAGTCGAAGAGAACGGAAAGGAAGCTTCGCAGGACGTCCCATTCCAACGTAGAGAAGTGCTACAGGTCGTCTGGGATGTGTGCTGTAAGGCAGCATGTGTGGTCATCCGGTGGAGAAGGCAGCTTCCATACCCAGTCTCTATACCGGACAAGTTCCTCAAGCTGGAGTATCGTGATCCTGCTGTTTCAGATCAGTTGTTGCGGCGGATATTCAGACCAAGTCTTCAAACATCCCCGGGGCTCGAGGTACATTTTCTGCCGTTCGTTATAGATCTTTCTCGTTGCGCAGTTGCTCTTCTCAAGCGCGGCTGATCGATTCGCCATCGGTGCCCGCATCGTTGGACGTCCTTGACCCAAAGGCCGAAGCTTCGGAACACAGTAGGAACGTTCCTACGGAAAGACTGTACATACATGATGCCGCCCATTTGCGCCCAGCCGGCCATTTTGCTTGGTCTTTTCAATAGTATCTTTGATGCCAAACGGGGACTCGGACACCCCATTGAAAGTTTTGCTATGCCCGTACGAGCAGGTCTCGTGCTCGAGCTTTAGACCAGAGGCTCATTCGCTCATGGCCTAGCCAAGCCTTGTCTAGGGTGACCTCCGAGGTGTTGCTGGCTGCAATCCGCCGAAGCATGAAACGGCGTACTTTGTTCGGAAAGACAGCTACGCATTACTATCTAGGGCTCGACGCAAACGAGTGCCAGGCTCCAGTTCGTCGAGAAAGCATATAAGGGACATGATGGTCGTGCAGTTGGCGAATCAGAACAAACCGCGGGTCGAGTGCAAGTGCTGGTCACCTACACATTCTGTTCCCTTCTTGGACATCGTTTTCCCCTTTCCTTCCTGCTACTATGAGAATGAAGTGTGAGTTCCGTGCTCCATTGTGCCAAGAATTCGAAGCGGAGGTTGAGTAACTGATATTGATTCCGACAGGCGCCGTGTTGTGCTCGATTGCCACGATCGCTGGCTCTGCACTGGCCGCTCCAATCTTCGAATGGGACCCCGATAGCATTGCTTTCACTGGGTGGGAGAAGCGTGAAGCCCAGCCATGGTTTCCAAAGCCATTCGGCGTGAGTGCAATGATTACACTTACTGCTCTATCAAACCTTAGTGCTAATGTCATTCGCTCATTCAGTGGCGTCTGCCCAAGGCGGTTGTCAATCATGTCAACAGCAAACGCGAAGCCGATACCAAGCCGATCTTCGAGTGGGATACGGAGAGTATCGCATCCACCGGATGGGAGAAGCGTAATGCTGAGGCCAAGCCGATCTTTGAATGGGATCCAGACAGCATCGCATTTACCGGCTTTGAGAAACGTGAGACTCTTGCTTCGGCTCTGGCGGACCCCAACTTCATCACCAGATTCATCAGGAAGCACCTGGGCTCTGTGATGGGTGGTGAGAAGAAGCGCGATGCTGCCCCGATATTTGAGTGGGATCCGGACAGTATTGCGTTCACCGGCTTTGAGAAGGCGTAAAGCGACTGTAGAAGCAATCACCGAGAAGTAGTCTTTTCTCGGGGCTCAAGAGAGTCATTTGAGCCCACTGTTTGCATAGATGGGCAGAGTGACTCGGTTCCATCTGACTGAGACTCGAATGATCCACAAGCTTGACGGTCAAATACTGCTCATTCGATATTCGTCCTTCATAGTAGGCCCTGGACCGGTTTCCCTCTTGGTGAACAAGACATGCTTCCAAAAGATGCTGTTCGCCATCTTGTTGTCGCTTCAGACTTTCCACCTGGGCCGCAGCCGCTGTTTGATGCTCCGGGCAGCATATATCGGCTGAAATCCATCAACGTGGACGGAGTGGACAGGAGTGATTGGATTACGTGTTCTCGGGGGAGAGATGCGGCGGAGTGACCCCTGCGTGTGATGCTTAGCGGCAACCTTAATGGAACTCGGTCCGCGCCTGTGAACGCGTTCATCGAACAAATGTGCCAGCTCGCTCAGTCCCTACTTTCGTAATCAATGTGAACAACACAGACGAGCGCGCGAGTCTCATAACATGGCGCGACTCGGGCGAGTGGGCTTCCTGGGCGTGGCGGTGGTCTTCCACCTCATTTACGTCTACTCCATCTTCGACATCTACTTCGTCTCGCCCATTGTGCGTGGCATGCGAGCGTACCGGGTTGAAGATCACGAAGCTCCCGCAAAGCGATTGGTGTTATATGTCGGTATGCTGTGCATAAAGTCTGCTTGCTCTACTCAGCACTGACGATCCGCTTCTCAGGTGATGGACTCCGCGCCGACAAGGCCTTTCAATTCTTCCCCGACCCCTCTCGACCCGCCAACGAGTCCGCCTCCCAGGATGTCGTCCCAATGGCCCCCTTCCTCCGATCGCGAGTCCTCGAGCATGGCACCTTTGGAGTGTCCCACACCCGTGTACCCACCGAATCGAGACCCGGGCACGTAGCGTTGATTGCGGGGCTGTATGAGGATGTGGCAGCAGTGACGACGGGATGGAAATTGAACCCGGTCAACTTCGACAGCGTGTTCAACAGGAGTAGACACACATGGAGTTGGGGTAGTCCGGACATCCTTCCCATGTTCTCCACGGGAGCTGTGCCTGGGCGAGTTGAAGATGCCACGTACGGCCACGAGTTCGAGGATTTCAGCAAGGATGCCACAGAGCTGGATTATTGGGTGTTTGATCGCGTGAAGAAGCTGTTCAAGGATGCGGAAACAGACCCAGCATTGAACAACAAGTTGAGACAGGACAAACTGGTCTTCTTCTTGCACTTGCTCGGATTGGACACTACGGGACACGCATATCGACCGTACTCGCAAGAGTATTTGAGGAACATTCAGATCGTTGATAAAGGAGTCCAGGAAATTACAGAAGTCATCAACAACTTCTACGATGACGATGAGACAGCCTTCGTCTTTACAGCAGACCATGGCATGAGTGACTGGGGCAGCCATGGCGATGGACATCCCGACAACACGAGAACTCCTTTGATCGCCTGGGGATCAGGCGTAGCGAAACCGCAGACTGTGAAACAAGGAAAAGCTCCTGGACACGAAGATGGCTTTTCTAGTGACTGGCGCTTTGACCATGTGCAGCGACACGACGTTGCTCAGGCTGATGTTGCGGCGCTCATGGCCTATCTTGCTGGACTTGAGTTCCCTGTCAACTCTGTCGGAGAGCTCCCGCTTTCCTTCCTGGATGCGAGTGACGAAGAAAAAGCCAAAGCCTTGCTAGTGAACGCTAAGGAAATTCTGGAAATGTACCACGTCAAAGAGCGGGAAAAGATGGCAACAGTACTGCGCTACAAGCCGTACTCGGGATTCGCCGATGCTGAGCACAGTGTCGAGAATCGCATAGCATCGATCGAGCAGTTGATCCGCAGACGTGAGTATCAAAAAGCTATCGATCAATCTGATGAACTGATTCAACTTGGTCTGGCTGGTCTCCGTTACTTGCAAACATATGCATGGCTCTTCCTCAGGACTTTGGTCACAGCAGGCTACCTTGGGTGGATAGCATTTGCCTTTACCACCGCCGTCGATGTGCACATTCTGGATGGCAAGGTGGACGTGCAGCGAACTCCGAGTCTCATCATCAGCTCCGTATCGATCCTGGTTGGTTTGTACAGTCTGCTGGTTTTCCAAGCATCTCCCATCACCTACTATGCTTATGCGCTCTTCCCTGTCCTGTTCTGGGAGGAAGTCTTTGCGCGTCGCCAGGCATTAATCCAAGGCAAGAACAAGCTCTTTGCCAACTTCTCGAAGGGCGAAGTCACTAAGCTGGCAGCCAATGTGCTGGGCTATCTAGCTTTGCTCGAAGTCATGGTAGGCCGATTTTGAACAACGCATTCGCCGGGAGCTGACCAGTCGCACAGGTGCAAAGCTACTATCATCGAGAGATTTACACCATTCTCTATCTGGTCGCTACAGCTTGGCCTCTCCTTTATGGCACTGACTTCGTCAAATCCAACGGGCTTCTTTGCACGACGTGGGCGCTCTCGTGTGCATCCATGAGCATTTTCACTCTGCTGCCAGCCAACAAAGTCGAGAGCTCTGGTCTCATGTATGTAGGCCGATTGCAACGAACCGAAAACGAAGCTGACAAATTTCCAGCCTTTTGGGAGGATTCCTCATTCTTCTCATTGGTGTTCTGTACATTGCCTTCGAACAGAGCTTGCTGGTGCAGAGCTCAACATCCAAGGAAGACCTCGAAGCGGCAGAAGCAGACTACGTCTCGAGATTGATCCTCGGCGCGCAGGTAGGGCTGGTGGCACTTGCTATGCTTGTAACCAGATCGAGCGTCGCTTCTCTGCAAGCAAAGACGGGCCTGCCTCTTGGTACGCAGATCCTTGGGTGGATTACTTTGGGTAAGTGCACGTCTTTTCCCTTACTTCTTACGCATACAACACATCTCATCGCGCACTGGGCTGGCCCCGTGAAGCCAGCATTTGAGCATTCTTAGCATTCATACAACACGTGCTGTGCAACCGTCAGTACATATCGACAATGGGGATTTATGCCAGCACTGCAGACGAGCTGGAGGATGTTCTGTGCATCCTGCAGCATCCTTGGAGATCGTTTAAAGCCTACGACTTGTCGACGCAGGTCTGGATGGGTCCGTTCCTGCTCATGTACCTCCCACTGGGCTGCTTGGTCGCATCACTTTTCGAATTGCTCTTCCGACTGCCATTTAAGCTCATGTTTGGAACGCGCAAGTAGTGGCTGGCGACGACAGACGAGCAATACTGGTACGACTACATCTATGCTTCCCCGGGTCGCAAACTGTTGATGGTCCACTTGCAAGATGAGATCTCTGCTGTGCAACTCGATGGCACCAGTGAGTCGCCTTGTGAAAAGGGTGCCCGAGCGCAAAGGACATCCGCTTGGACGAAGATGACAGTCACTTGGATGTGGACCAAGAATATTTATGTCCCTCCACTGGCGATACCACCAAGGACACTTTACCTGCATCTGGGTCAAAACCTTACGCTCCCGAATCGGACTTCGGCTGCTGAACATGATGCTCGAATGCCGCAGGAACAACGCAGCCGTTCCATGAACGAGCGTCTCGAACCACCACTGCACAGGAATCGCGCATGGAAGACAGAGGATGTCGCTGTCGTTGTACTCACAAATCATCTGGAAGGACTCCTCGCTAACACACATTCTCTTAGTCACGTCCCTCATCCTGCCATTTGCCCACGCGCTCCGACCCCGGAACCACTACCTTCACCGTCTTGCCATCATCTTCCTTGCCTTTGGACCGGTGTTCATCATTCTCACCATCTCCTACGAGGGTCTCTTCTATTTCGCGATCGCCATCACTCTCGTCAGCTGGGTGCGACTCGAACACAGAATACATCAACGCTTTGGTGGAAGCAGCGCCGACACCACTACAGCGGCAGCCAAAACCTCATCTAGTGCATTGGGCGACAGCACACACGCCGCAAGTAACGGTGACGCCTCCCACGCCAACGGTCTGAAGAAGAAATTGGACGTCACGACTCCACTCGCACCGGCATTGGACGCAGCGCAACAGCGTGAGAAAGCCGCCCAGACAGGCGATTACAGGAGTCTCACCCTCTCCGACGCTCGAATCTGTTTGTTCTTCCTCTTCTTCCTCCAATCTGGCTTCTACTCCACCGGCAACATCGCCTCTGTCAGCTCTTTCTCCCTCGACGCCGTCTACCGCCTCATCCCCGTCTTCGACCCATTCTCGCAAGGCGCCCTTCTCGTCCTCAAACTCCTCGCTCCTTTCGCCCTCATCTCCGCGAACTTGGGCATCTTGACCAGGCGCTTAAAACTCCGAGGCGGAAGTCTTTTCGCCATCGTTATGGGCATCGGCGATTACTTGACATTGCGCTTCTTCTGGGAAGTGAGAGATGAGGGAAGTTGGTTGGAGATCGGAGAGAGTATTAGTATGTTTATTATTGCTTCCGTACTTTGCATTTTTGTTGCGGGCTTGGAGGCTCTTAGTGAGGTTTTCGTTAGAGGGGTGGAGTTTGATGATGATGTCGTGAAGGGGACAAATTCGAGTAATGGGACGCTTAATGGCAAGCCTAATGGTGTCGTGGCAGCTTCACCGACTGCTGCTAAGAACAAAAAGAACAAGTAGTGGCAACGATGAGGAAGTGGTTCCCTCGTTGTGAAAAAGATTTCTTGTACGAATGGTATGCACGCGTGTACAGTCTAGGTTACAGAGTACGATGTACAGCTCTCTGAGTTTCAATGTTCAGATGAACGCTCACCTGATGACTGCGTCGTATCTATCTCGTCGGATTCTTACTGACTCTCCTGGATCCAAGGTGAGACGGCGTGCATATTGGCCAATCTTTGCCTAATTCCTCAGCTTTCACTGGACGATGAAATAGATTGATATGCCAGTGTCTTGAAAATCTGTTGAACTATTATAATACTTCGTCAAAGGTACCGAATCCCCTTCATCACGCCAGTTGAACTTCATTACACATTCGTCTTCATCGCTCATGCATCGCTTAGAATCAATCAATCCACCACAAACCCCAAATTATCCCTCTTGTCATCCGTCAATCGTCCCCATTCCAACAACAACCTGAACATGTAAATCTCCATATCCTCTTTTCGTAACACTTGTTCCGCCCATTCTTTCCCTTGCCTGGCGATCCTCTCCGCCTCTTGATGATGCGCCTCGACACTCACATCTACGCCACCGATTTTCGCGTACAAGCCTTGGAAGTAAGCTAATGTCGCCCAGAGGCCTTGACCTCGAAGGTCCAGTGGGACGAAATGTACCCAGGCTTCGACGCGGTCGTCCCACCATTCGCGGAAGAGGGCGGCTTTGAAGGGCAATGAGTTGCTTTGTAAGAAGGGAAGGAAGCGGCCTGAGAAACCTGCTCCATCGAGGTCGAGGAGGTACTTGTATTGCCAGTGGGCTTGGAAATCGAGAGGCCGTTCCAATGGGTAGAATTCCTTTTCTTGATCGGAGCAGTCTCGGCCGGCGCAACGGACAATGGAGTCAACGAAGTGGACGTCTGTGGCGAGGAAGCTGGAAAGTTGTTGGACGGAGAATGTCTGGTATTCGAGGTTGTGAGGGTGGCGATGAGATTTGACGAGGAGCGTCTGGTCGGGATTACTGTTGTTGATGTTGTTGCTGAGATGAACAAAGCGTTGTCGCGCCATGCCGCGCCATTGGCCTACATTGCCGTGGAAGGAGAAGCCTTCTGATGTGGCGCCTCTCCAGAACAGCGTTGATTTCTTCTCTGCGAATGATCCATCTGGGTGTTCTTGGTTAGGCTCGTACTTGGCCTTGTCGATATAGTTCCAGGCACTCGGATATATAATATCGTTGAAGCCGCCTGCTTTACTTTGAGAGAATATTGGGTACAGTTCAAAGCTGGCTTTGAATGCTGCTGGCGATAGGTATAGCCCGTGCATGTCTGCCAGATCTGGTTGGTGGCAAACGTCGCCCGCAGTGGTCCAATTCGACAGGAAGGCGCCCATAGAATGTGGGTAAGCGCATGATCGACATAACGAACCTGTATCCCATGTTCGCTCCGCGCGTGCAGGAGAGTTCGGAGGACAGCCGATGTTGCCAAAGCGATGAAATGTTGGCTGCCAAGAAGCTTCCACCAGTGAACTGTCGTGCAAAGGTTCATCGGGTATCGGCTTCCATTGCTGGCTGCGAGCCGATGTCCAAGTTTTGTCGACGTTGATCGGTATGTTGCCACGTGCGCCTACTTGCCGCATCGGTTCCACGTGCTCATACGGTACGGAGACCCTACATTCGTCGTTCAGGTTGAATGCGAGGTCCATGTCAGGTAACTTGTCCGCGAACTTGCTGATCATGTCTACGATCCCTTCCAGCATCCAAAGGTGAGTGGGTACAACGTTCGGCGATATGGCGACCTTTCCGCTGCGTATCGAGATCCCGGCTGCATCGTTCCAGGGGTTAGCGATCAGGTTCCAGGTCCGTTCTCGAATTTCTGCCGGAGTCAAGGCATGGAAGGGAAGCAAGTCGCGATGTATACTGTCGAAGTTGTCGACGATAGATGACTTGCGACTAGTCGCAAACTCGTACCAAGCATCGAAGCCTGGCGGAGGGAGTCGGTTATACCGTTCGCGGTACGTCTGTACGGCTTCGGCCAATGTTTTGCTGGTCGCTGACTGTGCGACAAATGTTTCATGCGCCGCTTCGGCTTGATACAGAAGCATGTCAATGGGATGAAACGCAACCTCTCTGTGATAGCACAGCCAGAATCCTAGCCAAAGAAGCATGGTTGCGATACATGCAGCAGAGAACCATGCAGGTACCTTGCGCAGTAGTCTTTCATCTCGAACGTTGTGATGCGTTGCCGATGTAGCTTCAGTCTGAAGATAAAGCCACACACCAAGGAGTAACAATGCAATGCCACAGAACGCCGAGCCGAAGTAGACTGTTGGAAAAGGGTGGCTGTTGGCCCACGCCGAGAGTATCGAAGCCGTAAGAACACTAATGCAGGTGGTGACCACGCTCGTTGATAAGAGACCAATATGATGAACCTGATCAATGTCAGCGCAACGTTACTTGGACTCCTGCGGCAGACCTACGGTTTGCAAAGCGCAAGTCAGGGTGAATGCAATGTAAACATTAAGCTTCATTACGCTCCACAAGTAGATGGAGGGTATCGTCAAAAGCCACGTGCGTCCAGTCTCTTGGACATACCAATACACACCGCCTACTACGAGCCAGAAGCCGGCGCAGACCTGATTTACTCGTTAGTGAACGTGGCCGGATCCACCAATACATTGGACATACCAGCAGCGCCAGACCGACTACTGCAAATCGATTTGGGGTGCTGAGTGCACTCTTTGCACCTGGTGAGGAAACAAGTTGATCCATGTAGTACAGAATCGCAATGTCGAGGATGGAAGCAACGCGCTGAAGCCATGGTACTGTGGTCCGATAAGGCAGTGAAGCGGCGCATATGTACGTCGATGTTGGACTTCGCACTGCACTGAGCACTGACCCACCGCCCAGAGCAATAGCGAAGGTGGCTATTACTGGAGCAACCGCAGAAGTCGCAAGCTTGCGCAGCCTCGACGATCCATCGTGTTCTTCGTTATCGCCTGTTGTCTTCGTCCTTTGGAGGCTTCGTGAGGACCAGTACTGCCACGCGCCAAACACCAGTGGTACCCACGTGGTCCAATGCGTTTCGGCGCAATGCGCGTTGTCAATGACGCGTCGCAGTAAGTCTACTCGGAGGCAGATCAGCGCGACCAATGTGAGGAATATTATCCGCAGCTTGCGCTGACTGCTCGCGTGTGTGACATCCTCGCGACTGGGACTGGGTTCCCTGCTGGGATGTGGCTGGCCGACCTCGTTCAACGGCAGCAGCTGATCGTACTGTCCTCCATTTTTGCGCCGGCGCTGCTCTTGGTCTTGTGGAAGCCCTCTACTCAATGCAACTACTGCGCCGCCTGCACCGAGAAGAATCGCGGTGCAACTGTGGACCGGGCGATCGAATGCGAAGCTCGTGGGAAGCGCGCGCGTGAGGACGACGGTGCCCAGGATGAGGCCACTGGAGAACAAAGAAGTCAGCGCGAGACACAACAATTATGCGCGTCAGACGGAGAGTTTTACCTTAGAGCTGGCCACTTGGCGTTCACCATCATGCCTCGGGATCAGCCATTGTCTGACGAAGCTGACTGGGCGCGGTAACACTGCTGGTCGCGGGCGCAAGTGTGGCTGAGGCTCGTAAGCGGCTGTATGCTCGATTCTAGCGTCCAAGTCGTTGATGATCGTGGAGTCGTCGCGGTCGTTGAAAGGGAGGCGGGAGACTGAGGACTGCCCGTGCTGTGGTGGATGCTGTACGCGAGGGTGGGCTGATGGCTGCTGCAAATGGCAACGGCGCTATCATTCCTTCACAAGCCAAAACCTGCAAACCGGGCTCGGCTCCGTAATTCCCAGATCCCTGCTGTCCCATGTGCGACATTGTGGGGATAAACTTTGATGCTTCGTCCCAAAAAATTCCGTGCACAGACGGCGAGCTTCCAACGCCGATTTTTGCATCAGCCTCAATGCACGATATGAGAGGTCTGACCATGGCGTAGCACCCCCAGCCGACGAAGGCAACCGAATCCCAGCTTCCCGGCGTAATCTTCTCCCGCTGCCATCATGCCGAAGAAGGCCATCGACGCGCGCATTCCTGCCCTCATCCGCAACTCGCAGCTCCTCCGCCATCGATCCCTCTTCGTCATTGTCGGCGACCACGCTAAAGATGTCATCGTCAATCTGTACCACATCTTGCTGAACCTCGACATCAAGATCAGCAAGTCCGTACTATGGGCCTACAAAAAAGAATTGCTGGGCTTCAGCAGTCACCGCAAGAAGCGGGAAAAGAAGATCAAGGCGGAGATTAAGCGAGGCCAGCGCGATGTGGACGAGCAAGATCCCTTCGAGCTGTTCGTCAGCACGCGAGATGTGCGATATGTCTACTACAAGGAGACGGAGAAGATTCTCGGTCAGACCTTTGGCATGTGCGTGCTGCAAGACTTTGAAGGTCTGACGCCGAATTTGCTGGCGAGGACAATGGAGACGGTAGAAGGAGGAGGAATGGTCTTACTCTTGCTGAAAAATATCACCAGTCTGAAGCAGCTGTACACCATGAACATGGATGTCCATGCGCGGTACCGCACAGAAGCTCACGGAGATGTCGTGGCGAGATTCAACGAGAGATTTCTGATGAGCTTGGGAAGTTGCGGAGGCGCATTGGTCATCGATGACGAAATGAACGTACTGAGCAGTGTCTCTGGTGCAAGAGGAGTGGTGGAGCTCAAGAGCGAAGAGGTCACAACACAAAGCCAGAAGTCGAAAGAGGAGCTTGCTGAGATCAAAGAGAGTCTTGAAGGCGAGAAGCCAGTTGGCGATTTGGTAAAGCTTGCGAGGACAGTAGACCAAGCAAAGGCCCTCATGACTTTCGTCGAAGCCATAATGGAGAAGACACTGGCAAGCACGGTGACACTCACAGCAGGCAGAGGACGGGGAAAGTCAGCTGCTTTGGGCATGGCAATAGCTGCAGCAATCGCGTGCGGCTACAGCAACATCTTCATCACATCACCATCTCCTGAGAACTTGAAGACATTGTTTGAATTCGTCTTCAAGGGCTTCGATGAGTTTGGCTACCTCGATCACACAGACTACGACATTGTACAATCGACAAATCCAGACTTCAACAAAGCCATCGTCCGAGTGAACATACACCGAGAGCACCGACAGACGATCCAGTATATTCAGCCGCAGGACTCATACACTCTTGGACAGGCGGAGCTCCTAGTCATCGATGAGGCTGCCGCCATTCCTCTGCCGCTTGTGCGAAAACTGCTCGGTCCATATCTGGTCTTTATGGCGTCCACAATCAATGGATACGAAGGAACAGGCCGCTCGCTCTCCTTGAAGCTGATACAACAACTACGGGATCAATCACGGAGTGTTGGCAAGCCGAACGGCGACACCAAGATCGCGAACCGGGATGGCAACAAGAAGGAGCAAGACTACACACCGAGGACCGCTCGATCGCTACGAGAGATCGAACTGAACGAGCCGATTCGATACGCTTCTGGAGATGCTGTTGAGAAATGGATGAACACACTGCTTTGTCTTGATGCCACACTGCCGCGGAAATCGAGGATTCATGGAACTCCTCATCCTTCACAATGCGAATTGCTGCAAGTGAACCGCGATACCCTCTTTTCATTCCACCCAATCACCGAAAAGTTCTTACAACAGATGATGGCGCTTTATGTCGCTTCACATTACAAGAACTCGCCAAACGACCTGCAACTCATGTCTGATGCGCCGGCGCATCAATTGTTCGTGCTGGTAGCGCCGACTGCAGATGATGCCAATAAGCTGCCGGAAATTCTTTGCGTGGTTCAGGTGGCCTTGGAAGGACAGATCAGCAGGGAGAGTGTGCTGAACAGCCTTTCGCGAGGTCAAAGAGCTGGTGGCGATCTCATCCCATGGCTTGTCAGCCAGCAATTCCAGGATTCCGAGTTTGCAAGCCTGAGCGGAGCACGGATCGTGCGCATTGCCACGAACCCGGACTATGGGAACATGGGCTACGGGTCTCGTGCACTTCAGCTTCTGAACGAGTTCTACGAGGGCAAGCACATCAGCTTGGACGAGTCTGCAGATGTGCTCGCCATGAACGAGGAGTCAGCAAGGCGGGTTACCGACGAGGAGCTTGCTGAGGGCTCGTTGCAGACGGAGACGATCAAGGTTCGCGACATCAAATCTATGCCTCCGCTTTTCGCACGGTTGCATCAACGTAAACCTCCTAAGCTGGACTACACTGGCGTTTCATATGGTTTAACGCAACAGCTCCACAAGTTCTGGTATCGAGGTGGCTATGTCCCAGTCTATCTTCGGCAGACTGCAAACGACCTGACCGGCGAGCATACGATGGTGATGCTGAAGCCAACCAACAGTGATACAACAGATCCGAGCTGGCTCGGCGCCTACGCACAAGACTTCCATCGCCGAATCTTGAACTTGTCCTCTTACCAGTTCCGTGTCTTCCCCACCGTTCTGATCCTCTCGATTGATGACAGCACCAACAAGGGCATCAAATTACTGGATGATTCCGAAAAGGCCCGTCCACTCGACAAGCCAGAGCTTGATAAGCTGTTCTCTCCCTACGACATTAAGCGGATAAAATCGTATGCGGACAACATGCTGGACTATCACGTTATCTTGGACTTGATGCCTACGATTGCAACTCTCTTCTTTACTGGCCGCATCAAAGACGACAATGGAGTCGTGCTCTCTGGCGTGCAAAAAGCCCTACTCTGCGCGATCGGGCTGCAGCGCAAGATGTTGGAGGACATGGAGAAGGAGCTCAATTTGACTGTTTCACAACTCATGGCCATGTTCATCAAGGTGATGCGCAAAGTCAGCACGCACTTTGAAAAAATCCTTTCTGGTGCCATTGAAGCTTCTATGCCTGCCACCAATGGCCGAGCACATGCTGCGCCTGACGATGAAGATGCGGAGCAAGCGATCGATGGCGCTGCCGTGAGCAAGAACCTCGCAGACGATCTAGCAGAAGGAGCGGAGGAGTTCAACGAAGAGGAAAGGCAACGAAATCGAAAGATGATCGATGCCTTGCCTCTGGACAGATATGCTATTCAAGAGGGTGAGGCAGGTTGGGAAGATGCCGAGAAACAAGTCAAAGATGCGGCGAAGAAGGGGAAGAGCGTTAGTACCATTGCTGTCAAGAGTAGCAAGAAGGGAGAAGAGAAGAAGCGGAAAGCTGGTGAGGCATTGAGGGAAGCGCAAGAGGAGGCCGAGAAGCTAGGTGGCGGTGGTGGCAAAAAGAGTAAAAAGAGCAAGCGATGAAGTTCAGTATAGAATAGATACCCTTGTACAACATTGAATTGTACGTTTCTCTCGGGCTTGTTTTCGCTCCTATAGCATTCTTTATGCTCGTGCCGCTCGTTCAGCGGCCGCTGCTTGGCGTCGGCACTCCCGGCTGGTCCACTGCAACCCTTCTTTCCAAGACCGTCTCCACCACCAAGACCAAAGGATCTCGCGGCGCGCTGGGCTATCGTCACCTGGGCCAACGAGACGCCACAATTTCGTTCCCATGCACGTTCATCGAGCAATTCGTTCGATGTCGTGCTTTTGCGCGGCTTCCTTTCTGCGCCGTGCTTGCGCGGAAGTTGCACACTCGCGTGGGAATTTTCCCTAAGCACCACTTGGCGTGGAGGGTTCGTGCCATGCGAACTTGGCGATGACAGAGTTGTTCACGGTACCGAATAATGGTGAGTTGATAGGTGGTGTGGTACAAGGTGTGGGTTTTGCTTTCCCTTTCATAGTGGAGTTCGTGTCTTTACTTCCCTGTTTCTTCTGGAATTCGATCTTATATTCGATAGATCCATCTAGCCGGACATTGAAGGCCCTACAGACGAGAAGACTACCCACATATCACGAGACAAGCCATGTATGGATCCGTACGTTCGTGATACGGTTTACATACTCAACATCGAGTGGCATCCTTGAGAGCCACCCGATAGTCTCATCGCAGACAAGAACGATCAATCTACCAACAAGAGAAGGCCAAAAGGACCTTCACCATCAAGACCGACACAAAAGACCACAGCAAAAATGCCTCTCCCATCCTTCCTCAAGAAGGTCGTCGACACCATCGCCCCACCGCCCAGCAAATCCTCCGATGGCCGCGACCAATGGCCCTCCCGCGCCGCCTTCCTCCTCGCCGCCATGGGCGGCTGTGCCGGCCAAGGAAACCTCCTCCGCTACCCTTCCGTCGTCTACAACAACTACGGCCTCCAATGGTTCATCCCCTATCTCCTCGCCGTCTTCCTCATCGCCATCCCAGCCTTAATCCTCGAAGTCTCCATCGGCCAGGCCTACCGCGGCGGCAGCATGATTGCTTTCAATGGCATCAATCGCCGACTCCGAGGTGTAGGAATCGGACCTGTCTTTGTCAGTTTCGTGGTCGTGCAGTATTTCACTGTAAATCTGGCCTGGATCATGAGTTATTTCAGGCATTCGTTCACGAGTCCTTTGCCTTGGGAGGGGAGGATTAATGAGTTTTATGATGATGATGTTGTGGCGAATCCGACGCCGCCTGCTGGAAGTTTGACGCCTGGTGGAGGCAGCGTGGCGAGCTATACACAGTACAATGATGTTGCACTGATTGGGGAGACGGTCGGGTGGTCCGTGTTCATCTGGTTTATCATGTGGCTGTCCATCGTCAGAGGAGTGGGATTGACTGGCCGTGTGGTGTATTTCAGCATGGGGATTCCGATTGTCACGACTATTATCTTTGTGGGACGATCTGTGAGTCTGGAGAATGCTGGAGAGGGAATTCGACTTCTTTGGGCGACGTGGAGAGGCGATCAATTGAAATCTGGAACTGTCTGGCAGACTGCTGTGGGTCAGGTCTTTTTCAGTACAGGAATCGGCTTCGGATACTTCACTTCGTACGCATCGTACAATCAGAAGTATTCGAATGCGGTCATGGATTCGTTGTTGATCTGCGGAAGCAATGTCCTGTTTGAGAACTTTGCAGCTTTTGCGGTATTTGGAGTTGTCGGGTTTCTTCGACTTTGGCCTCAGGATGGCGAGAGACTGGGAGCTTTCGTTGTTGGATTCTACACACTTCCGGAAGCTGTATTGCAGATGCCTGGAGCTAACTTCTGGGGTGAGTTTGGAATGCCCCGACTATCCCGAGATCTTTTGCTAACTTGGTGATAGCATTCCTCCTCTTCTTTACCTTGATCGTCCTCGGATACAGCTCTGCATTCGTGATGCTGGACGTGGTCGCGACCATGATTTGCGATGCGAACACCAAAGTTTCACGACCTTGGGTGGTCACGGGTCTGACTATCTTCTCGTTCTTGCTCTGCTTGCCTTACTGCACGCAATTCGGCTACTACCTCCTGGACGGCGTCGACAGATGGGTCAACAATGTTGCTCTGATCTTTGTGGTCTTTGCTGAAGTTGTCGGCTCTACCACCATCTACCGCTGGACGGATGTGGTCGAGCAGACTGGACTTCCGTCGTTCATCACCTACAACTTGGCGTACTTTGGAGGTCTTCTTATTGGTATTACCGTTGCACATGGCACTGGCTCGCCGCCGATTGGTGTAGGTGCTGGTTTTGGGTTCTTCATCGTCTGCGCAGTAGTTGCAGTTCTCATCGCCAGGACACCAAGTATACGTGCAGCGAGGTTTTGGGGCAATAATGCTTTCACTAGCAAATTGTGGTATCTTGCATTCTACTCGGTAAGCGTGATCGTTCGAGATTTGCAGAGAATCACGAAACTGACAATCTATTTCAGGGCAACCAACTGCGTCGAGATCTCAATCTCATCGTCGGTCGTGGCAAGAACTGGAGAATTCCGGTGTTCTGGCCGATCCTGCTTCGATACATCAGCGGTCCGGTCCTTGCAATCATCTTCAGCTTTGCATTCCCAGAATTCCACACTCTGCGCTATGATCCAATGATGATCACGGGTTTCATCTTGTCCATGATCGGCCTGTCAGCAATCGTGTTCGGCTGTGTCTTCCCGAGATATTACGGCAAGCTGCTTCCTCCAGAGAGACGTGATGATTCGCTGAAAGCCACGATCGCGCAAGAGCCTGGCTTTACGGAAGAGGAAGTACTGGATACGGTTGTCGAGCCATCTTCTGATGTCGAAAAGTCGGATGGAGAGACTGGCTCGGAACCCAAGGGGAATTGAAAGGATTCGAAGCACGTTCTATAATCCATTATCGATATTGGCGTGAGCCCACTTCTTGCATTTCACTGATTGCCGACATCTGTCGTACTGGACATGAGGTGAACAAGAGGCTTCACTCACACTATCATGCAACTCTTGAGCCACTGTAGAGACAGCAGAACCAGCAGTTGGGGTCTGTGTGCAGTGTGATGTGTAATGCGCGATACAAAAGCGTGTATCGTATGGAGAACGATAACTACAAGAAGTAAGCGATGATCCTTCCAGTGCACGAAATAAGCCTTGATACGCTGATATCGATATTAGTATCACTGTTAAATGCCCCTAAACCGGTAGCTTTATGCTCGCAGATAAACTCTCTCCGCACAACTGCTGTCTTGGGATTGCGAACTTCCATTCGCTCTCGCGTCTCGATTGTGGACCAAAGCATCCTACGCCCACGTTCCGAGTGCTACTATCTGTTTGGCGGACGATACAGCGGAACAAGATGACTTGGCCCGTTCGTCCATGTGCTTCGGCTTATATGAAGCTGGGGCTTTCAGCGAAAGGTTCCGAGCGTCCCTCAGAGCAACCATCGGATTACTATTGCAAAAGTACACCATGGCCCCTAACACCGACTTCACTCGAGCTCAAGCTATTCCTGCGGATGCAACCTTTGACGCAAGCACACTGGCGGGCAAGAGTGTTGTTTTGACGGGCGGAGCATCTGGTATTGGAGAGCAATATCTACGAGCACTTGTAGCAGTCGGCGCCTTCGTCACCTTCGGCGATATTGCCAACGACCTTGGAACAATACTCTCTTCTGAATTCGAAGGCAAAGTTGCTTTCGTGCCTTGCGATGTCTTGAAATGGCGGGACCAACTTGCTCTGTTCAAGACAGCTTTGGAGAAGTCGCCGAGCAAGACAATTGATATCGTGATCGCGAATGCTGGAGTATCTGGGACCGACAGCGTCTTCGAACAAGCTGAAACTGATGATGGCGAACCAATCGAACCGAACCTCGACATCTTGCAGGTTAACCTTATGGGAGTCGTCTATACTGTCAAGCTTGCGCTTTTCTATCTGCCTAAGCAGCGAACCGCGGGCAATAGAGACAGATGTATCATCTTGACCGGAAGCATGGCTTCTTATCTTGATTACGCTGGTGGGCCGCAATACAACGCGGCCAAAATGGGACTGAGGGCTTTGATGAAGAGCATTCGGCAATCAGGACCCTCGCAAGGGATCCGTATCAACATGTTGGCCCCGTGGTAAACTTTGCTGTACCACAGAGATGATCTCAAAGCAAGCTGACAGATTTCACCAGGTTCGTAGCGACCCGTATTCGGGCGCCGCAGGCTTCGGAGCAGCTCCTAAACGGTGGAGCTCCATTCTGCGAAGGCGAGGACTGTGGTGCTGCACTTCTTCACTTGGCTTCTGATCACTCGATCAATGGTAAGCAACATGGTTGCGGACTTCAACATTGTTCTGACTTCTCACGTGAAGGTCGTACCCTTGGCGTTGTGCCTCGATCAAATCACCCACGAGGATATTATGATCTCGAGCGAGACGACTGGAACGAAGACGACTATATGACTGCGTGGCAGAATGCTGGCCGACCGAGAAAGCGAGTCGGATCTTGAATAATCCTTATCTCAACAGACCATGGTCGATGACTTTTAGCCGATATACATGTCAGCGACAACAGACGATCGCAGTCTTCTTACACGCTCGAAGTGTGTGCTGCTCGTACAATTCAACGATAGAGCGCTTTCGACCCAATAGGTCTGCGTTATATAGGAATGTTTGGTTATCAGCCGCACAATGCCTTTCGGAAGCACAGCGGCAGATACGCTTACAATCCTTCCGTCTGGTTGCACTGCCCCACAATTGTGATCGAATGAGCTGATACAGTATGCGGGCACAGTATGGTATCGAGGGCGGGGCAGCAATGCATCATGGAAAGCATAAACAGCTGCGTAGCCCTATGCCATTAACGCCCATCGTTTATTCGTAGTCGAGACCTTACTACAGCAACATCTGCAACCAGCCGACATGTCTTCGCTTTCATCAGCCATGGAAGAGCTACTTGAAGCCATCCAAGAACATCTGCTTTTGGTCACTCTCACAGTCGTTCTGTTGATCGCTGTTCGAAACAAGTTTCAGTCAGGCCTGACCTCAATTCCTGGGCCTCCAGTAGCAGCATATACCAAGCTATGGCGTCTTCACAATGTCTGGAAAGGGTCTGCTCACCTGGACGCTATCAAGCTACACAAGAAGTACGGCAATCTGGTCAGAATTGCACCTAATGTTGTTTCGGTGGCAGACCCGAAGTGGATTCCCGTGTTCTACGGGGCGAAGGAGGATTATACCAAGGTACACATACATTCTTGTATGGGGGATAGCGATTCGAAGTTACCAGCTAACTCAACAGACTGCGTTCTACCCCATCCAGTCCATTTCCTGGAAGAAACGAGTTGAGCTGAACTTGTTCTCAACACGAGATCCCGAACATCACCGAAGCGAAAAGCGAAAGGTCGGCACTGCATACTCGTTGTCAAAGCTGCTAGAGAGCGAGGAGGCAATTGACAGTTGTATTGAGCTTTTCATGGATAAGCTTGGTGCATTTGCGAATAAAGATAAGCCAGTGGACTTGGGTGTTTGGTTGCAGTACTATGCATTTGATGTTGTGGGAGTAAGTTGACATCATGTTCATCAATTCAACGATTAACGATCTGGTAGGAAGTCACGTTTGCCCGTAAACTAGGCTTTCTTGAGCAGGGGAAAGACGTCGATGGCATGATACAAGCTATTGAGGGAATGCTGACATATGCAAGCCTGTGTGGACAAGTACCTGAGCTACATGGTCTGCTACTGGGCAATCCACTCTTCACCAAAGTAATGCCAGCTATGGAGACATGGGTGAGTTTCATTGCCTTCATTGATGACAAACTTGAGGGGATCACTTGGAGCATACACTTACTTCCCATCATCTTATTGCAGAACCAGGTTCTCGTCTTCACATTGAAAGCGATCAACAATCGAGCGAGTATCCAACACGATGGAGAACTCATCAATGCTGACCACGAAGGGCGGGATATGTTGAGCAGATGGGCACATGTGAAAAGCTCCAACCCGGACAAAATGAGCACGAGGGATATTGTCGTTCATTTATCGGGAAATGTCTTTGCTGGATCTGACACAACAGCAATTGAATTGCGAGCTGCGATATACTTCCTCTGTCGGAATCCAGATTGCATGCACAGACTCGTCAGTGACATCGATGCGGCGGACCGAGAAGGGAAATTGAGTAAGCCGATTTCGTACAAGGAGGCTTGCGAACTGCCGTACTTGTATGGTGTGCTGAAAGAGAGTATGAGACTGCACTCGAGTGTTGGATTGCTGATGGAGAGACATGTTCCCAAGCAAGGAGTTGAGATCGATGGTCATTATTTGAAGGGAGGCACCATCGTTGGGATCAATCCGTGGGTCACCAACCACAACGAAGGCGTCTTCCCTCAGGCGACCTCATTCAAACCGGAGCGATGGACGGAGGCTCCAGGAGAACAATTGAGAGAAATGGATAACTTATGGGAACTCAACTTTGGAGGAGGCTCTAGGAAGTGCATTGGAAGACACATTTCCTGTGAGCACGCGTCTGTGTTGATACGGCCTGGCTAATGACCACAGGGATCGAAATGACGAAGGTAATTCCTGAGCTTCTTCGACGATATGATGTCGAGCTGACCCACCCTGAGAAAGAATGGCGTGTCGTCAATCACTGGTAGGTCGAGCGTCGGCGCAAAGGGTATCGCTGCTGACAAGTCCAGGTTCACACAGCAAGAAGGACTGATCTGCAACCTCATCAAACGCAGGGAAAGGTGATGTGTTTGAGTCGAGAATCCGCATGGTGTCTGTGAGCATTTCGACAACCACAGTGCTGTCGTGAAATGCATTCTTGGACATTCTTTGGCGGCAATGAATTGGCAGACGTCGCGCTTGAGGTATGATTGATGGACTGAAAACGTATCCATCGTCCATGCGGTAGCTATTCGATACTGTATACCGGCATGATACCAGACTGCAATGTCGAGTTCACTCATGAGTATTCTGCAGAGTCCAGCAACTATACAGCTGTCTTGTTATGCCAGATGCATGCTTTTTGCATCGTCGGATCGCGTGTGGGACTTCTGGATAGTCAGGGGTGAAAGGGTTGCTGGCTGGGAGATCGTTGAATGCTCAGATTGTCTGGACAACCTAGCAATATGAAAGTGATGCTAAAAGTGTCATTGTAGCTTGGATCATTGGCGTGATAGACCTCTGTGAGCTGTGGTGGGGCGAAAGAGTGGAAAAAAGTCCCGCTTTCGGACCCGGCTTCACCCTTGCATTCCTCATCTAGTTAAACGACTATAATAACCTAGATAGCACTTCTGCCATCCAATCAAGGCTTTCGTGGTGTAGTGTAAGAGTTTGCACCTCCTCCAAATGGTCCATTACCCACATACTAATATGTCTCCAGTGGTTATCACGTCAGTCTAACACACTGAAGGTCTCGAGTTCAAGTCNGTGATCAAGCGATCAGGTTGTGATCAACAGTCTTCGCCGGCTGTCTTTTTTGCATTTTTGACCGTCTAGTTGGTGCGGTGCAATACGCGCTGCATTCACTTTTGCACCCTGACACGCCCCTGCCTTCCAATATTGTCCAAAAACAGCAACAACATGCATGGACCAGTCTATAACCATACTCGCGAGCATACTTCATGCAATTGACACTCCCATATTTATACCTAACCGCTGGAGCTTTTTATCTGCGTCGCGTCAGCGAAAGCTCGGACCAGCTACCGGCTGGAGCTGGCTGGAGCTGAACTCTATTTTCATGCCGCCAGCTGCCAGCTACAGCGCCCTCACGCCGCACGAGATCCTTCGTGCGGCCTCTCAGCCTTGTCTGTCGCATGAGTTGACAAACTCGCGAACTCGCCCAGGATGTTCTTCCTCCGTCTCGACCATTATTATATGCCCCTTGCGCATTCCCCCCAGGCCACCCGGGCGAAGCCTCAAGGCCGGCGGCAGCATGGCTAGCACAACCCAGCTGAACAGCGGGGACGCTATCCTTCGCGACAACACCCACGACGAATCCACTGCACTCGATCCCGAGCAGGTCGCAGCGATTTTGAACTGCAACTTCCTGGATGTCAATGAGGAAGATGCGCAGTTACAACGCTATCTCGCAGGACAGCCCGAGACTGCTTTCACTGCGAATGGTCTGGAGATCCCGGGTCCAGCGTTGCCCGCACTCTCCGATGGCCCATCGCCGAGCGCATCTTGTGCGAACAGCGCCATAGCGTTGCACACACCTGAGCCTGAGTACAACGAAGACAACCTCAATGCAGGGGAGGTGCTCGGTCAGAATGGGCTGCGCAACACGGATGGCGACTACAACCTCGATGACTATATCAATTCGTCCGCGTACGAGCCGGCAGACATTGTCAAAACCGAGCAGCAGATGCCAGATCCACCTATCCTCCATCAATCATACTCCGAGCCATTTGTCACCACGAAAACGGAGAAACCGCCGCTCACGCGATCGTCGCCATCAGCTGGTGCACTCCTCGAAAGCCCTACAGACGCTCACAACGACCTACATCGTTCACTATCCAAGAGAGGGCGTCAGGATACAAGCAACGATTTCGCAAGCTCGGTCAAGAGAGCTCCCAGTAAACGGATGAAACAACAAAAGGGCGGGTATCCTTGTCTCGGCTGCACAGAGACATTTGATCGTGCTTGCGACCAGAAGAAACACTATCAGCGTACTCATGCGCCCAAAGACTCGCACCCGCACTCTTGCCCAGACTGTCAAGAACATGGCATAGTCAAGGCCTTCTTGTACCCCAAAGACCTGCGCCGACACTTCAAACAAGTGCACAGCAAGATCATCACCAACATCTCCACTGGCAGGAAAGCATCGAATGCTTCCCCAGTATCTGCGACATCTCCCAAGAACTTCGGCTTGTGGGCCCTATGCAAGACCGTAGTTTCCTTCAAGAAACTGCGCATCATTGCTAGTTCACCCGGACACAAGTTGATCATGGTATCGCAAGATCAGAAATCATTCTTCGAGGTTGATGTTTCTGGTGTGCTCAACCCAGACGGTTTGGTCTCCAGGATCCTCGAAACCCTCGGAGTTGATAGCGACTTCCCGCATGAGTTTGTTCAAGCCCAGACGTATAGTCGTCAATATGGGCTTGGCCAGAAGCTTGATGCGCAGAGCGCCTTCCAGTTGGTCAGGAAGAATGCTGATACCCAAGGCTCGTTCAAGTTGATCATCAGTGCTGCGGATGCGTACACTGGCTGAGCGCCCACTTCGCTACCTTGGATAAATCGTTGGATGGACTACCATATTGTTTGGCTTGGTTCGAGGCGCGCCCTTTCTTTCGCTCGAATTATTTTGACATTTATCGTCCCCTGTCCCTTCCGAGCTCGGTCTACTGGCGTCAGAACAGTGTTGAAAAGCTTCGAATACCAGTGGAGTTCCCCTACGAAATACCCCATACCCCTTTGCGATTTCTTTGTTGTGCTTACTCACCTACCTTTTGGCGTTCCGCAAAACTCAGCTATTGATGAAACAGCCATTTGGGGACGACCTGTACTATGTAAGCATGGCGTTGCAGGAGACGGCAGCTCAGCGCTATGTACATATAGATGTGAAAGGGTTCGAGCATCAGCACATTCCCTTAATGCAGTACTTTCACGCGAGATCGAGCCTTCCACTATCTTCGCATCATTAATTTACACTACGTACTGACAGCACAGTTCTCCTACAGCGAATTTCTGTACCGAATAGGCCTAACACCACTGCTAGAGATGGCAGCTTAGGAAGAAGTATGTAGCAGAAGCGCCGCACCTCTGTTGTTCCGTTCCGAGGCTTGCGTCACATGGGCTTCAAGAGGTGCAGTCTGGAAAGGAGAACTCGCTGCATCAAGCAGCGCCAACCTCACCTCTTTTTGCATTGCTCACTGGAAAGCCAATCTCTGGGCAGAAGAAGGTCGGACACACTCAAGTGGAAGATATTCTTCCCTCACTACGCGCTGGACGCGCTCCGAATGCAAGTAACAATGGTGCAACCGAAGAAGAGATTTTGATGCTTGGAAGATCGCCATCAGAGTCGTCCAAATGGTATATCAAGAAGCTGCGCAGCGAGTGGCTGCATCTACGGTGTTTGTGCCTTCTCAGCCTACGCTGGGTCTCTAAACGGGAAATACGGCTCGCTGACCAGCGTACCTTGGCTAAGAACGGTGCCTGTGCCCTCATATCATAACCTCAGAACGACTCAACTGACCCGGCACAAAACTAGCTTTCTAGCACGCGCCTTAGGGCAGCTTATTGACGGGAGTGTCGCGATCGGCCTTGAGCTTAACTTTCTAGAGTCCGTGAGATGCGGATGACAGATTGTATGTTATTGCGCCAATCAGCACGGATTTGACGGGCAGCGTTCAGATTCACTGGCGGCCCTTACTCGACTCTTTTCCCAGATCTGCAGTGCGGGATTCAATATCATGGAGCGCTCTGGACGCGCCAGTGTCCACCTTCAATCCTTCGCAGACCAGACGCCCTTGAAGCTGTCAACCCTAGACCCACAATACCTTCTCTCGCAATGCACATACAATCGCCTTCCAGCAAAGGTCCCCTTGTGTGCGTTGAACTCATTATGTGTTGGCCTCTCTGTCATCAGAAAAATCAAGCTAATGGCACTTCCCACTTGGAACTTCCTGGTATCTTGCGAAGACCACTGATTTGTGTGTTGGCGATCTGTCAGGTCTATATAAGAAGAACTGGTATCCGTCCAAAGATGATCCAAAGTCACGCCCGCAGCCCCGTCACTTCAACTCGTCGACCCGCGACAATCTACATCCGCTACCGAGAAGCTTCCTTCGCAACCTGCCTCAAACATGCACTGCTCTTACGTGTCGTTCATCGGCCTCTTGCTGGCGATCGCAGTCCCAAGTGTCCAAGCATTCGCCTGCCCGCATGCCGAGGGACTCTCAGTCAAACACTGCGAGAAAAACGTGAAATTCAACAAATACACTAATTGTCCCGGCGACGGCTCGGCAAAGGCAGCTTGCGCCGCTGGATGGGACTAGTGTGGAAATACGCCGCCGGGTCAATCGTAAGTTGGAGACGAGGCTTCGCACAGGTGTTATAGCTAAGGCGATTGGGTGACTTTTATAGCATGGACTCCGAAAGGCAATGGAGGGGCGGTGTAAGTGTTTGACCAGTGAACGACATTCTAAAGGCATTCCGCTGATCATTTATTAGATGCTGTTTAGCACGTGGTTATTTGTGAGTGATGGTTCAATTGGATGATCGATGCTGTTACTAATCCAGAGGCACTCTTAGTGAGGATACGCCCTGTCACCATTCTCCCAAACACCACAAGCCCCTGACAGGAGGAAAAGACGGTCAATCTTCCTAGCCTCGCGTATGGGGGCTAAAAAGGGAAAGTCCATGAGCAGAGAAGGAGTCGATGCGCTGCTCATGGCGGCGATGCCGCTAATGCGGTCGAGGGCATTGGTCCGACCAATGGCATAAGGCTTCGAGTGGAACGAAACACAGGGCTACTGCTTCTTAACATTCAATATTAACACTTTTTTGCTGCGTAGGTAGTTTGTAGTAATAGAGATCCGTATTGGAATTTTGCTTTTCAAACGTGCCTGTGTGCACATCGCGAGGAAATGTATACCAAGCGCTAATTAGGTATCATGCCTTCTTCCGCTGCCCTCACACGATCGCTAACATCACGTCCTTCTTTCGCTCGCCGGTACTTTGAAAGCCGGAAGTGTCTGTCGTAGCATATTCAAGACCTTGTCTACTTCTTCGCCTTCTTGTCAAATGCAAAGTTTTCACACGACCCGCGAATTTCCACTGGTCCCACATTGCTCATACACACTATGTTCTGACTGTACACTTCCTTTCACAACCTGAACCTTCGCTGTCATCTATCTGTCGTAGTATGCAAAATCTTCATCATCATAATCAGTCCACGAGTTTCATCTTCTCCACGTCTTCTTCCACACCCATCACTCCAATCGCCCAATTCAATCGAGCCTCCTTCTTAGTCTTCACGAGTCTTCGATCCGCATCATCACCGTCTACTGGTGCCGACTGAGGATCTAATCTCTCCCAACTTCCCGTCAAGCGCGGATCCTCGCTATTCGTATGATGCGCTCGAACGATTCTGGTATATGGCGGTCCTCTCCCAACAGCCGCAGCTTTCACCCAAGCTGTCTCGCAGCCGTTGGCAATAAGCTCCGCGCTGCCCCAACCTGTTCGCCGCGCAATGCTGAAGATTCGAGTCACTGTTTCGTAACGCTGTCGTGGATCCTGATACTGTACTGCAGCGAAGAAAGAAGGCATACAGCTGTCGCAGAGTGCTGCTCCGAGACTTGGATTCAGTGGTTGGTCGTCGGGTCCTGGTACAATCCCGGCAACGATGCGACCAATTTCCATGGCATGATGCTTCGTCTCGTGTGCTGCAACGCCGGCTGCCATATGAGCTGCAGGCGGCATGTGCGGGTGTGCACGTATCGCAATGATCATGGCCATGTGGTAGAATGCCCACAAGCAACCAATATCATAAGTGCGGAAGAAGTATGTCGGGCCAAAGGCCGTGTCCACGGAATGATAGGAACCGGACTCGAGGGGCTGAAATGCTGGTGAGCGACGGAGACTCTGCTCAAACAGAATCAGTGCTTGTCGTATTTGCGCATACTCGTCCAGAGCGTCTTGGGTGGCTTGTGGTAGATTGTGTTCGAATGAGTCGGGAGGGTATGCGCTCGTCGGCGTGGGCGTCGGCTGCGTATTGGTCGATGTATACGAGCTCGGCATGTGTACATTCGCCCTGGGTGGTGGAGCCATGCCATAGAAATCTGGCATAGACGGTGAACCACCCGGCTGCGGAAGCACTGAGGGTCCGCCAACTGCACCAGGCATAGGCATAGGCATACCAGGGCCAGCAGATACTGGAGTTGGCGGTGCTTGCTGCGAAGCTTGAGGTGGGCGAGGAATATTCATACCAGGCGCAGGTCTCCAATGACCACCGTTGGCCTCCATCTGCTTCAATTTGCGCTTACGATCCCGCGAAGCGAAGTCTGCGATCCGACCAAGCAGTAGAACGAGGTGATCGGATGATCCGTAAACCGCGTCACCCCGTCCCAATGGGCCTCGAGGAGGGCAATTCGGCCACCGGCTGAAGTCCATGCTGCACTGCATTAGTGTCAATCGATCAGTGGGAACGGGTAACTCACAGTAAAGCATTGCCGCTCACGATGCTCTGTATGACATCCTGTTTGCAATACCACCAGTACAAATCCCGAAGGATATCATACTTGCTGAGATCCAGAGTCGGCGGTATACTCGCATTCGAGGGTTCAACGTGGCCAAAGATGTCATATTTGACTTCCTTACCCACGATCTGGCTCACCACGCGCTCATCAATGTCGTGCATCTGATCCAGCAGATCGCCCTGAGAGAATGGCTGTTCTATGCTGTACCGTCTTTTCCTGCCCGACAGACCCGACATGTTCACAGCACGTTCCATTTTCATCCTCCTGAAAGCAGCGGTCATCTGTACAAAATCTGTCTCCACAAAGAGCTGCTTTGCACCCATGAGATGCATGTTCCATTTCATGTGATCTGCAGTCATGATTTCGTAGAAACCCAAAAGCATGGAGGCTGCAATGGTTGTGGCTTTCAGCCTACTCTTCGGATTGCTGACTGCCGCGTGAATGCGCCTCAATGCCCACGCATAGTGCTGCATGGATGGCGTTGTCGATGCTCCTTGTAATCTTGCAATATGTAGACTCGCCAAAGCCAGCATTGCATGAAGAAGTCCTTGATGATGCAGCGCAGCCATCGGCAAGGTGTACGTCCACAAGCCTTGCTGTGATATGGGCACCGTGCCTCCATTAAAGAGCACCGAAGAGGTATTTGGTGTTCGTTCGTAGACCGATAAGCTTGGGCCTGTCGCCGAAATGAAGTGAGCAAACACTCTTGCTGTTGCGGGATTCTTCAGGGGGCTCGCGACATATTCGACGCGATACGTATCCAAGATCCCGTCGTAGATGAACGTATCGTAGCGACGCATCTGGAGGCCCTGGATGCTGATCTGGTTGCCTTGCAAGACTCTGCCGAGCATGCGTTGTCGCTTATGACTTTGAGCTTGCGACAACGACGTGTCCACATCTTGCTCCTGGTCTGCATCATCTTCATCTACATCATAATACTCATCATCTTGTTTCTCTACAGCCGCTGCGCTCAAGAGATACGTAGGAGTCATGGTGGCAGGCGCATGGAGTTCATGCTCATAAAGTTCTGGGGTCGACGGCCGTCCATCTTGCAACGCGGTTGCAGAGCTTGGTGTTTCCTGCTTCACGGCATAATGGCCATTACGATGCATCGCTCGCACGTGTTCCAATGAAAGGGGTGGAGGATAATAATGATTCCCTTGTCCCAATTGTGGGGTTCCGTTCTGACTCGTGGGTTGGCCTGAACTCCACTCCGTCTGCCATTGAACATGCGCTCCCGTTTCAGGCATTGGGCGAGAGAACGAGAATGCTTGTGAAGGGTCGGCTGAGACTGGAGTCTGTACTATCGTGGATGCATCGCTGCGGGACTGCGATGAAGCGTCCGTCCAGCTGTGGACTGGCATCGTAGCTTCACTTGACAGACTGTTCCGCAGGCCCGCGCCAGGACTCTGGAACAATCGCTCGCCAGCCGAATAAATTGATCCTTCGATCTGCGCGTTCGTCGTAGGCTGGTCATTGTATTGCTCGGATGCACTGTAGGGGTTTGAGGAAAATTGAGTTCCCGAGTCGTGGAACATGGAAGGGGCATGGGCAGCCATATGCGAAGGTGACTGATCGGTCGGGGATTGGGATAGTTGATGCAATGAAAAAGGATCCCTGATGACATGGCCAGGACTGATAGGACCGAGTCCGTCTACAGGCTGTGGAGGTCCAGCCTCTGTGGGACTTTGTTGCACTTGTTCGGGTGCGGGTGCGGGAATATGCACATATTGTTGAGTCCGCTGGTCCCATACTGTAATGAACTGGTCCTGCGATGGCCGGGGTCGAAGATGCGTAGGATATGCTTGATCGAGCAGAGCCTGACCTGATGGATGCAGTCCTAGTGTCCCTGGATCAGGTCCCGCCTGAAAGGTGATGTGAGCTGAGCCATTTGCCCCAGGCTGGTAATCAAAGGTTGGTTGCTTGAAGACTACGCGCTGGCTGTAGCCCTCGCAATGACGCTTGCTTTTGACACAGTTGTTGCACACAGGCCGTTCCTCGCCGCACTTGATACGTCGCTTGCGACATGTCAGGCACCCGGTCTTTGTGCGTTTCCTGGACAACTTAGCCTTCAACGCGGCCTCAGCAGCAGATGTGTCGGCCATCGTTACCTCACCACCATAGTGTTGAGCCTGGAATGGGGTCTGCATCAGGTTCGAAGTTCTGTGAAGCCAGCACTATATCGACCAAACTTTCGCATTTCTGTTGCTCACTCCGATGGATTGATGGAGATCACGGACCAATCCGCGGCCTAGACTCTAGGCCGATCCCGGGGTGTTCGAACGTGTCCAAGATCTCTTACGGTGGGAATGTAGAGCGCGTATCCAAAACTAGAAATTCGTACGATGTACTGTGCCAGACTTCTGAACGTACTGTCAGCCTTGCAGATTGGCGTGAGCAGGGCCCCAGTGTCCGGGCGGCGCAAAGCTTCGTAGATGGAACCGGCAGTGGGCGGACTTATTCTGCGGGCACAGAATGCTCTCGATGGGCCATCTCAGACACGGTGAATGAAGTGATAGAAGGGGACCGGCGAGCAGGCCTCACTTATGGAAGCGCTAGAGGACCCAGTGACTCCAGAGCCTCAATACTCGTTAGCGGCGAATGGTGTAGTCCGGTGGAGTTTATCGTGTTCCCCTCTTTGGTCTCTGGGACTTGGCTTTGTTCGCTGGAATGTGCGACGACACTGCGCGCTCGACAGCGGGATGCGATCGCAGCCAGCGGAGGTAACAGATCGGCCTGGAAGCGCGTTCGACAGTAGGACCATGTATCTCGGCATGCACTCAAAGCTGCAACGACAGGTGCATCAGAGAAAGTCCTGGGCGGATCTGGCGTGCAGGACATCCGCGAGGCCAATCTCTGCAGACTGGGGCCCAACGTCAGCAGCGCTGGGTCAGAACGAATCCAATCGCCTGGGCTGAGGTCCACTGTGCCTGCGTGAGGCGTGATGTCCGGGATCGGGTCATGTGTGCAGACTGTGCCGTTCCAGGATGCTGTGGGAAAGGGCGATCAATATGCCAACCTCGGCGCCACTACGAAGTAGTTAGCCAGACTTGGCGCGTGGAAAGGAACCGGGATCGCTCGCTTGCGGTGAAATTCGGTCACGTTCTGGCGGCAAAAGCGTGCTCCTTTGACCGTTATCACGCTGCGCTGCCTTCACGAGCTCGTGGGTCGGAGAGTTTGCGCGTTCCAGGAAAGCCACGAGCTGAGATGAGCTAGAAGCACGACGATCTCGTCCACCCACATGTCGATTCCAAGAAGACAACGTGGAAGGCTGTGGGATCAAACTTACGGAAGAGGCGTTCTCGTGCACTGTGGCGTGCGATTCGCAGTCACTAGTTTTTGGCCCTCACGGTCGTGACTGGGCTGGCATTCGTGCTCCGCTCCAGCGCCTCTGCACTGTCCGCAGCCACGAGGGTCCTGGAATGACGTGAACATGCGGATGGAGCAGGCGCCATGGTGCAACATCCAGCATGCGTGGGATGCGATTACCGCGTTGATTCGTGGGTGGTCTCACAGCAGGTGGACAAAAGGATCATCAGCCTGGTGAGGGAGAGGTGGCAGAAAGGCGTGCATGCTCGAAGGAGGAAACGCATGCTGCAAGACATGCTGATCAACATTTTACCCGATGCCTTATGCAAGCACTCGACGGCAACTTCACGTCAGCTGATGGCGCGTATTGCTGTGGGTGGAAAATCTTCCTGGATGATCAGTTGCTTGTCTACGTTGACCTTACACGCCGAATACAACGCCATTGAAGGCGAGATAATGGCCTGTCGACATCTGCAGTGTCGCTGTCGATTGCCGTATTGCAGCCCAACGCGACTCAGTCGCAGCTCAGAACGTTACCATAAGATAAACCCCATCATAGACTGTGCGCTTGCCAGAAACGTCAGTACTGCAGAGAGAGGTTTGTAGCACAAGGACACTTTTGCCCATTCTGAGCCCAGGCAGCATCTGTGATGCCCACCCTTAGATTGGAAAGGCTCGACAACCCGAAGATCGTGGCCACTACTCTTGTGGCGCAACAATAACGCTTCTCCCAGACCTGCCAAGCAGATCTAGTTGGCGGGCTCCCCAGCCCGGAAGCTAGCAAGACCATCAAAACGGAATACTGTACTGGCCTCGTGACTGCGAGGCACGAGCAAGTGTGCGTGCGGCTGTAGTCTATGTTTGTACCACGTAGTCCAGCGAAGATGCGTATTGCCATCTGGAGAACCTTGCAGGGCTCGAGCACCATCTTAGTCGACTCCAAGGTTCATAATGCGGGGAACATATACCCACGGCGAGTGACTTGAAAGGGACGTACAGCTCAATGGAGCCATGGCTCTGGACGATGCCAACGTGGCAGACGCAGACATGGTTGGAGCCAGAACGGCTTCGGGTAAGTTGTCGGCACCATCGGCATACGGATCATAGACCGAGCCGAGCCTTGTCCTCGATCCACCTTCTTGATCCTGCTCCAGGACAGTGCTGCACAACACGAAGACAACGGCCATGTCGCCAAGCATGCTGGCGATGGGTCGAACAAGACGTCTAGATCATTTCGATGCCGCTGATCTGGCCGACTGCATCATTGCTTGCCATTCGAGATCGGGGTCTCTGACCTGGAACGGCTTGTGCTGGATCAGCTTGAAGTGTTTTCGTCCATGGGGAGGAAAGGCCTTTTCGTCATGATGCTGTTCCATTGATGGCCAGGTTGCGTGCAAGTCAAGGGCTCTCACTTGGTCAGTAATCAACATCGGCGCCATACAGGCTTATTCGCTGTGGCTCCCAGTCTTCTGTACTCCGTCGTGATTTGAGTATCGAGGAATCAAGCACGCAACTGCTGGAGCAAACAAAGTTGTCATTGTGTGTACGGTCGCAGCTCTTGGCATGTAAGAACGCAAGTCGGTGGAAGGAATTGTAGAGTAGTCGATGTGTCTGCTTCCAGCTTCCTCCAGGTCTCCCGTGTTGAAGTGTCTCAAATGCTGATTAATGTTTGAGCTTGGCGGGCGGCGCTGCAGGTCCGATGGTCGGTGGTGACGCGCTGATAGTAGCCTTCAGGCGATGGAACTCGCTGAAATCATCGCCTCGCATCGACACTCCGCGCCCACCTCGTACATCTCATCTTGGGCTCTGCTGTCACTCTCGCTACGTTCATTGGCAATCACAGCCAGGGTCGATATTGCCCAATTCCGAGAGACGAGCAGGTTGCGTGCGATAGAGCATGGTCTACGGCCGAGGGCAAGCATGGCGGACCGCCTGGAAACAATCGCAACAGCGCGCATACACCACGGCACGGGCACCATGTAGGGCCTGTCAGATACAGCGGTCCGCACAGGTCTCGGCATTGTCAGCGCAGAGCAGGATCCCATACACTTCGCTACGATCATCCCTCACAGCCTCCCGCGATTTCTCGACAACGCCTGCGAGACGGAAAGAGAAGCCTCCATCGGACAACGACGCGAAGGATGAGGGCAAGACAGATGTCACTGAGGCAGACGAGAAGGAGGCAAAGAGCAATTCGGAGCCTACGCCATCGCCCATTCCGCTTGATGGTAAAGGATCGAGCGCTGGGACCGGCGGTGGTGGCGAGTCTGGATCGGGAAGCGGTGACGGCGGAAATCGCAAGCGAAAGGGCCAGGGCAAAGAACTTGTGAAGACTGCAGCACCAGAAGTCTACCCGCAAGTGTTGGCGATACCCATTGCACAACGGCCGTTGTTCCCGGGCTTCTACAAAGCCATCACCATCAGAGACCCCAATGTCGTGGCTGCTGTGCAGGAACTGCTCAAGCGAGGGCAGAGCTATGTGGGAGCTTTCTTGTTAAAGGACCAGGAAAGTAGTCAGGACGTGATCAACGACCCGAGCGAAGTCTACGACGTGGGTACCTTTTGCCAGGTTACCGGCGCATTCCCGGCTGGACATGGCGAGGAGAAGGCACTGCAGGCTGTGCTCTATCCACACAGGAGAATTCGACTGAGCGAGCTCATCAAGCCCAATCGAGGTCCACCAGTTGCACCGGAGCCAGAAAAGGCGGCGCAAGCGACTTTGGAAGACGTGCCACAGTCGGAGCAGGGCGAACAGCCAGAGACGGACGAGAAGAAGAGCGGCGTGGTGGCGAGCTTTGAAGAGTCATCTGCAGAAAAGAAGGACGACAAGGCGCTGTTCCAGCCCACCGACTTCCTGCGGTCATGGCCAGTCAGCTTGGTGAAGGTCGACAACCTGGCAGACGAACCCTTCGACAAGCGTGCACCCACAATACGAGCATTGATCTCGGAGATCGTCAACACATGCAAAGAGATTGGCAGCGTCAACCACCTGTTCCGTGACCACGTTTCCGCATTCGCAATGTCACAGTCCGCCGCCAACATCGCCGAGGAACCCGCCAAGCTCGCCGACTTTGCCGCAGCAGTGTCTGGGGGCGAGATGGAGGAAGCACAGGCAGTATTGGAGTCGCTGAACATTGAGACACGACTAAGCAAGGCGCTCGAGGTGATCAAGAAAGAGCACATGAACGCGCAACTGAGCAGCAAGATCACCAAAGATGTGGAGAGCAAGATCCAGAAACGTCAACGGGAATACTGGCTCATGGAGCAAATGAAGGGCATCAGGAGAGAACTAGGCCTGGAAAGTGATGGCAAGGACAAGCTCGTGGAGAGATTTAAGGAGAAGGCGAACAAACTGGCAATGCCGGACCCGGTGAAGAAAGTGTTTGATGAAGAAGTGGCCAAGCTCGCACATCTCGAGCCTGCAGCAAGCGAGTTCAATGTTACGAGGAATTACTTGGACTGGCTCACCCAGATTCCTTGGGGCCAGCGGAGCGCCGAGAACTTTGGTATTCAGCATGCCCAAGAGGTGCTCGATGAGGATCATCACGGACTGAAAGACGTCAAGGATCGCATACTGGAATTCATTGCGGTTGGTAAATTACGAGGCACCGTGGAGGGCAAGATTCTGTGCATGGTCGGGCCACCTGGAGTCGGAAAGACGAGTATTGGCAAATCGATTGCCCGTGCGCTTAACAGACAGTACTACCGCTTCAGTGTCGGTGGTCTGACTGATGTTGCGGAGATCAAGGGTCATCGAAGGACATACGTTGGTGCGCTTCCTGGTCGCATTATTCAGGCCTTGAAGAAGTGCCAGACTGAAAATCCTCTGATCTTGATTGACGAAGTCGACAAGATTGGTCGTGGCCACCAAGGCGATCCTTCGAGCGCTCTGCTCGAACTTCTCGATCCAGAGCAAAATAGCTCCTTCTTGGATCACTACATGGACGTGCCCGTCGATTTGTCCAAGGTCCTGTTCGTCTGCACAGCAAACATGACCGACACTATTCCTCGTCCACTCCTCGACAGAATGGAGATGATTGAGCTTTCGGGCTACGTTTCGGACGAGAAGATGGCCATCGCTGAGCGCTACCTTGCTCCACAAGCCAAAGAGCTCAGCGGACTGAAGGAAGTCGACGTCAACCTTGACAAGGAAGCTATCCTCGAACTCATCAACAAGTACTGCCGCGAATCTGGAGTGCGAAACCTGAAGAAGCAGATTGAGAAGGTGTACCGCAAGTCTGCACTCAAGATCATTCAAGACCTTGGCGAGGAAGTGCTCAGCGAGGACAAAGCATTGACCGAGGAGGGCAAAGCAGCTGCTGAAGAATCCAAGAAGGATGAGACGGATCCGAAGGAGACTCCGGAAAGCATTGAGAAGGAAACCACTGAGCAGCCTCGCGTCGCTCTCAAGGTACCGGAATCAGTCCACGTCACAATTGGAAAGGACAACCTCAAGGACTACGTCGGCCCCCCAGTCTTCACCTCTGACCGGCTCTACGATAGCACTCCACCTGGCGTGGCTATGGGTCTTGCTTGGACGCAGATGGGCGGAGCAGCGCTGTACGTCGAATCTATTCTGGAGAATGCCCTCTCTTACAATTCAAGACCTGGTCTTGAAAGGACGGGTAACCTCAAGCCTGTGATGAAGGAGTCGACGCAAATTGCATACTCATTCGCAAAAGGTCTCTTGGCTAAGCAGTTCCCGGAGAATAAGTTCTTTGAAAAAGCTCGGATACATTTGCATTGCCCAGAAGGTGCTGTGCAGAAAGATGGACCCTCGGCTGGTATTACGATGGCGACATCGCTGCTCTCACTTGCTTTGGACAAGCCTCTGGACCCAACGATCGCTATGACTGGTGAGCTGACAGTGACTGGTAAAGTATTGCGCATTGGTGGTTTGCGAGAGAAGACTGTCGCTGCACGACGTGCTGGGTCACGCATGATACTATTCCCACGGGACAATCTCAGTGATTGGCTCGAGTTGCCTGAGGTAAGCATTTCTGCATCCACATCGTTACGTAAATGAAGACTAACCACGTTACAGAACATCAAAGAAGGCATCGAGGGCAAACCTGTGGACTGGTATTCTGACGTGTACAAGCTCGTCTTCCCAGACGTTAACGTCGATGCCGCCAACCAGCTCTGGAAGAAGCAGCTGGCCAAGCCACCGAAAGAGGAGAGGGAGAAGGATGACGACTAGGAATTGCATCTGAATAACCCTTGTGGGAAGCTAGAGTACAGTTATCGCACTTCGCACGAAGCAAGACAGCATACTTCGATGCAGACTCGATGACATGGAAGCATGAGCCGGCGCACTTTGAATTCGGCATATCGAATAGACGGACCTCAGAGGTCGGGCACTTTGCGAGAGATGCCAATATGGCGCTGGCGAGCGGATCGCATTACTCCGCTCTTGTACATAATATACAGTCCTTGCCAGCAGGGAAGCGCTGTGGCGCTGGAAGAGGTAGAAGCTGGGTATAGAAGTGAGGCTATACTAGTGAAAGAGAGACTAGACAGAGCACGACTGTACAACTACCAACAAGTTATGGATCTTCGTACTGGGTTGATTGTTCATGCGCATCCATCCTCTGTGGACTTGAGACGCATGTCCTTGAATAGCGATGCTGGCGGTCGCTTGGAGATGTACGTGGTACAAAAGCCCGGTCTAGGCCCTCCCGCTCTGGTGGCTGCGAGCACGACATTGCACTTAAACAACGACCTCACTCGTACTTCCATTTCACGACCTCCATCTCTTTTCGACTTCGCAGTCGCTGCATGTTATCCAGGATCCTTGCGTATATCTCTCACTCCACAACGCGACGACAAAAGCCAACAACTGGAAACATCTCTCACGCACAACCTTCACACACCATAGCAAAGATGACGATTTCTTCACTACAAAACCTCTATATCTTCCCTCCTCTCGCATGATACCTCTCCCCCGTACTCGGCCTCGGTTTAGCCGCCCTAATACACCACAAAAACCAATCCTCCAGCGGCAAAAACACATAAAACACCTTATTGCACGCAAACGCTATCAAACAATACACAAAAGCCACAAACGCATCCATCCAATAATGATTCGCCGTCGCCAGAATCGTGATCAGAATCATCGAAGGATATCCAACTCCCAGAATGCAATAAAACACTTTCCAAAACCCATTCTTCCTCGATTCAAACTTCTCAAACCGTCGACGGAAAACTCCAGAATGGTAGATCAAAGTACTACCAATAACGAACGAGTACCCAAAATGCATACTCGGCATCGCAGCGAGAGAATTGACATGTTTCCCAGTTTGCCAAAGAGAAGCAGCGGATTCCATATGAACCGTATCCAGAAATCCGAATTCCTTGGGTAAAAGTCTCGGAGGCATCATGGGATAAACAGTAAAAGTCGCAAAAGCCATAAAATTCGTCAACGTCATCGTCCTTCTCACAGTCGCAAAAGTGGCATGTGAGGGTGCGACGTAATAGTACCAGACGATGAAAGCCATGGAGCCGGGGATATGGATGAGAGAATAGAATCGATCAAGAAAGGTTAAGAGGTCTTGGTGGCCGTGCATGAACCATTGTTGGATGTCGAGTTCTCGGATCAAGAAGAGGTAGCGGAAAATGCTGAGGTGCTCGAAGGAGAGGAGAGTGATGGCGTGGGATTGGGCTGCGGTCCAGATTCCTTGGCCGGCGAAGATTTTGTTGGAGAGGATTGTTGTCATGCGGTAGAAGAGGTAGTTGAGGACCCAGTAGAGCATTTCGACGAGGAAGGGGAATTTTTGGAAGAGGCGGGAGTGGATGTGGTTCTGGAAGCGGGAGGTGTTGGGTGTGGTGATTTGCCAGAGGCCGCAGCAAGAGCGCGTCTTTGGGATCTGTTTCTCGGGGCCGTAGAGGTACTCTGAGGAGGACTGCCACGCATTCTCGTCGTCTTCGTTCCCGCTGTCGAATTCAAACTCTTCATCCAGGGAGGAGGAACTCGGCGATCTGTCCAGGATGGATTTATAACCCCCACCTTTCCTTCGATTGCGTCCGAATATCGAGAAATCTCTTCGCCGGGTCAGGATCATGCCACCGAACAGGATGGTCACGAACATGACTGCTTCACCCCAGTTGGGAAGCTTGATCTCTGGCTTCGCCGTCCACTCCACATAGTCGTCAAAGACTCCTTCCGTCAACTTCCTGGTGGCTTCCGTCAAGTCGTGAGGCAGAGAGCCTGCAACTGCTTCTCCTGCCATGCTGGAATATAGCGCCTTCTATGATCCAACTCTTCATCCAACTCCCCGATCTCCTTCTTCCTCCCAAGTCTTTACTCTGCGGCCTATTCAAGCGGATGGTATCGAAGTCATCCAGGACGATAGTAATGTTCGGAGCAGCCTCTGGTTCGTGGCTGTAACGATATGTATTCGTTCGTGTTCTCGTAAGATCACCGCGTGGGTAGTAGAGCAAGAGAAGAGTACGAAATGTACAGCTCTCTGACTAACGGATGAAGGTACCAAATGATATACAACGAATCAGTATAGAAAGTCTGGACGATGAAGATGGTAATATTGGGAACGATGCAACAGAAGGCTTTGCAAGGCAGAAACGACCGGTCAGAGGGAAGGAACAGAGGCAAAGCAGGCGCAGCGACTCCTCTGAGAAGGATGGAGTGCTCTGCCCCGATCTCAGGATCACGGCCTCACGACCATGTCGCAAGCAGGTACTTGGCACGAGCGATCGGCATCGTAGCGCGGGCGCCACAACCGGGTGTGTCGCGTGCTCATCTTGATCCAAGTATTGTTGTGCATAAATGTTTTTGTCTTGCTCCAGTTGGCTGAGACCTGGATCCGGTATGTGTTCGAGGTGATGAAATCGACTCATAGTGAAGTCTTGTCTTTACAGTCTGAGGCTTGTCATTGTCAATGTCAGCTTGGTTTCTGACCTGCGACGTCAGAGCAAGCAGCTACTCCTTGTTCATCCCGTCGGCGAGTAACTAATAGCCGAAGCGCCCAAGCACGTCCCGCCGCCGCAGAGCCCCATCTCATTCTTGGCCCGGAAAGGCATCCGGGTGGTCGTGCGCTTTCACTTTATTGGTCCATGGTTGATCCGGTTGTTTCGTTTTGTTGGCAAGGGGGATTGTTTGAAATACCCTCTTCTTCCTCTACTGCATCAACCACCAAGCCAGTATCCACTGCTGGGTGGCAGGACTATTAGTCTTTGTGTAGTCTTCGAGAGTCGAGATGCCAGGCATTTCCATCGTGCTGAACGTGGTCGAATGGCAATGCCACCTGCTCCCGCCGGGTGCCGCTTTCTGAACCACGAAGCGTTGCCCAGGTATGGGAGTGTCGAACGATAGGGCAACATACCTTGGATGCTCAGTATCTCTGTGTATCAGCGCTCACATGCAGGTGATCGAGTCGCCCAGCAATCGCTACAGTGCGACCTCGCGACTCACCATGACGTACATATAACGAAGGCGAAGGTGAGTTGCAAGACAGCAAACGGAAGTGTCAAGTCCAAGTCGCAACTTCTTCAACAACATCTTGAACAAAGTCAAAATGACGAACCCGAAGACTGCAATCATCTCGGGCGGCGCACGTGGCATCGGACGTTGCCTGGTTCGACGATTCCTGGAGAGAGGATACAAGGTCTACGTTTTCGACATTGACGAGGAAGAGCTCAACCACACTGTGAAGAATCATCTGAAGGAGTACACCGACAAGGGCTTTCTGGGGGCGAGCGTCTGCAACCTCAGGAGCGTTGATGAAATCCGCGAGAAAGTCGAAGAAGCTGCAAAGTTCCTCCGAGGGCGGATTGATGTGCTGGTCAACAATGGTCAGTAGCAAATCGCCTACGAAATCAGTTCGCAGCTGACAGTGCATCGAAGGCGGCATCGCAAATCCCAAGTGGAAGGACGACGAGACCATGTTCAACAAGGAGACCTTTGCCCAGTGGCAAGCGTGAGTTTCCGCAACATGATGATGCGCGAGCTTCATACTGATTACTGATTCGCGCAAAGGTATGTCGAAACCAACTTGACAGCTCCATTCGCCGTCTCGCAAGCTGCCCTTCCATACATGAAGAACGAACAGAGACAACACGATCACGACACAAGCGAAGCTGGTCCGTGTATCATCCACATCGGCTCCTTCCGTGCCTTCCAGAGCGATCCCAATCAAGAAGGCTACGCATCGACCAAAGCTGGGCAGCTGGGCTTGATGCACAGCATGGCTGTCAGTCTCAAGCCTTACGGTATTCGAGTCAATCTGGTTGCTCCTGGTCGGATCAAGGTCGCCCACGAGAGCAAGGATGGGGATGACAATGGGACGCAGTGGTCGGAGCTCAACGAGGAGAAGGATGTGGCCGATCATCTCGCCAATCGTGCAGGACGTCCTAAGGACATCGCTGATGCTGTCGAATACCTCGTCAATGCTGGATTCGTCACTGCGCAAGAGCTTATCGTAGACGGAGGTGCCACAAAGACAAAGTGAAGAGTTGCGAGTCTGTCAAAATCAGTGACTTCGCGACAGTAAGCGCCCTGAAATAGCATAGATGAAGAAAAGCTTATAGCCTTACTACGCCACAATCAGCATTGCATTGCTCCTACTTTCTGATCTCATTTGCTGCTGCATCAAGCTGACTACAACAGAGCAAGAGTCACCCAAGCCCCGCCCGTCTCGGATCCCGAAAGCTCAGCTCCTTCCTTCCGCCGACATGAACATCTCCCAACACAGGGAGCCATATCGCCAAGCCAACTAATCGTCTCTGTTCTAGAAGCCAGACATCACCAACACAATGACTTCACACGAAAAGCACGTCTCCCCACAAGAACGAGCCGACATATCCGAAACACCACCAACAATCAACCCCATCGACCTCCCCTCCAAACTCCTCCGAGCAGCCTACTTCGTCGGAAAAGTCCCCCTCAAATCCCTCCGCAGCGATCCAAGAATCTCCTACGCAATCTATGTCCCAGAACAATACTGCAAAATACACGACATCCCACAGAACCCCGAAAATGACATCCCACCTCGCCTTCCACTGGTCGTCAATATCCACAGCACCCGCCGCGACGCCATAACTTGTCGCGACTCACTCATTGATTTTGCAGATAAGCATGGCGTAGCCATTTTAGCGCCTCTTTTTCCGGCGGGACTGGATTCGCTGTTTGATTTGGACAGTTATAAAATTCTCCGAACGGAATTTTTGCAAGCAGATCTAAGGTTGTTAGATATGTTGAATGAAGTAGGACATATCTGGCCAGGGATAAACACCGACCCGATCATTCTCGTAGGCTTTTCTGGTGGAGGGCAATTTGTGAATCGATTCATGTATTTGAATCCGGAACGCGTCTCTGCTGTTGCTATTGCTGCTCCGGGACAAGTCACGAAGTTGAACGTGTCTGAGGCATGGCCGAGAGGGATCAGGAATGTTGATGAAGTGTTTCCCGGGGAGGAGGTCAATGTTGATGCGATCAAGCAGATTGAGGATGTTTTGTTACTTGTTGGGGAGGGTGATGAGATGTCGGATGGACAGATGGAGTTGTTGCAGTGGTTGGCGAGAAGGAAAGCGAAGTTGAAGGGAGAGACGGTGGAGGAGAAGCTGGGGAGGATGAGTCGGGTGCAAGGGGTGAAGAGTTTGCAGAAGGACTGGCGGAAGCATGGGATTGAGGCGAGGTTGGAGATTGTGCCTGGTGTCGGCCATAGCTATCAAGATTTGTTGCCTTCGCTGATCGCGTGGTTGGAAGAGTGTTCTGCTATTGTTGATCGAGAATAGCGTATGCACGAGCAAAGTATCTAATATGAGATTCAACGTTTTGCGTTGCGTTTCCTTGCTGCTTTCTTATTCTCAACCAATGCGGTCTTCAAGACTTGAAGACTGCCGCGCTCGTCCTTGGCCTCTGATTTCCGTCCAGCCTGCTCACGTTTCTCCTTGTTCGCGTTCCTGCGACTGCGTTCCTCCATAGCTTTCTTCTGAGCTTGTCCATCCCTTCTCACTTCCATCTTCGTATGAGACCGCGTCGCCGACTTGCAAGGTCTAAAATCAGCCTCGTACTCGTCCCCCTCATCGACATCTGACTCCTCCACACTTCCCTGGACTATTGGGCCGCGGCTATGTGCTCCCTTCGCTTTCGCCAGAGCCATCGCCTCCTCCGCAACACGCCGCCGCCTCACAGCAGGCGACACCGACGGCAATTCATAAATCAGAACATCATATTCATCCCCACGAAAATGAATCGTATCCCGACATGGATTCTCTATACTATACTTCGGCGCCGAATTCTCAAGATAATCATAATCGAGTCTTTCGTGAAGTTCATTCCCATGCATTGAATCCGCCAGCCAGCCAATATATTCAACCTTGCCCAAGCACCAACGACACCAAACAGTCGTACTTGCGAGCGGTGCAGGTTGACTAGTATCATACCCTCGAGGACAAACTCCACGCGCACAAGGAATTTCCTGTTGGATGTTTACAGTTTTGCCGGCTAGAGTGTACGGATACTCGAAAGCAGGACGTCTGAATTTACACCAGGGACCGACTGAGCCCAGAAGGGGGATTTGCATTATGTGAATTGTTTCGAGAGTCCGGATGCGAGTGAATTCGACCAGCCAGTGAGGTCCTCCGCGGATGAAGACGTAGGGGAGTACCAGCTTCTTCAGCTTGGGCAAACTTGATATGACTTTGAGTACTCGTTCCTGTTCAACGCGATCTGTTTCTATCCATCGATAATGGTGATCCCCCCAGAGGTTATGGAAGTCCAAAGTCTCGATTCGGCTCAAAGTCGCCTGGGGAAGGTTCTCCAGCGCATCGAACATATCCTCGGTATGCAAGAACGTGAGGTGAAGAACCAATTGGGAACACATCTGCGTAACTTCTGCATGAACTTGTTTACTGACTGTCCACAAGCCAAAGCCTTGTCGAATGACGCAGGTCCTTCGGCATTCATCTTCTGCTTCAGTCCTTCGCGGGATCCACGTTTCTCGCGGCGTGTAAACCTTTACTGCAGGAGGTGTGAGAAAGTCGGCATTGGGGCCATAGAACTCGCATTTTGGGACATGCAGGCGCTCAAGTAATGGAACGTCGTCCAGGGCATATGTATAAATGATGTCTCGCAGCTCACGAGGCAATTCCAAGAACTTCGACTTGAGCGGCTTGGGAGCTGGGCTGGTGATGCGCAGGACTTTGAATGCCGTGGGCAACTCTGCCGCCATGGTGTCAAGTTCCGTCCTGTAGACGTGATGGGAATTTATGCTGCTGGAACAGCATGATGCCAAACATCCGACCTATATTTCTTGTGATCGACATACTTGGGGCGGAGCACTTTGACTCAATGCGCTGCCACTCCAAAGTCAGCCTAGCGCGCATCCTTCGTAAAGTCAGCCTAGCGCGCATCCTTCGTAAAGTCACTCTTGACAGTGACATTCGCAGTCTTGTCCACACCATCTGCATCGGTAGAAATGATCAGTCCGTCAATGGTGTCTTTGGCAACAACATGACCCGCGACCGCGACTTCCCCGGTATCCACAGCCTCCGCGAAGGCACGTCGCTTCGGAAGCAGATATCGCACATCGATGTATCGCAATGTACAGGTCATGGCGATACAGAGCACCCATATGGCAATGCATGATTGCCAACCGTATTTGTCTGGACTTCATCAGTATCGAACGCTTCTCATATAAGTTATACAACTCACAGAAAGGTGCCTGGCTCGCAGGCCACACTAAAACTTGCGACCATGCAGAGATTGCATACTAGCCCGCGACAGCAACGCCCACGATGAGACTGCGAGCTTCTGGATCTTGTGGGATGAGATCAGAAAGCCACGCAAAGATCAATGGCGCTGTTCCAAGTGCAACGTAGTTGATGAAATAGCTTGCATAAGCTGCCGACACAGGCACAGATGTTGGGTGACTGGTCCAGATGGACATAATGATGCACGGAATCAGACCAATGATGCCTTGAGCGACGATCAAAGTCCAGCGGGTCTGAAGTGCGTCGGAAAGTAGCGCCCAGATCCAGACTGTAGAGGTTAGCAATCGAAACATGTCCTTGCATGGTCACAGAGACTCACCAAACGCAACATTGATCGCGCCACCTCCAATAGGAATCACATTGACTTCCTCAGTCGACCACCTCTTCGAGCCATCTGGTCTCGTCTGCGCCTTCAGAAACAGTCCGAAGTATACATAGCCGTAAGTAGCCAGCACAGTGCCAGCATACAGCACAGCCACGAAATACACAACCCAAGACCTGTTTCACAAAAAGTCAGCCCAAACATCTCTCTCCCTTTCGCCAGAAAATAAAACCCACGAAAAAGTCCTCTTGAAACTCTCCCACGTAACACCCCTCGGCTCCGCCCTCTTATACCTAATCAGCCTCCCAATCGCCAACTCCTGATCATCCCTACTAAACCAAAAAGCCCTCGGATTCCTCCTATTCGGATAATCCGGCAACATCACAACCCCCAGAAACCCCCAAACAACCGTAACAACCGCATTAATCACAAACAACCACCTCCACCCCTCCAACCCCAAATTCCCATCCAAAGTCCTCATAATAGCAGCCTGCAACCCGCCACTCATCATATTCCCAATCGCCTGACAAGAATGATAAAAGCCCATTCGCTTCGCAAGTTCGGTGGGAGTATACCAGTGCATGAAAAGTGTCATCATACCGGGCCAAGCGCTACTTTCGAATGCTCCGAGGAAGACGCGGATGATGTAGACTTGTTTGGCGGATGTTACGGTTGCCATGAGGCCTGTGAGGATCCCCCAGCCGATTTCGAGGCCTGGGAGCCAGAAGGAGGGGCGGACGTGCGTGAGGATGATTTGGGAGGGGATGAGCATGAGGCAGTAGGAGATGTTGAAAGCGGTGGTGAAGTAATTTAGTTCGTTGCCGTGGAGGGAGAGGTCTTCTTGCATGCCGGAGACGTAGGCGTTCTGCGTGCTTTGTTAGTGAGACAGCTGGCGATTCGTGATCTTGGGTGTTACTCGCGTTGATGTTTTGTTGATCCAAGTACTTGATGACTTGAGAAATGCATCCAAAGGTCATTAAGAAAATATCCAAACGCCGCACGAATGCTTTCTCTTCCTTGGTTCGTTCAGGCGTGGGCGCCAGGAAGGCAGGTCTTTTCGAAAAGATTCCCATCATTGCCACTCTCCAGCATCCAAAGCTGTAACTCAAGTCAGTAGAACCTCAAAACAGTAGTCAATACAAAAGGCAGATCAAGAGCAGAAATGTAGAACCATTGGCAGTTCAAGCACACACCATTTGGCCCATCCTCGGAAGCACCAGAGCGGAACGCATCCTATCAGCGGGCCCAAGTGACACATACCACGACAGGATTATGTTGCATCTCGTGGTCGCTATCGCCCAGAGTAGTATGCCACCCTAGCAAGATCTGCGCCTTGGCGTGACTTCTTAAAGAGCTGTGATAGCGGCCGATAGGCGAACTCGCGGGGTACTCGTAGCCGCAGGCGCGTTGTCGGCACACCCGGGCAACTGAAAGTGGCCATCCGAAGAGCGGAACAAGAGTTGCAAGAAGTGAATTAGTTGAGCTTGGTGCCTGATAAGCTGTTGGCAGTTCTCTTCTCATTGCTTTGGATGTGGATGCGCGACCAGTGGGCCCTCCAGCACATTGTCTCTCAGAACAGCGTTACAATACTCAAGCATTTCTTGTCGCAAGTTGACATGGCTCCTCATGCGACAGACAGTCCGGAGCCCGCTTCACTTGACATCCCAGAGAGACTAAAGTCTACCAAAGAGTCAACACATCAACAGGGCTATCGCTCTTTACCTCTGCCAAATCCATGCCTCTCCTACTGGCATCGCACAACGCGAGCTTTCAAGTATCTCAATGCGAACGAGCATGTTCCAGTTCCGCAAAGTGCGAAATACGTGATCATCGGCTCCGGACTCTCAGGTTCCTTGACAGCATGGTCTCTAGTGGTTGACCACGGCGTGCCAGCAACAGACGTACTCATCCTCGAAGCTCGCGAAGCGGTTTCTGGAGCTTCAGGTCGTAATGCAGGCCACGTTCGACCGGATGCCTTTCGAGGCTTCGCAGCATATTCAAGAATCCACGGTCCAGAACAAGCCAAGAAGATCATTGAGAGTGAGAAACTCGTATTCGAGCGATTAGACGCTTTCGTCCGCGAGCACAACGTCCCATGCGACTTCAACTCAACCACGACATTCGATGTCTGCCTGACACCAGAATTTGTGGAGTACCAGAAGGAATCATTTGCAGCGTATAAGGCGGCTGGCGGGGATGTGTCGCACGTGCAGTACTTCGAAGGCGACGAAGCGAAGGCAAAGACCCGAGTCGCAGGCGCAATCGCTGCTTACGAATGGCCAGCTGGGTCGAGTCATCCTGCAAAGCTTGGACAGTGGCTGCTAGAGCAGCTGGTCGAAAAAGGTATCGGCTTGTGGACGCATTGCCCTGTCACGGAAGTCAGCAAGCACCAGACGTCCGGCCCAAGCACCCAGGCGATGTGGGACGTGATCACTGCACGCGGCACAGTCGCCTCGCAGATATTCGTGCATTGTACAAATGCCTATGCTGCACACCTGCTGCCCGAGCTGTCAGCGTTCGTGACACCGAACCGCGCTCAAGCACATTCGATCGTGCCAGGTGCCGAGCTCTCGGGATCAAATGCCAACACGAATACCATGTCACTGCGGTACGGGCTGAAGCATTTCTTCTCCTTCATCCAGCGCGCAGTGGATGGGACGGTGGTATTTGGTGTGTCCAGAGAAAACCCCACCTGGAGCGAAGCCACAAAGAGCTCAATCGCCTCTTTCGATGACACGGAGTACACTGCAGAGATTGCTGGATCATCTGCAGAAGCTTACAGGAAGCTGTTCGTGACGGCCAGACCGGACTCGGCTCGGCATGGAGAGGGTGTCGATCATTCGTGGACGGGAATTATCGCCATGACACCGGATTCCGTACCGATGGTTGGAGCAGTTGAAGGCAAAGAAGGGCAATTCATCCTGGCGGGACACAATGGACATGGTAAGCACGACGGCTAAACCTTCCCTGCCCCGTACACGTGCTGATCGTATTGTAGGCATGGCCCGAATCTGGATGTGCGCGCCTGGACTTGCGAAGATTATCCTTGGTAAATTGTGGTCCGCAACGGCTCTGCCGGAGTGCTTTCAATACAGTAAATCCAGACTGGCGCGAGCGGCATCACAGAATGTGCGCAGCGTTTGGTGAGCATCTTGGCAGTGGCCTGAGATATGGGTTCCAAGCAATACGTTCTTGGTATTGCATGTGCATTCCTATTGATCTAATCAGCAGTGAGTTCGCAGCAACGTGGCTTGGTAGCGAAGTAGATCAATGCATTGTCTTTGCGCTGGAGCCGCATTGCCACAGAAAACTTGATCACCGCAGGTCGCACAAGAGGAAGTTTTGGCAGCGTCCCCGCCTTCTCCGCAATGATAAGGCATGTGAAAACCATCATATGTGATCAGCCTTCTCATTTAACCATCGGCACGCGGCGCATATGCGGATGGAGAGCGGAAGTATTGCACTGTTGCCGGAGCGGAGCAGGGATCACTGAGTGTGATTGACTTTGGCTCGTCAAGCCCGCGGCTAAGGAAAGCACGAAAGAGCTGTCACACTGTGGTTGGTAACCAACATGGCGGGAACATGCACGAGATAGGCAGTTGCAGAGAACTGCGGGAGCATGTTGGAAGTTCTCACGTGCAGGGATCAGAAAGTAGCTGTTTCTTGTAATGTTGAGCACCGCGACAAGCTGATTGTAGCGGCGAAATCCCCGGCCAGCCGAGACGTCAAGATAGTGTCAAGACAGCACTTTCATCGACTTCATTCCTGCATCGTTTTCTGGGCTCAGATGGCACTCGTGAAGCCAACGATAGCGGTGTTCGGAGCGACCGGATACCTTGGCCAGCACATAGCCGCAGCTTTGCTCGATCCTGGAACCCGATCCAAGTTCCGGAACGTTGTGCTGCTTTCAAGGCGTGCCACAAAGTTGCAGAGGTGGCAGAAATACAACGCAGTGATCCGCCAGTGTGACGAACGGGATTTGATTGCAAGCCTCAAAGACATCGATATTGTTGTCGATGCCGTCGGTCCTTCCGGGGTAGAATTCAGCAGGCGACTGATCGCGGCCATGGCTCAGGCCAAAGTCATGATCTATTTCCCGCCAGAGTTCGACGTTGACCACAACCTTCACGACTTCCGGTTTGCAGAGTGGGACTGGAAAAAGAGCAACGTTGCTTTGGCTCGTGCCCAATTGCCAGGGACTAAAGTCTGCCAGATTTTCGCGAGCCTTCTGCTGGAACAGGCCTTTGGTCCGTGGCTCGGATTCTGTTCGAAAAGACAGACGTATGCGTGCGTAGGAAGCAAAGACGTTGCCATCTCGTTCACTTCTGTCCGTGATCTTGCTCGCACAATTGTCCAATTGTGCTTGACCGAGCTTTCGCGGATACCAGACCAAGTGCACATTGGCGGCACCACTGCGACGTTTTCGGATGTCGCAACAATCATGAGCCGAGAAAATGGAAACAGAATCCGCGTCGTGGAACTCCCTCTGGCAGCGTTCAAGGCAAGCGTACTCACAGCCGCTGGATCCAAACGCACGGATTACCTCCGGTGTGTGATGGCAGAAGGCAAAGCGAACCACGGACGGTATGGAGTCTGGAATGTGAACGAGTTGGTCAATCCTGGAGGAAGTCGGTGGGAGTGGACGACAGTGGATGCATTGGCCAAGCAAACAGGTGGTCGACCCTGGAGCGATGCAGATTGGCCCGATGTCCGATGAAGTTGTGCTCGTTCAAGCACTGTGCGAGCTCAACGTTTCCGCGCCTGCTGTAATGGTATGCAGTTGACGTCTTGTCCGATTCGCACTTTGATCTCCGAGACATTGATGCTTTTCGTTGTCACTGTCTGCAGAAGTGCGTTAGGAAGATTAACCGTCACAGGACCAGACGTCGCATCCGCTTGGTTCAACTGGATGGTCCAAGCAATGCTGATATGAAAACTGTCGTGTGCATCAGTGGTCGATGTCTCGCTGAGCTTGGCCTCGTCCGAATAAAGCAGTGGCTGCGAGAAATGGCTTGCGACAGAGTTGCACATTTTCAACAAAGATCTAAGCTCGTCGCCAGCAGGTCTTTGCAATCGAAGTACGAGAAACCAACGCGTGCCTTGTTCATTTGGATGCCAAACGAGGTCCAGCGGCTGCACCGCGAATGCCGAGATTTCGGACGAGGCGCTTCGTTCATTCACTTGCTCGAGGAAGACGTCCTTGTCGTCGGTTTGCAAGCTGAGTGGCCGAGACAGTGAGACGTGCAGCGGCTGCCGCACTCCCAGATCGTTCTCCAGCAGACTGTGAACAGTATCCTGGCCGGAAGGCTTCTGAATGTGAGAGATCAGTTGCTGTAATGCCGAATACTCTTCTGGCCGAGGTGTCCCTCCCGTGTGTGTTAGTATAGACGAAATTTCGATTGCGAGAAAAGATTCAGGACATGGATCACGCTTCCTTACAGTCTAGGTAGACATGCGTTGGCCAATTGCCAGCGACATGAGGTGTGACGCGTTTACGGCCACCATGAAGGGCAGGATCGTCCTGTGTGCTCGTTCGGACTGTCGATGAATAGAGATCACGGAATTGAGGTGGCAGTGGAGGCAGTACGTTGGATCGCGCAGTCTCGAGCTTGGGTTTCTTCGAGGCAGGCTCTGCTTCACTTTCCGAGCTGTCGGAGTAGTTGACCAGTCCCATGATGCTGTGCTCACGGCGCGTCTCTTTGATGAGGCTGAGCTGGTCTGTATGGAGATTGCTCGGGCGGTTGACGATCTTTGGGTGCTGAGAAGACGGGTGAGGTAGACGCGTTCTTGCTGTGAGAAGTTACGCGCAATGTGCCCAATGCCAAGTCTTGCCCAATCTCAGGACCCTTGGAGGGCAACAACCACAATTCGGCGCAGCAACTCTGGGCAGTCAGCGCAAGAAAGTGCCGAATATGTTGCTTGCTTTGAGCGCACGAGGACACGCGGTGCCTTGCATACGCAGCATTCGGACACTAACCGCGAAGAGCTGGCAGCGAAACTAGCTCACTGTAGCTCCTCTCGGCTCCCAGTCTGCCGTCCTGAACGCGATTGGGGATGGTAATGTCTTCGCTCAACAGAAGGCTGCAATCAAGATGCTGCCTTGTGTTGATGACGACAGGGCCAGATACAGCAGATATGAGGTGGTGTTGGGACCAAAAAGAGGCCCATCCGCTGGGGGAATTCAGGGTGTTCTGGGCCGGAAGTGCCTGGAAGCTGGTGCGTCCCTGCGTGAGGAAGACCAGGACGTCACCGGTGGGCACTGCTCTGGCGCCGCGTCACCAGCTGCTCTTGGATGCGCTGTGCGTGCTGATGGCAGGAGCGACACATGTCCCAGTCATCTGCATTGGATCTGCTGATTCTCTTTCGCTCTCTCCTCTCCTGCATTCACACCATAATTGATCGCATAGCACGGGAATAGCGTGAGAACATGTCCCAAGCAGTATCATCCAAGGTATGCTCCAGTGACCCCACGCAGCCGCCATGCAAGGGACCGCCGAGCATGAAACTGCGACAGCTTCACATTATATTGTCCTGTACACATGCTGACACTCGTCACCAACACAGACGGCGGCGGCCTACTTGATCGACCCATTGAACGCACCCGAGCCATCCGCCGAGACAGGACCAGGCACATCGTTCGGCAGCACCTTCGATCCCGCACAGAAAGCCAATGCTCCCTCGATTACCCAGCAGCCCACGGGCTCGACGATAGGATCGAACAATCCCTATCGCAAGTCCTCCGGTCCACGCACTCCACCCGGCGCGAGCCCCAGCACGAGGAAACATCAGAGTCGCAGCCCGCGTGAGGCATTCCCCAACTATCGCGCCGAAGCCTTCTCCGACTATGCTTCCCCACGACGTCACTCCTCCAGCAACGGCAATGGCGACGCGCCTCCTTCCTACGACCAGACCACCTCGCCGAAACGCGAAACCCGCCATCGCCGCCGCACGAGCTCGTTGACGGCACGTTACCCAGGTGACAACAGCCATCAGCCACTGGACATCATTCGACGGGACAGCAAGAAAGCCCATCGCAGCCCGCATCTTAAGAAGAAGCACCTGCCAGGCCCAGACACCATCGATCGCCTCGACCCAGCCATCAGCGGTATTGCCTACCACCACGAAGGTCCATACGATGCAGCACTGCTGGCAAGAAACAATAGTTTTGAGATTTCGCCCGTCGCGGCTGTACAGCACGGCAATGCGGAGACCTTGAAGGCGACGCCTGCCGAGAACATTAAAGATGCGATCGAGAGGCACCGTCCGTTGGATGGCGTGGCACAGCTTCCTCCGGGCGTTCCGGACCGCTTGGGGCGAGTCTACCGCTACGAGGAAGGTGCAGATCTGATGCACGAGGACGGTCCGGACGGTCCCGGCTATAAGAGGTATGTATTGTGTTCGAATTGATGTATGACATATGACTAATGCGCCCACAGGTGGGCCGGCAAGGACTATCATCCCGACGATCTCAAAGGCAAAGGTGATGAATTCGTGCTCGACAGAGCCATGAAGAACCACACGATCAACGAGAATGGTATCGAAATGTCAGACAAGAAGCGCTCCAAGGATGGCTACGATCCCGTCAACATCTCTGGTGATGAGCCATACGCTGATTACGCAAATACCCACGACGCTGACACCGGTCGCAATCGCAGCGACAGTGGTGGTCTTCGTGCTGGGCTGAAGAAGCGCATCGGAAGCTTGCGCAAGAAGAACAGAGCGGCGAGTTAGGTTCGACTGTCGAGAAATTACCTGGACTTCATGGAATGTACGATACTAGATTGTATGATTATGGCGGCACAAGTGGGAACTCACGATGTATGGGCAAATAGAGCGGGCATAGCGATGCAGCTATGACAGAATGTGAACAAACTTACATTGATTGCTGTGCTTGCCACCTGAGCCTCCATTGTTTGCCCGTTCTGCCGAACGGCAACAGCTGACTCTTGCTGTGCCCGGCCGCATCGTATTGCGATAGATGCGAACGTGTTTGCGCGCTGCATTCCATGTTGTGGCCGGTGCCTACATGACGTCCGCTCTGTCCTGATGTTCTGGAACATGAGTTCGAAGCGAGGTCACGAAGAGCAACGAACGACAGGCTGGTGGGAGGAAACAATGACGAACCGGCCATACGAGATTGATATGCCCTCGCTGACGAAACTCAAGGCTATGGAGGACAAGGCAATGGGCTTCAACCCATCGACTGCACTGGCAACTCCGAAGGTTGTGCGACAAAGTCATGCTGCAGACGAAGGGAATACGACAGTTGCAGAAACGAATTCTGCTCAGCGAACGAGCCGACATCAACGAATTCTTCAAGATCTTGATGACCAGCGTAGGGATACGAGCTCTAATGTGCGGGAGACTGCTAGGATGGACGTCGACTTTGGGACCGAAGACCAGGCTTCACGTTCACATGAAATGATCTCTCAGTGTGAGGGGCACTGGCTTTTTGCTAATGCTGTTCTGGGGGAGGGACAACTTGGGGTGAAGGCGAAGGGGAAGGTTGAGACTCTGCCCGCGTCGGAAATATCGGCATCTCAGGCGAAAGGGTCAGCGCGGTCGGAGACAGAGGTCGATGATCTCGATGCGCATGAATCCCAGCACACACAGCCCGTTGACACACTGCATGAGCAAGAGTATCTCATCCCGAAAGAGGATTTGTTGATCATGCTCGAAGTTGGTTTTGCGGAAAGACCATATTGGACAACCTCAGACTTGGCAGACGCGTTGCAGCAGCCGGAGGCACATCTGAATGAAGTTCTACCGCAAATCGCCATATTTGGGCCGTGGTTGGGAGGATATCCTCAGCGGTGGTGTTGGAGGTTGAAGCCGGCTGAGGAGAAGCATGAGGGGCGCTGGAAGGGCAAGGGTCGGGCGGAGTTCTGGGAGTGAGTCCGGTGGAAGGCAGTGAGTGAACGCGAGATGTGCTGCCAACAGGTCTGCAATGTGATATTCTCCAGGCTCATAGTTAATTCGTCATCTTCCTCAGGTCTTCAATTGTGGCTTCACCAATATATGTAGCTTCGACTGTTCATTTCACTGCGACACATTAGCTCAATAGTCGTTGTCAGCTCGAGCGGCAACGAGGTACGTACCCTCCTACACTCGCCGCCAACTGCGCAAACCTCTCTTCTCCTTCCGACTCCAACCAATACGAACTAACCCGAAAATGCGGTGTCGCACCCAGATCCATACGCCTCAACTCATTCTCATACAACTTCCAATTATATTCCGCTTTCTTCTCCCGCGGGTACTCCGGATCGTTGACCAGATGAATAGAATCGAAATGAAACGTAACCTGCAAAGACTTCCGATGAACGTTCAAACAATCCAAAAGAGACCTTAGTGTTTGCGCCTTCTGTATCAAATCCTCCTCAGGCCGAATATGTTGCCTGACATGCACATGGTCAATCCATTGCAAAAACATGGATTTCTTCTCAGGCGAAGCGACAATGCCATTTGTTTTGTCGTCCGATCCAAAAGGGACCTGAGAACTAGGTCGAAGATCTTGGATATTGATCACCCAGAGCATTTTGCTGTAGAGTAAATCCATGACTTCGTTGTGGATTAATTTTGAGGCCCGGAGGATGGCGGGTGCGGTAAGAGCGAAACCTGGGGGTTTTGCGATTGTGACGGATCGCCATGTTGTGCCATATTGCACAGAGTTTACGTGTCCGACTCCGCTTGTGTAGCCTTGCTCATGAGCGGCTGCACGATGTGGGATTGAAGTTGCTGGTGCTACCTGAATGAGATGTGAGAAGATGCGGATCCGTATCTCGGCGGGTAGGTTGAGTAAGTTAGAAATGGATATGTTTTCGTTGGCGGGATTTGTAGCGGTCGCAGTATCCTGACGGTTGCGATTCCAGGAGAAAACCATGATCAGGTTGGTGATGTTGCTGGGAATCTAACACCGGCGGATGAGGTTGGAAAGTACGAACAGAACTTAGTGCAGCAGGGGTTGTGAACCAATGAAACTGAGTTTCCGTATCGCAAGCCTTCCGTCTTCTTGCACTTCCACCTGTTCGCCCACATCTTTCATCGACAACAACAACATTGCCATTGCAGTGCATCTCGAGAGACGTACGTCTACAATGCACATCAAGCCTCGCGACGGTGCCATGACAACCTGCCACAACGAAATCCAGACTGGCCGTTTTCCACCGTTTGTTGTCACCCAGCAATGTCTCAAGAGTCGACCGAATCACCTTGCCTCCCAGCGCAGCGGCAGTCTCTTCTCGTGGGTAAACGTCTTTACATATAGCCACGCGAGCACCCTGCCGCGCACGTGTTGTGCCGATCAGGTTTAGGGGTCGTCTCCTGCCAGCACCTACTACTGGGCGGTGCTGGGCCAACCACCAGCGAGGACGACCGACGCGCAACGGCGATTGATCTAGAACTCCCGCCATGATGGTCCATGCCATAGCCATTTCGAACATGCCAGCCTGGTGGCAGTGTAAGTATGAGCTGTGTATTAAACACCCCGATGCGACCTCTTCAGCCTCTTCTTCTTTCATCACGATTGTAGATCAGACACTGACGCACTTTGCCGACATGAAGTCGATTACACTCATACAACTCTCACTCTTTACAGCATTTACTTCTGCTCATTGGCGACGATCACCACAACTCGGAACAAATCTCACATCGGAGGCAGGAAACAGTACCGCACACACGGGCTTCGCACCATCACAGGAAGTCGACCAGTATACTCGGTGTGCTACAAACCCTACAGTTGCACAACGTCGCGTACTGGACGAGTTCTCCCGCGGCCATCATGAGACACCAACAGATCGTGCAACCCGAGTAGTCGAAGTGTATGTGCACGTGGTCTCAACACAATCCAAGCGAGGACGATATAACAATGCAATGGTCCAGAATCAGATTTCCGTAATGAATGACGCATTCAAAGGGACTGGCTTCTCATTCGAGCTTGTCGGTTTCGATATCACTGTTGACGAATCCTGGGCCAAAGCTTCCGCAGGATCCAGCGAAGAGACCGACATGAAGCAAGCTTTGCAACGTGGCAGATACCAAGACCTCAATCTGTACTTCCTGTCGGACCTAGGCGACGGACTACTTGGCTTCTGCTACTTTCCAACAAGCGATCCTTCCAAGCAAATGCGAATGCTTGATGGCTGCATCAACCTCGCAGACTCTATGCCCGGAGGAGCCGCGAAGTACTATGACATGGGATTAACAGCAGTCCACGAAGTCGGTCATGTAAGCCACACTCTTTCCAGCGATGTTATACCGAATGCTGACATGGTCGCAGTGGTTTGGGTTGTACCATGTCTTCGAAGGTGCAAACTGCAATGATGAGAAAGGCGATCGCGTCGGCGATACCCCTCGCCAATCGACACCTACGACAGGATGCCCGACTAACAAGAACTCATGTCCGCGCTCTAAAGGAGTCGACAGTATCAACAACTACATGGACTACAGCTATGATTCGTGCCTCTTCGAATTCACCCCTGGTCAAGGACGTCGGATGAGGGCTTTGTTTGATTCAACCCGGGCTGGAGTATAGGGCAGATTTCGAATTGGCCGTTCTAAGACGGGAGAAGATTGACGATGAATGATTGAGACGACTTCAAGTTTTGATGTTGGCATGTTGGATTGGGAACATTATGATAAGCTTCGGTGCAGTAAATAGAAATTCTGTAGTTGCCTTTAACTTTTCAATATCGAGATGCTGTTCCCTATACATACTTGTACACACAGCTTCGGCCAGAGCCTTCCACCACAGCGCTGTAACTTAGACTTTGCGGAGTTCTTGCCGCTACTGGGCGCAAATAATGGCCAATCAATCTGCACCTCGAAGACCCTGCGCAACCTTAAATCGCCACGCGCTCCTCCCTGTCGACCTCGCGTCTTTTCGCGACACCACTCTACACGACTTTGCAAACCCACAAAATCTCGACAAGATGGGCGCACTCAACCTGGCTGAATGGCAGAAGCTGCCAATCTCGCTCTCCGAACTTTGTATCAACACCACACTCCGCTGTGGCCAGTCCTTCCGATGGCGCAAGAACGATCTCGGCGTCTGGTCTATCGCGCTACACAATCGCATCCTGTCTCTACACCAAGATAAAGAGTACTTATACTACCGCTCAATACCGCCATCGCCGCAAAGTATCAAGATTGAGGCGCCCCCAACACCGCCCTCTTCCAACCCGCCAAGCCTGCCCGAAGGTGGCGAGAAAGACGAAGTGGAAACTCTCGACCTCATCAAACACTACCTGAATCTGGAGCCTAATCTCACAGACCTCTACAAAGAATGGTCTTCCAACGATGCGAACTTCGCCCGTCGAGCGCCCGCTTTCACAGGAATTCGGATCCTCAAACAAGATGCCTGGGAAGCACTCGTAGGCTTCATCTGCTCATCCAACAACAACATCATCCGCATCTCCCAAATGGTCCACAAACTCTGCTCCAACTACGGTCCCCTCCTCGGCCACCTCGAAGACGAACCCTACCACGACTTCCCCACACCCCAAGCACTTTCCGTTCCAGGCGTAGAACAAACACTCCGAAACCTCGGCTTCGGCTATAGAGCAAAATACATCGCAACCACAGCACGCCTAATCACAGAAAAAGACGACCCAGATTGGCTCGACTCATTACGGAATCCTGAATCTCCCGTTTTAGGCGTCTCACCATCTCCAGCAGGTCCTTTCCTCCCAGAAGGTCGCGAAGGCTATCGCGCTGCGCACGAAGCGCTTTTGACTCTGCAAGGTGTCGGACCTAAAGTTGCAGACTGCGTATGTCTCATGGGACTTGGCTGGGGAGAAGCTGTACCTGTTGATACTCATGTCTGGCAAATTGCGCAACGGGATTATAAGTTTGGGAAAGGCAAACATGCGAGTCTGACAAAGGTCACCTATGATGCGATTGGAGCGAAGTTTAGGAGTTTGTGGGGGAAAGAGGCGGGTTGGGCACAGTCGATTCTGTTTACGGCGAATTTGAAGGCTTTTAGTGAGAGGGTTGTGGGGGTGAAGAAGGAGGAAGGTGTGGTGAAGGAAGAGGAGGGCGAGGGTGGAGAGGATGCAACGAGAAGAGTGGTGAAAACGGAGAAGCTGATCAAGCGGGAGTATGTGGACGATGAGGAGAGTAAGGTGTTCGAAGTGGAGGAGAAGAGCACAAGGGCGAAGCGAAAGAGGAGAAATTGAGCGCCACGCTGAAAGTGGTACTTGATTAATGCTCAAGAGCAGCTTGCATACTCCATTGAACCGCCTATGATCATACCAGTAACGCCAAACGCCTTGCTAAAGTGAGAGTTCCTATTCCACATGCAGCGCCCGCTGTCGCGGTCCAGCAAGAAGTGCTGACCAAATTACTCAATACCGCTTAATCGCATACGATCACATCCCCAGCGAAGCCTCCTAGGACGCAGCTTTCGCCCTTCCCGGCGAAGCCCAGCTCAGGATCTTCTCCGACTTGGGCGTCATCGTTCCATTACCCCGCTTCGGCGACGGCGAGCTTCCAGCACTGGTCCTCTTCGCCGGCGGAGTCTTTCTATCCTCAGAGAACCCATTGACCTTACCATTCGACTCCTGCTTCGCAGCTTCTCGCTCATTCTCCTTCGCCAACCCGCGTTCCTGAAGCATAGCGACCACCGAAGTCAATTTATCTTTCTCCTCGCCCTCCTCACACTGCTTTACCAACTTCGCAGCGTCATTGAGAAAATTCATGACTTGTCCAGGTGAAGCCTGCGTGGAAAGGATATTGTACGCGTATACTTTCGTTTCCACTTTCGAATGCTGGTTGTGTACGATCTGAATGCAAAGTGCTCGACACATTTCGTATCTTCCCTGGTCTCGCGCTTGCATGGCTCGAGTTAAGAGCTTCGCGCAATCTTCGCGAGCGCCTTGGATCTTCTTCTCCAGGGATCTGAGATTTACGACTAGAGGATCTTCTGGTTCCCGGGCTTGAGCTTTCAACGACTCCAAAGCACGGCTGACGGCATCGAGATCCGGACAGGTCTTTTTGGCGAATATGGTCTTGACTTCGGGCGTGTCAACGCGGTTTGGACTCGCTGTGCCACTATCCGCGACTGATGACTTGCCACTTTCGGCAGCAGTCTTCTTCTTGGGTGCCAAGAGACCAGCACTCGCCATAGTTTTAAGAGACATCCGTAGAGAGCCATGACTGGAGCCCGTTCGAGTCAACTGTTTGGTCTTTGGCTTCCCATTGGTGGCAGGGAGCTCAGGTTGAAGTGTAGCTGGTGCGGGCTTCACCGTTGCAACAGGTGTCAGTGTCGCTTCCGAGCTTGCAGCTCTCACTGGTAAAGGTCTGACGCCCAGATGCTCTTTCCTCTCCTGTCCGGGAAGCTCGATGGTGATGGATCGGGATCGCGGCGTGCTCAGTGTGTCTTCTGTCATCGGGTCGGGTAGATGCACTGCGGTTCCCCTGCCATGATCATCGGTGATTTTGATTTCCGGCGAGCTGACCGCTGATGTTGGGGCAGTCGAGTTTGGAGTGCTGGCCAGTGAGGCCATAACTGCAGTCCCGCTGAGATGTGTTCAAAGCATCTGAAGATTCCTCGATGGCGGAACGGCGACGTTCGAATCTGGTCTTGCGGATAGTTGCAATGCTTGATGCTTGGCGTTTTGATGCAGTCGATGTTCTCTGCTTGCTTCGTCCTGTGGCGTAAAGAATTGAAAGATGGAAGTCCAAAGTGCAACCACCTTAGTTTGTGATCAGCAAGGTCCAGGTTCTTGCTTGCAACTGAGAAGGTCCAGGTCCCGACTCGGCAAGTGCCAAGCAGGAAGGTATCTGTAGCACCTTCACTCGCAAGAAAACTGAAATTTTCAATAAATCATGAGATCGTAGAGGCGAAACGGTGAATAGTGGAAGCGACTCTGACCATTCACCCCCTCAATAATTTCGAAGCTTTCCAAGAATCAACGTGTTGGTGGTGTTGGTAGACCGCTATTGCTTGATTCTGCATGGGCCAACATTCCAATTGGCAAATCTGTGGCTAGCTGATTGGTAGTTGGGGCGTTGGCGACACTTCGGTTGGGAAAGCGCAGTAAGTTTGTTCCAACACCAGCACACGAAGAGGGGGAATTTTTGCAAAGTCACTTGACGCTGTCGTAGTTGACCTCACTCATTCTGTTCGCATTTGGCGTTTTCTGGGCGTCATCTCTTTGTTCTCAAATCCAGGTTGTGCTGTTGCCAAGACCGGCGGACAGGGCAAGGAATGCATGTCAGGATGACCAAATTGTTGCCGGCTACCAAATCGTCAGTGTGGAACAGTTTGAAGCATTGGCAGACGCAATGACGCAGCATCTTGAAATTGACGGATTTCATTATGCGTATCGTCTTCACTGTCGTTTTGGTTGCGGACTGCAGAGCAATGCCACGAGCGCCATGATGCAGCATCAAATGATGTTGTGCGCCATTTCCCTCCAGACAACCATTACCCATTCGTAACCATCAGATGCTTCGTGATCGTGAATCATGCATGATGCTAAGGCATCACAAGTCATTGTAGCCCAGGATTCTCTTTGGCAAGCTCTTCTCACTGACAGCCCAAGTCCACGCTCTTCCCGCTTCGCCTTGGAACAGAGATTCCGGTGCTGAGGACTTTTCTAGCATACCATCCTTCTCCATGGACTTCATCTCGTGCCCGGTCGTGTACGTCAGGAAATGCTCAAAATCTTGGGTTTCCAGCGCAATTGCGTTGCCACTGATGCCGTGGCACAAGCAAGGCTCCTTGGTCAAAAGCCCGCGCTCGAGAATACACTCTCTGCCTTTCGTGATGGCCTTCTCAATACGATCCTTCAGGTTTGGGAAATACTCCTTGATCGACTCCAAACTTGCGATCACACCTGGAGCTCCATGACAAAACTGCACCAGACGATCTCGCTCAGGTGGCACGCTGCTGGGGAAGTTCCCAGAATCATACTGGTAAGTAAGCAGCACTGCCAGCTCAGCTTCCAATTTCGGGGCGTATTTCTGTGGATTCGTCAACACGACCTGTGTGATGATTCCCATTGTGCCGTGCACAGCCCCAATGTATGCCTTTCCATGCCACTTCCATGGTCGTGGAGAATCTAGTATCGCATCCACAACGTCGTCTTGCGTGTCTGTAATGAGTTGCAACGTTTTCTCATCATCCACGAAGCTCGCCTTGATCAGTCGAAGTAGATAGAGGTATCCCGCACGCCCATATAGCAGCTCGTTCTCGGTTCCTTCTTCTAGTGCTTCTGCGCTGTAGTCGCAAAGGTTGGAGGCCATGTCTGCATCTTTCGAGCTCGCAGCCCCAATCGCAAGGAGAGCAAGAATATCGTCCGTTATACCACATTTGCCAATCGAAGGTCCAGGATACGTAGCGAAATGATCTTGCGCATGTTTCAGGTAGGCAGCACTCCAAACACCGAGCGGATGGCCCTCGATCTCGAAGTCCGGGTACATGCCCTGCAGGACGAGCAAGGCATAGGCGACGGACACAGGGCCCTTGAAGAGCCCTCCGCCGGGTTTGATGCTCGCAGGAGGATGTTCGGTTACCAGGCGCGTGAGGGAGGCTTCGAGCTGGCGGCGAGGATCTGCAGCTACAGGTTAGCGGGTGCATTTCGCACTATGAGCCCGGGTAACCAACCTCGTCGCGCAGGCGGCGCATCGTTTTTGAAGTAGCGAGGAGGCATCGTGAGCGAGGCGGAGTCGTCTCACAGCTTCATCGAGGGTCGACTCGATATGAGTCGCATTCGAGCAGCTACCAGCGCGCGGGAAGCTGGTCGCGTGGCCGGGTGCAGTGTTGAGCAAACAGTCACGGAAGTGATTTCGGCTTTTTGCGCAGCGCCTTCCGAGAAGAGTGCGCGGAGCAGGCTGTCACTGCGCACGCAGGAATGTTCAAGTGAAGTCGAGTTGTCCAGCCTCACAATTCGCATCAAGTTGACTGGTGATGCATTGCTCTGACGTAGCAGCGGGGTGCAAGGGTGCGGACAGCACTCCGCTCCTCCCAATGTGAAGATTCAATTTTGTGCATTTTCGAATGCTGCAGCATAGAAATTGTGCATTGAGCAGGAAGTGCTTATTTGACATCTTGAATAGTTCAATTTTATCTATTATCCTCAAGTGGTGCCACTGTCAGCCTTGAAGGGGTATAGGAATGCCCGCTACTCTCAAGTTGACGATCAACACACTACTGCCAATCTATCCTTTCTTGCTGATGCGATCCAGACGCGCTCTGTTGACAGCAATCTGGTCGTCCACCTTATCCGTCTTTCCAATGATACGATCGATGTGCTTGTTCTGCGAGTCAATCTCGTTGCCCATGGCCTGGCCCAGCTGGTTAAGCGTTCGAGCACCGCGATGAATGGCGTCCCTGAAAAGTCAGCATGCAGTTCTCTTGCGTGTAAAGAGGACTTTTACTCACAAGTTGTCTTCGATCTCGTTCTCCATCTCGTCGTCCTCGCTGTCAGCCTCAAACTGATATTTGGCACGATCGGCAAGACTCTTCTGGTTATTGGTCCTGACCACGTTGCCATTCAAATCTCGCTGCTGAGCCTGGTGTCTCGCCTGGGTGCTGTATGCCTCCGACCGCGTGGCATCGGCTTGTCGTCTCTCCGCTTGATGCTTCTCCAGCGCAATGGCATTTGCTGCTTCTTCTCGCTTCTTGGCTGTGAACGGATTTGCAACGTGAACTGCAAACATGCTTCTGTTCAGTGTCTTGAGCTCACGAGCCTTCTCCTCTGCAAGACGATTCTGGTTGGAAGCCATGTCCAGGTTGCGTTCCGTATTATGGATACGCTCTCCTTGTGCGCCCAATCTGGCAAGAGTCTCGCGACCTGTCTGCTCCGCTTGCTCAGCAATGCGGCGTGCATTACGAGTGGATGCCACATCCTGCTGCTTGATGAATCGAATCTGTTGTTTCGTCGCGTTGACATCTTCCTCTTCTTGTTCCTCCGCAGTGAGTTCACGCGGAGGTCCAGACCCGTAGCCGTCAGGCATATCGTTTGAGCCATATCCACCTGTGTTGTTGTAGCTGTTGTCGCCGCCTTGTGGCTCTGTCGAGTCCGCCGGTCTGCTCTGTGCTCTGTTGGCAGCATCGCCGAAGAGTGCGTCACGGCCTGCCTGGGTATCCATGGTCTCATTGCTCCTGGTCCGGCCTAGCCCACCGTAACCACCAGACCCATAACGCGATTGTGCGGGTTGTCCATTGCCATATGGATCGCTGCCATAACCTCCCACTTGTCCGTAAGAGTTGCCTGATCCTCCAAATCGTTGTTGCGGAGGGCCTCCTCCATATCCGCCAGGCGGCACAGGACTCTTGTCGTAGCGATTGGGTGCAGGTCCGTTGCCGCTGTTTCCGTAAGCAGGTGGTGCACTCTGCTCGCTGCTGAGACTGAGGTTGCCGAACGAACTTGTCGGCGGCTGTGTCGAGTTCACGCTCTTCGCGTATGGGTCATTGTTATTCTGGTTGGCGTATGGATTGCCGCCGCTCTTCGCATACGGATCGTTGCCAGCTGGTGGGACGGCGTAGGGGTTGTTGGAAGCGGGAGCAGGCGAACTCGATTTGCCCTTGGAGCGCCCGCCAAAGAGGGATGACTTCTTGGCTTCGAGATCGCCGTCCTTCTCCTTGTCCTTTTTGCTTAAGCCGAAGGGCATGATTGCGATGTGGGTGTGCAGGAGTAAATGTACGAAACAGGAAGAGGGCACAAGGAGGACGTGAGGTGGGAAATGTTGGTGGAGAGCTACGGCGCCGATCAGGGAGCGATCTGTCGCAGGCGATCGTGTCGACGTTCGAGGAGTGGCTGAGTTGCAACGCCGCCGCTTTTGGGCGCAGACAAAGATAGTTCAGGCACGGCAAGTTTCAGGTCAGGCACCAGCATATCATGTGCATTGCATTCAACATCGTGATAATCGCATGTGTTGCAACGCAACTTGAGCGTAATCCGATGTGGCGGCCATACCGCTTTTGATCCTTTGTGCACTTCTCCGCGCCGCAGCGCTCACACACTATGGTACAGCAGTCTCAATGTTCTTCTGCTCGCGACAGAGCAACTTCTCAATCTTGCGAACGCATTTACTTTTCACGGCCATGTTCGAAACTTTTCGCTTCCGCCTCAACCATCGAAATATCCTGCTCGCTCCCGTCGCAACCCCAACGCCTTTGCCATGCTGCCGCTCACACTGAAAGAGAAGCGACTCTATTGGGTGTGGACTTACCAAGCGTTGACGTCGAAGTATTCTTCGCCGAAGTAGGTCACGACGACCGTGCGATCGGCGAACTTGCGGCCTGCCAATGCAGCCAAAGCCTTTGCTGCGTGCTCCGGAGCCTCGTACTTGAGATAGATCTTGCCAACGCCGTTGCTTTGGCGAGAACCACCAGTAGGGCGTGGCATCTTGACCTCGAGTAGTGGGCCATACTTGGCACACTCCTCCTTGACATCTTCGAGAATTTCTGTAGCATTTGCGTTAGTGGATGCGGGGCTGTGCTGGAGGTCAGTAGACTCTTACCATCTGCATCATCAGGATCCATCAGTTCCTCGGGCGTAATCATGTTCATCAGGGCGAGCACACGTCCGTTGTCCGACTCGCTCGATTTCGCACCGGCCATCATGCTCATGGCGTTGACACTCATTTCGCTGCTGACTTGCTGAATGCCAATACTGGCAAGCTTCACACGCATAGCGACATCTCCGAGTTCCATTCCATTGAGCGCCTCCACGGCCGTCTTGGTGACGGATGAGTCCTTGTACTCGCAGAAAGCGATACCTCTGCTTTCGCCCGAAGACTGGTCCTTGACAAGGATGAAATTCTTGAGCTCACCAAAAGACATGAGCAGTTCCTGGATCTGCTCTTCGCCCAAAAAGGCAGGCAGGTTAGTGATGGAGATCTTGTTCTGTGTATCCGGCACAATGTTAGACAATAGCCCGGCCTCGTGCTGCGTATCGTCGGTGACATTTGGCACGATATAATCCTTGGGTCGCTTGATTTGGAGGCCCTTGGAAGCGCCATTGGCATCTCCGTTAGTGTCCATCGCGTTCGGATCCATGACAATACCATCAAGAGCCATGGCATTAGTGGCGTCCTCTGGGGTCTTGAACTCAACTAGCGAATAACTGTTGTCTTTCGCAGTCTGAGCAGAAATGCAAGGATCTGCACCTCGAGTGACGTTGAGTCCGTTCAGCTGAAGGTTGAAGAAGTCAACAATGCTTTCGTCAGTGGCAGAGGCTGGGATGTTGTAAAGCAGAACACGCTTGGACTGTCGTGCTGTGGAGGGCTTGAGCGCAGAGCTGCTTGCTTGATTACCGGGTTGGTTCATGAATGCCTGTAATTTAGCTGGGTCCATGGGCTGTTGGCGAGGCGCGCCTGGAAGTGGGAACATGCCGGATAGCTTAGCCTGCTCTGCGGTTACATTGTCGTACCCGGAAGGCTTGATGTCCCATTGCGTCAAACGACGCTTGCGCTCGAGGATATTGACAACATCAGTCAAGTCCGGAGTCGGCTCTCGTGGCTTCTTGGGTGGAGGAGACGCACTCTCGCGCTTCATCTGGCGCTCGAGCTGTCTCATATCGTCGCGATCCTGGCCACGGTCTCGCCTGTCATCGTCTCTGGGGCCTCGGCCTCCACGGTGGTCGCGATCATCACGTCGTCCTCCGCGTCTGTCAGCGAACAAGTCCTCGCGTTCGCCTCCTCGGCGGTCATCACGGCGCCGGCCACCGCCGTCATCGCGTCTGGCATCTCGGCGCGCAGATCCACGATCTCTGTTCCAGTCTCTGTCATCTCGCTCGCGTCCTCCTCCTCCGCCGCCGTTGTAGCGCTCTTCTCGCTCTCGCTCCCGATAACCACGGCTCGATGAGTAGCTGTCTATCTCTGGTCCGTCGCGTCGGCGGTGATGTGGCGAGCGCGAGCGGCGACTGTCGCGGCGATCCTCATCACGTCGGTGGTCGCGTCGTCGATCGTCACGTCCTGACTGCATGCGACGGTCAGACATGCTGTGCTGACCACGTGTGTTGTGCTGTCTGAGCTCTTACTAGCCAATCCTGCGGACTTCGCGGGCGATTCGAGGAGAGGCTACGAGTTAGATCGGTGGGGGCGGAGCGCTGTTATCAGCGTGCTGAGAGTGTGGCGAGACCTAGATAGGCACTCATCCAGCTGCTGTCGGTGTTGGTGCGCGAAGAGATGGACTCGGGCGAGTCGAGAGGTTGTTGTTGCAGCTCGCTGAAGTTTGCTGCAGCTCCAGTCCAACTCCCAAATTCGTGGCCGGCAATCTCCGTCCGCGGACCCCTGTCTGCCTGCGCCTGCTTCACCTGCCATTCACCATTGCACATTTCTCCTCCTACACTCATGCATTTGGCATCACCGGATCGAACTTGGGCGTTGAAAGGGCTCATTGAAACAACATGACTGACATTGAGTGGCTGCTCCATTGCTCTCCAAGCTGAACCACGCATTCGTTTGGTACCATGATGGCCAACGACGCTTCACACGCTTGGTGAGCTCAGCAATAGCTGCTATTCGTGAATACTTGCTGTGACAGAGCTGAAATCAGTCGTCACGAAACGTTTTCTTCCAGCCGCTGGAGATTGTGGCTCGAATCATTCAGCTGGACATTAGCGGCAACGCCACCACATTTCAGCTGTGGTCGCCCGTTTCCCTCTTTTTGAAGCTGACCTGTAGCTCCACTAATAATTGTTGCTTGTATTCCAAGAGCAGATATCGGGTTTTCGAAACATGAGACTGATCAATGTCGAGACATATGAGCTGGAGCAATTTGCAGAGCAAGAATGTCCCAGCTACGCCATCCTGTCACACACATGGCAAGGCAAGGAAGTAACATTTTCGGAATGGAACGACTGGCTTACCGGCAAACACGAGGGCGATACACCGGGCATTCAAAAGATCACAGCATTTTGCAACGAGGCAAATCGTTTTGAGGTGTTTCGAATCAATCAACGATATGCATGGGCAGACACCTGCTGCATCAACAAGCAGGATCCGACAGAGCTGTCGGAGGCCATCAACTCGATGTTTCGCTACTATCAAAATGCACAGGTGTGCAAGGTGTATCTTGCCGATGTTGACGAGCAGCCCGGAAGTGAAAGCATGATAGCGGCAATCTGTCGCAGTACTTGGTTCAATCGAGGTTGGACTTTGCAAGAACTATTGGCCCCGACCCGCCTCGAATTTCTGAACTCGCACTGGATGTCTCTCGGCATTTTAGGCGATGACAAAGATCTGACAGAGGCCATTGCTCAGAGGACTGGCATCAGCACCGCTGTCCTCCGCCGTCGGGCAAGCCCTTCTGAGTTCAGTGTCGCTACCCGTATGTCTTGGGCTTCCCAACGCCGAACTACGCGACTGGAGGACGAAGTATATTGCCTGCTTGGAATCTTTGGCGTGAATATGCCGTTATTGTACGGAGAAGGGCGTCTGGCCTTTCGACGATTGCAAGAAGAGAGTATCCTTCGATCGACTGATCATTCCATCTTTGCTTGAGAGTATACATCTAGCGAAGACATGATACATGACGACACGCATCTTGCAGGTCAGCTCCTGGCACCCTCCCCACTTCACTTTGAGTATGCGTTGAACAATGAGGTTGTACAACACTATCAAGATGTGGACGGTTGGGTGGAAGCGTATGGACTTACGAATCTGGGCCTCAGACTTCGCCTACCGCTTCTTAGGTGCGGCAAGATGCCCTCGGCGTACCACCCGATCCTCAACTGCGCCTTCAGGAAAGATTGCGAAGGGCCTCTGGCGCTGACGGTGCGACGTCGAGGGCAGAAGGGCGATAAAGGTTACCTCGTCGAGCACATCTATGAGTGCTGTGCTATCGCGATCGACAACGACTACCCACACGTCAGCAAGCTTCATTTCAGTGGCAACTCCATCCCTGCAAGCTCCAGCAAAGTTTGCTCTGCCACGCATTTGTCACGCATGAGTATCGTCTCGGAAGAATTGCTGTTGGAGCAAGGATACGTGAAGAACGCTGTTACTATCTCCCGAGAAAGCGTGAGCAAAGTGCCACCGGCTTCTGCACTTCCGAGAGACTGGTACAATAACAAGGCTGCCTCCTCGGCACCAAGGATCAGACTCAGATTCGACGGTAACACGGATCTGCCTCTACCGAAGCGTGGTGACTACTTTCCTCAGGACAAATGGCTGCAGAGCGAAGATGTTTTCGTATCGCAAGGTGATTGTGGCATTATCACATATAAGAGCGACTGGCTGCCCGATCTCGCTTTCGTGGTAGGGTACAATCGGCCATGGGCGCCACTCGAGCTAGGCGTGTTCGAGTTGACTGGTACCACCGCACTTGAAGTTCTACATATTGTATCTGGCGTTGACTCCTGGTTTATCATGGCGCCAGGTGATTCAAGAAATTTCTCCTGGTCACGACAGATTGGGTTTACGGCGAAACTTGAGACACGAAAAGCGATGGGGACACAGTTTTTGACTCTGCACATATGCATGCAGATTTGGAATAAGACACCCGATGAGCTGATTGAGCCCTGGACAAAGGATCGCTACTTGGCGGCAGCATCTGAACGGTATGCTCCGCAAGCTCCCTCTGCTGGCTTCTTCCAGAACAGATCTGCTGTTCTTGTTGAGCTGACAGATTGCTGATTCGATGCGAATGGATGAATCGAACGCGCTCAGCTTGGCCGCTCAGCTTGGCCGCTTCGTGTGATGTTCGGATCAATCTACACAGTCCTGAACACCAATCACTCGCAGCCGGCGCCTCCTTCAGATCAAGATCTCTCGCCAGAGGAGCTCGATTTGATTTGCCAAGGCGCCGGTGCAACTAGCGGGTTGCGGCCATAACCTGGCTTGTCGACTTCCAAGGCGAGCAGACGATATACTCGTGAGAATAATTCGTGCTGCACTGGCGTGCGGGGTTGATGTCGGGCTTCCATTGTGGTCCTCACCTGCACTACAGCAGTGTGCAGAGCATGAAACCAGGCCGGTGTCTTGTCACGATCGCTTTCCGACCACGGTCCAGCAGCAGACACCGCATTGAGAAATGCTGTGGCAGCTCGCTCTAAGGGATAAAAGCCGGGAAATTTGCGATCTGCTAGACCGTCGGAGAGCGCTCTCATTGTCAAGTAGCAATCGTAAAGAAGCCGTATGTGTGCTTCGGGGCTCGTAATCGCGATGCCGGCATCTTGGTCGGTGTAGAAGTTGGCGAGCGAGGTTCCAGAGCCGTCGACTATCTCCAGCGTCATTCCTCCCAGCATTCGCAATGGATAGAACATGGCTTGGATGCTCTCCATCGCGCTGGCCGCATCGGGCTGGGCCATGATGCGCAAATGGCGCACGCTGTTGCCTTCCCGTAGCATGCGACAAAGGGAGTACAGCGTATTGGCGATGCATCCGATCCGCTGATCCGCACCGCCGACTGACAACTGAGACCAGATGTCGTCGGGTACGATCACGCGCAAGTGGTGAGCTCGACGAAGGAACTCGGGCCATTTCAATGCCGTGAAATGCGTGTCTGGCTGTAGTCTCAACATATGCGGCGTGAATGATCCACAGCGATGGCCATGTGCGCACACACCGGAGTCCTTGATCACGACATCAACATAGTTGAGTCTGTAGAGCAAACCCGTCGCCTCCTGATTGATTTGGCGAGAAGTGCGCAAGATCTGAGGAAAACAGGTAAATGAGTCTTGCAATGTCAGGAGCTCTGCGTAGACCATGTTCCGAAGCTCTGGGTGGGTGTGTTAGTGTGATACAGCTGATACTTGGGCGAAGTCCCGAGTTACCTGGTGCAAGGTTCTCAAACGGGAATGTCGCATCCTGATCTGCCTTGACAAGGGCAGCAATGTAGTCCTTCTTGGTTGGGCCTTTTTCCGTTTTCGAGTTGACCACGACTTCGCGATCGGTGGCGAACTTGACCAATTCGTCTTTCCTGCAGCGATTGTATCGCATGATGTTGTTGTCGTCGTGCTCAATGTTGCTGTGCCAGGTCAACTCAAGTGGGCAGATGTCGTGTCAATCAGGCGGCATCAATCGTGCCCATTTGTATCTCACTTGCGGCTTTGTTTGTCGCGTTCGCCGATTGTGAAAGGCTGCGAAGGCAGATTAGACCGACGACCCGTCGTCGCCAGGTGCTTCCATCGCTAATTCCAGTCAAGGTTTCCATGAAGCTAGTAGTACTTTCTACTTGTGCGCTTGCGTTCGCCTGTAGTCGATGCTGGAGCATGGTCTCACGTTTTGTCTGGTACACAGTTCTGATTCTCGGCCCTTTCCCCTTTAATGTATCTTTACTTACTGAGACTTTCCATTGGCACTCGAGAATGAAGCTAGATGGATAACGAAGCGTAGTACTGAGCCATCAACACGTATCTTGCAATCGTTTGATAGGAGAGGTTTCACTTTGACGTGAGCTGGCACTGAGTTGGCTCAAGTCGATTCATGTTTTTCAGGCTCCGGCACGCCAAAGGCACAATTCCTAACTGTTTTCGTCTTGACATGTGCACGCCGGTGAAGCCACAAGCACGCGACGTGAAGGCAGAAGTGAGATGCGAACGTGAAGGAGACGAATAGGGTTTGTACCGCGTGCACCGGCAGGCAGCCGAAGTGCCGAGACACCATCTCGTGCCTGCCTGCCTTACACCACCTCTGTTGCTTTCTCTTTGGAACCTCTCTTTCACTTTCGTCTCACGCACGCCGATTTCACACAACAACACGCTTTTAGATCCCTCGTTGTCCTGAGTTTGCTCACTCCGAAGGGCATGAAATGAGGTGATTGCCCGCATGACGGCCACCTTGGTGTCAATCCACTGGCACGTGCCAGCAGATGACATCAACTCGACACCGACGCCAAACGAGGTTGTCTTCCAAACTGCCACGCATTCGCAAGAACCGCCTCAAGATGGAAGTCGTGTCGATCAAGGACTTTGAGCGAGAAGAAATTAACGAGCTTGACTATGTCCTACATTCGGCGGTCGACCAGCTGGTTGCTCTGACACATCCGAAAGACTATTTGGCGAGCCTGAATGATCTCGTCTACCATTTCGGCACGCTGAACTTTGGCGAAGAGGGAGGGTTTCGGCGATTTGGCTTCAGTCTGCCTTCGACATGCCCGCAGTGGCCAGGTCCACGATTTGGATCATTCTCGCTGCACAAGGTCATTGCTAAAGTGCACTCGAAGCCACGCTCCAGAAAGGGGCAATCCGTTGGAGCCGCCAAAGCAGTCTCGTCGCCGAGGTTGCGCCCAAAACCGCCGAAGACGAAGGTGACCTGCAATTTCACGGCAAAGGGCGGTGCTGCACTTGTCCGTCGGTCGCCACCACTATGCCTACTGAACCTACCTCCAGAAATACGGAACTCCGTCTGGAACTTGCTAGCTGTGCGCAAGGATCCTGTCGAAGCACAGCTTCGCCGGATCCAGCCTTGCAAAAAATTGACTCCACATCGCAAGACCGTTATCCGCCGCTTTCCGCAAGAGCCACTCGCAGCGAGTGCCAACAAGCAGATGCGACGTGAGATTCTATCAATCTTCTATGGAACAAATCGCTTCATCTTTGAGCGAAATGCATGCAGCATGTTCGCTGATCTTAGCATGTTAAGTCCGCCGAACATTATGACATGGAAGCCGCGAGCGGATGTTGCAGGCTTCCTGACCTCTGTCGAACTCCGGTTCAATGCGCTTCCGAGAACGCTTTCAATGGCTCATATCGTGTACGCGATGCGGCGAGGACCAGAAGGCTCGACCACCATTGAAGTGAAAACGGAGAAGACCGGCAAGCAGAAGAAGAAGTGCACCGAGGAGCAATATTGTCTTTGTCACGAGTTCGCCGTTGCTCAGGCTGTCAGCGAGACTGCCTCGAAGAATCGCGAGTTAGACCTCGCTGGTTGTGCGCTGAATGTGGTACGCAAGCGACATGACACTATGTTTGCAGCACCGGTGATGCAGAACAGCAAGAGCGGCAACTTCTATCCTCCTAACGCTGTCTGCGATCGATGCGAGAAGGCGACGTTTGAGATCGTTTACAGTGGCGTTTGATGGGTTACATCGAGGCATGGCGAGGCGTTAGAAAGGGTAGTAGATGGGAAGGATATGGGTTATGAGTGTATGCATTGGACGAGAGATGATGGCTTCTATGGCAGATACCCCTTTGGTTTGTTTATTTGCAGCAGTATACGATGAAGTGCTCAGCCCGTTCGGACGAGATCGAGGGAACGCTAAGAGGGCATATTGGATTGATTCACGAAGCACACGACCGGATAGAGAAGAAGCTTGGAACTGCAGGCATAGGCGCGGGAGGATTAGAGAACAGGGACATCTACGATTAGAGGGGGAAAGACGAGAAGAAGGATAAGAAGTAGGGCGGCCTTGTCCGCGGGCATCTGCCTATTCACGAGCAGGGGCCGCAAAAGGCCGACTGGTGCACTTGGGTCGTGAAGTCCTGCAGTGCGAAACCTCGAGATCAAGACCGAACGTTCATGCAAACTCAGAAGACTGCCAACGCGAGCACAGCGACAAGATCGCAGCTGCACCTGTTCATCATGGCTATTCAAGCGTTTTCATTAGCTACCTGAGCTCTTCCGATGAATGGCCCATTCCAGCTCCCTGGAGGTGCATTACTCCGAGAACGCATACATGAGGAAGCTTGCTTGTACTAAAGCGCACAAAAGCAAAGAAGACGGTCAGGCTTGATGCGTAGTCTGCATGATTACGTCTACTTTTCGAAGTGCACGACTGAATCATACTGTAGATAGTATCTCTACATGTTACTTCAGCGATCGAAGTCAAGTCTCCCGCTGCAGAAGCGGTGATGGCGTGGTACCCAGCCCTCGGCGGGGCAAAACAAATATGCTCCATCATCCCTAACTGGCCCCTCGATCCACATTCAACCAGGACACCGCAGGATATGCCGTCTGCAAAAATGTGCTCCGTAATACTGGGTTCTTCCGGGAGTCGAACCCGGGACCTGTCACATTTCGATGCAGAGAAACTCTGCGGGAATTACCCGAAGCGACAATCATACCACTAGACCAAAGAACCGGTTCAGATGGGAGATTGGGGTTGTGGAATAATATGTTAGCTATCCAATCCCTAAGAGCAGCCCGAAAACCTTGAATTGAAGATTCTCGACCCAGATTTCGCTAGTATGGTGATACTCGCCGAGAACATTTCAATTTATGAACTTTGTCACACGAATTTCAAGGTATACGCTTCTGCGCTGCGACTTATGCACAAGGCGAAAAGATCGTTGCCCGGAACATAGTTCAGGGTCTTTGCATGTTACCACAGCGGAATATCGACGGGAGCTTACTTCAGTCGCCGAGAGATTCCTTTTGCTTTCTTTTGAGGCCTATCTCTATGTAATGCGATGGCTGTTGCCTTGGCGCGATCTTTTTGCCCAAGCGATGAGACTTTCCAAAGCTTCATCCCTGCACGATAAGAGGGAGTCGAACATCGAGAGCATGTATCAGCAGATTGATGATACGGCGACGGTTCGTCGACCAGGGGAAGGTCAGTTTACTGAGCGGTGATGGCCGGAGGAACAGATTCTGGATTTGTATGTTTTACAGTTTCTATGGTGAATCGAAGCATAAATTGCTGAAACCGAACTTCAAGCGCCGATAAGATGTCTAATGCTAAGATACAATGATATGTAGGCATGGCAGCATATGCTTCCAGCTGCCAGGTGTCCCGATGCTCTGCGACCCTAGCAATCCTTTCATGGCAATCCATCATGCCATGGCCAGCGACAATCGCAGCCGCTCGACCAGTACCTCTCTCTTCCACCACAATTTGGTCGAGCGAAAGTGTACCGTTCCAGACTACAGTGGGCTTTGGGAGCGAAAGTAACAACTGCAATGGCTTGGAGGAGTTAGCAACATCAATGTAAAGGCGTCGGCTTCAGAGCCTGACATAGAAAGGCGGGGCTGACAGTGGAACTTACACCTGACTGCTGTTCTGTGTTAGAGATCCCCATCTTCATTGTCCGTGTCTTGTGAGACGAAAAGGCTCTCTTCCCCCCTTTCCACCTTCTGGATTGTCATCGTCCCTCGGGCCGCGATCTGTGAAAACATCGTCGTCGTCGACGAGGGACGATGAACCGCTGGATATGGGCATAGGCCGCGTTCGAGAAGCAGGGCCATGTCTGGACGCTGAAGGTGCCGATTTGCTTGGCTTGCGTGACAGTGGAGCTCCGGGGCCAGCGACCTCGGGCTGACTGACACCTGATTTCAAACCGGCACGAAGTTCGCGAGGCACGCTCGTGAGTCCGGACTTGATGTGCTCACCGCCGACGAGCTGATCACCGAAACGCTTACTTGCTGCAACTGGGCCAGCAGAGCTCCCCGCACTGAATGCGTCACCAAACCGAGCAAGTGGTGCGGCCGTTGTGCCTCGTACAAGGCCAGGGAAGGCAGCGAAATCCTCACCATTGCCACGCTTCTGCTCGGCCGTAGAGAAGCCAAGAGTCTTAAGATTCTTCATGCCAGCCTGTGCCTTTTTGACTTGCGTAGCTGGGTTGAGGCGGGTCCAATCGGGGTCATACCAACCATCTTCAGCTTTGAGCCTGTCGTGTTCCGCGCTGGTGTTCTCAGCATTGCTGTCCTTGATGTGTGTGGTCAGCTGACTGTGGCTGGAACAGAGTTTCTTATCCTCCTCGGGCATATCATCTGCGTGCTGGCAGTACTTGCATTGCCACTTGCCCTTCGGGTGGTCGGCCTGGCAATTCTTCTGCTCGCGCCGGATTCTGTCGAGGGGAGTGTGGAACGTGGACTCCGTCAAGTGCTGTTCCAGTTTCGTCTTGTTGGGATACTCCTGAGCCTTCTTCTCGTACGACACCGTCGGATCAAGAAAGCACTCTGGACATCTCTTCCACTTCTCTGACCATACCTCTGTGAGATTTGCAGAGTTGTCCATCAGAACACCCATGAAAACCTCGGCCACGCCTTTGTAGGGAACAGCAGTTTCCTCATCTTGGGGTTCAGGATCAAGCTCCTGATCAATGCCCATCTCGACGTGGCCAAGCGGTGAGTCATTGCTGTCCTGCTGTTCATCAACATATTTTTGCGCAAGGGCGTCGAGATCCCCCTCCACAACATCGGTCTCCAGCACCTCTAGCGCGTCAGTCTCGGCGACGGCGTCTGGCGTGTCAGGCGTCCCAGTGTGCGAGCTGGCGATCGCTTGTGCACGTGCTAGGACAGCTTCCGCAAAGTGTGAAGCATTCATTGCACCCCTGCGAGCTCTAAACTCAGCTTGGGTCAAAGTTTTCTTGGCGATATTGGCTTGTTCCTCCATCAACGCCTTTTGCGCGCATGCCCTCATTCGAGCACGATATTGTTTGCGGACTTCTGGCCTGTCAAGATTCTCTGGTGGGCCTTGATCGTCGTTGATAAGCCGGTTGGTCATCGCGCGTAAGGCAAGACCGCGCGTATTGTTTCGCTGAATATCATCCAGGCGACCAAGAGCTAATGGTGCCCATTCCTTGACAATTTTCTCGGAGATGCCTCCTTCAGCAAGAGGTTGCTGGAGAGCAGCAGATGTCGAGTCGAAGATGTCGCCCATAGCGAAGTAGTAGCGTTCAAGGGTTGTTGAGTCGGGAGAGTGACCCATTAGCACACGTGTGCGCTCAAAACCGATGCGAGCGACTAGTTCCGTGGCAATCATGCGACGAAGCGAGTACATGGTGACGGCACCCGTGTAGCCTAGTGTTCTGGCGCGGTTCTTGAGGTAATCTGTCATCGCATTTGCACTTAATGGTTGCTTCGTGTCGATTCCGGTGCCTTTGGGCTGGCTGCGGTAGAAGAGCGCTTGGTCTTTGAACTCATCCTTGACGAGAATGCGCTGCTGGGTACCCTCAAGCAGCTCTGCGATGGTGTCGATTCCCTGTAGTGCTTTGCGGCGAAGAGCGATCACTAGCAGACGGTGTGGAACCGAGAAGATGATGTTGTCAGGCTGGGGTGATTTCATCACCACTTTCAGCGGTGTCTCGTCTTCCTGATGACGAGCAGCCCGCTCTGGGTCGCTTGGTCGCTTGATTCTGATGTCGTCGAATTCGAGAACACAGGTGAATTCACCCGGGTTGTCACCACGGTAGAACTCGACATTGCGCCACTGCAGAGGCAGGTTGCGAGCATATTTGCCACTTGTGCCAATGCTGCCTGGGCGTGCAGATGTATGCCGAACGATGCACCAAACGGCCTGATGCTGCTCGGAGTTTTCGATGCTGCGATTCGTCTGCATTTCTTGATCAATGAGCTGTCTCAGCTCAACGAGGCCCAGGTAGGTCTTTGGCACTCGTTTTGCGTTGGGATCACCATATTCGTCGACGACGCCTCTCATGGCCTCGGTCATCTCAAAGTGGGCCGTCTGCAGTGGAGGTGCCGCGATTCTGCGCATACGGTACGAGCGAAAGGCGAGATACATGATGGAGTCGCGATAGTGGCACAGACTGCGATACTGAATGCGTTCGCCGGTAGCCAAAGATCGTGGTGAAGCAAGATGGTAGACCCAGATCATGAATTCCCTTACACTCTGCCACAAGACTTCAAAATCTTCGGGAAAGAGGACTAATTTTGTCAGGGCTGTCAGCAAGGGCGCTCTGTCGAGAGTCTGTGGAATTGAGCTGGGACTTTCTAGACCAGGTGGCAGACCGTGTGCCGTGAACACAGAGGCAAAGGGCCAACTTGCAATGTCTCTGAACATCGCTCGCGCCAGAGACTCGTCACGTTTCTGCACCAAGTGCCATGACATGTGTGAAGTGTTTGGGGGGTATGCAGATGGGGATGGTTTGCTCAACTTACATTCGTCCCACTTCTCATCGCTCCGGCAATCAGGATCCTCATTCCTCTTCCATGCCAAATACGCGATGTACATGCGTCGGTGATGGTCCTGACGAGATTTGGTCCTGGGCGCGTGATATCGCTTTCCACGGAAAGCTTTGGCCGCCCCTTCGAGCTTGTCGAGGATCTCGACCTTGTTAGTATTTGGGAGATCGAACATGCGGTCCAGCTTGTTGGTGAGTGTAAGTCGCTTGCGGCTCTCACCGGGCTTGGATTTGGCAGCGAACAGAGACTGCATCTTCTTGGGAGGCATCTTGAGAGAGGGACGAGCGAGACGGTGAGAACAGGAAGTGCTGTTCTGTAGCTGGTTCGCTGGTATGGCTTGAGAGCGTCCCATGGGCAGTGCTGTAGTGCTGGTGTCGAGCAAGAGATGTTGATGCACGGAGACAGGGGGAAACCGTGCGAGAGAGGGAGCAATGGTGTTGGGGGCACGAGACGGCGAGCAGCTTCGCTGTTCTGCTCGAAGAAGGTCACAGTGACTGGAAGCTAGCTGGGACCGTGAAGAGTCTTCGAAGGCTTTCTGGCGAGGGGGTTCAACGATGATGGCGACGAAGCGTCGGACCAGGAAACGAAGGGAGGACTGACTCTACTGAATGCGAGTGCTGCTAATCTGGACTTGAAGCGCTCGCGCAGGTCACATATATGGTCACCAAAGGGTTTGCTACGCTGGGCAGTATGTTTTCCTGTCTTTGAATGCCTCGGATTGCTCCCGATTGCTGTCATCGTGGACTGCTCGCCTCTCAAAGACAGTCTCAGCCCGAATGAAGGCCTGACTTCTTTGCGAGGGGCGCAGCCAGGCGGGTTAGCCAAGGCACATCAAGCCGGAAACAGCCACGGGTTTGCTTGGGCCGAGACAACACAACGACGGGGAGAGATTCGGACCGACAGGTAAGATGAGTGCTGCACGGAAAACTCAAGTTCAACAGATGCACAAGCGCCAGTGGCAAAGGAAGGCAGCATGATTCAGCAGTGGAATTCGGCAAACTTCGATAGCATAAACATGCATGATGTGCATGAAGCAAGCTATACGACCCATTGCCCCCGGCAGCTCAGCAAACACCGCCTTGGGCGAAAGGAAGATCTTGAATGTTGCCCACAACGAGCTAGTGTCATGGTGAGCTGCTTGTCGTTGGAATGGTGATTGCGGGATTTTGCCTTCATCGGACTGAAGGGCGGGTATTGGTGGCGGTATGACACGACTGCGGCAGCTGCGAGCACGAACGGAGCGAGACAGTGCCATGGAAAGCCCATTCCCCGACCACTGCATGATCTGGGAGCGTATGTTCGGTTTGTAGCCCGGAGGCGATGTTGCAAAACGCGTAGAGTCGGCGGCATGCATCCTCCTGTGATCAAAGAACGCCATCAGGACGACGAACGGTGACGAGACCATACAAACGAGGCTGATGCGTGCTTCAAAGAGGGGTTGCGGGAGCGTCGTTTGAAGTGCGCCCGTGCATATCTCACGGCAACGGGCAGTGCAAACGCCGCGTATGAGGGCGGTAATAGTGCAATTTCTGCATCGACGCGTGTTCGAAGTGTATCCAAAGACCGTGGTGAATGGTGCGGTCTGATCGACGGGACGTTGATGCAGCGCATGCATATGCGTGTGAGCGTTTGCATGCCTCCGACCAGAAACGTCGCGAAGACGCAGTTGCAGCTCGAACGGGTCCACAATGGTTCTCTGCCAAACATTCTTCAAAGGCGGCGAAGAGCAGTTCTCTTGTTGGCGAAAGTCATAATCCCACTCACCTCCCACCAGGAAGGGAAGCTTTCACTTTTTTCTCTCAATTCGTCTCTACCCGACGCCCCGACCCAACGCCAGCTTCAGAAGCTTTCACGACATGGCAGCATCCAAGAGAGTCGAGCAGCTTGGAGGCCGTGGGAATCAACTCTCGATCGACACCAGCCAAGCTGGACCAGGTAGCCCAACAGCTGGTGACAACAGCCCAGGTGGTCCCACGACACCAGGCTCACCACTGACCCCTAGGTGAGCACTCCACGCGTCCCCTGAGCACTATGCCTCAGGCGCAATTCCATCCAGGTGCTAACACATGACCCAGGCTGCAAGGCCTGACGGGTTCCACGAAGCTGAGCGTGAATTGGCTGTCTCAGAAGCACCCAGAGCTTCTGTCCGCTTGGCAGACCGAAATCTCAAACAACATTGGTGTGCTCGCCGACCGCCTTGACCAAGTGGTTGAGGTCCTCGTCGTCGTTGCCAGCTCGTAAGCCACAATCTCCCAATCCGCATTCCAGTCTGTGCATTCAGCTGATCAGTCAATCGATAGGAATGCCCCTCGCCGCCTTTCGAAGCTCGGAACACTCGGCGACGACGATCAAGCTCTCTACGATGAACTGGAGGAGAAGTTCGAAGCATTCATCGCCTCAGTCTTGAAGACACTTGGAGAGAATGAGAAGGACAAGCTGACTGATCGTGGTGGCGTAAGTCAACCCCTCCCCAAAGCACACCTTCCTCCGATCAGGCAGAGAGGCTTTATTCCTCTTTGGCTTGGCGACGGCCAATACGTCGTCGCAGAGCTTTCCTCTGAAACGCCACAACGCGAGCAAAGCGCCCTCCCAGAGAGAACGAGGTCCTCTGCCGTCCAGCTCGGCCATGAGCCACGATTGTGCCTTGAAGCCATTTTTCGAGACACTGCGACACATGCCTTCTGCCAACGACTCTCACATGATGCAAGTCAATGCCGCCAGACCAGGGCTAACAGTTGGGCAGCAAAAGGGCACCAAGCAAGCCAAGGCGTTCAAGGAGCTGTTCGTGAAGCAGGCCAAGAGAAATGCGAGTGCCATGAACGATGATGGTGTCGACTACGCTCGAGCTGCGGAACTGATGGCGAAGATCTCCGAAGAGGGCTTGCCAATCATGTTTGGCAAGGCAGTGGGCCAGCACATAGGCGCGTCCAGTGAGTGACCAAGCTATCATGACTGGATGGACCACGCCGAACTAACTCTTGGAAATAGCTCCTGCCCCCAAGTCAGCCGGTGGCACTGACAAGGGCACTATCGAGCTGCTCGAGAAGGAGTATCTGGACATACTCCGTCCACAATTCGAGGCGTATGCCCAGTCCATTGGCCCCATTGTGCCGTCCGTCCGCCGCGGCGGCCCAGCCAAGGAGCAGGCCCAGGTATACAAGACTCAGGTCATCGACGGCGCAGCTGGCAAGGACGATGAGCCAGTAGTGTTGTTGCTCAACACGCTCAGCGAAGCCGGTCTAGAGAGCCTTTACGTCTCGCTGTCCAAGAAGCACAAGAATGGTAAGCGCGTCCTGATTGCGATACTGCGAATCCTGCTAATTGACCCCAAGACTGGACGGTCGTCGAGGAGACTGGCAACAAGCGCAAGCGCGTCAAGCCGACTGTGGACGACGACGAGGAAGGCGACGAAGCGGAGGGCGCGGAGGTCGAGACGGAGGATACTCCTGCTGACCGTCCAAAGCGGCAGCCTCGCAAGAAGAGCAAGACCACCACCACTGTTGCTGCTTCTGCTGCTAACGCTGCCAACGACGACTTCGAGTAAGCCTGGGCTTGACGGCTGCTACACTGTCGATTTGCCGCAGTGCTGATCACCACGACTGATTTGTCGAATGCCTCCACCTCTTGTACGCCCCACGACGGTGACGGGCGAGGTGGAGATGGAATTGGGCGCCCATCTGCGGCGCGAAGATTACCATAGCTCTTTGAATGAGACTGACTACTGTCACCGTACCAAGAAAAGAAAAACCGTTGTCACATCGTCTGCGTTGTCGCCTCTTTCACTTCGCCATCTGCTGCTGCGCGAGACTTTTCGGTGTGTGGTTGGAGCTGTTTTGCCATGGAGCCATTTGGCCATTGCATAGAGCAATGAGCGTGCAAGCGATCTTTTTCTTTCACTCTCCCTGCTGTCCGGTGCCACCCCTTCGCATGCCCACATCTCAGCAACAAGAGTCCATTGGCTGTGTCAAGTCGCACCATAGAAGGTCATCTTGGCCGGCGGCATCGCTAGAGGTTGGAGTCTGAGATTGCCCGTGTGATGGGCCGGCACTTGATTCGTCATTTCCAGTATACGTGCGGCTGTGAAGGTTCCGATATCGAGATCTGGCTGCAGGCAGTGTTGGTGAGAATTAAAATGCTCCTCGAGAACCGTGGTGGTGTGGAGAGCTCTTCCTCTTTGAATTCCGGGCGGCAACTGCCGTTGCGACCAGCTCCACTTTCCCTCTCCTCCGCTTCGCTCCGCTGGAGGAACAACACCATTCGACCACCTCCACAGCTCCGTCTCTCATTGTAATTATCACACTGCGACAACACAGAAAACATACTAGACACGTGCAGCTCACATGCATGACGATATGCGCTGCATTACGGCCAGCGGCAAATCGGCGAGTTCGTCTCTGTAATGCAAAGTGGTAGCTCGATCACCTGGAGATGTTGAATTGTATTCTCGTAGGCACTCGTCGGATGGGTATAACACAGTAGAAGTAGAGACAATAAGTAGGAACCAACCGAGTTGATTGTGTTAGTTAGTTATAGGTTGTATCTTACTCCTGAGATGGGCATTAGCTAGGTTATATGACCTAGTGTTATATAACCTATGTTACCTAATCCTGATCCCTAAAGTATCTCTTAGAATGTCTAACTAGACTGCACTTTCTAATACTTCTACTTAGGCTAGATAGTCTTCTGCCTATATTCCTATATTTAAATCTATCC